GCTGCTGTCATTATTGTGCAAGTGCTTTCTCATGTCTAATTTAAGGATCTTTTGTTGGAATTAAAATTCTTCGCTGCTTGCGTTGCCCATGCTCGGTGCTTTCAATCTTTGCATTGTATGTCTTAAGAATATAATGCAAATTCTCTGCGCTAAAAGAGGAAATTAGTAGCTTCTGCATCTGCTAAAAATGAGGTAATTTCTCTCAATCTGGTACTCATCTAGTACTTGAAACCTTGAGTTCAATATTATGTTTCATTTAGTCTTGGAGTGTGACTAAGACTGTTTTGCTGAGGGTGTGTAGTGGTATGAATACAGAATTGCACACACCGATCAGTAAGTACAATCGTACACCTACACTTTTGTCATCCTGGTTCTGTTGAGCTTCCCTAGTAATTGACAGGAGTCTGTCCACTGGCTTTAATGAGATTTAGATGAATCTCCTGCTGCAGAGAGTGATGAGATTGTTTTAACAGAGGTGAATTCCTGGGTGTTCCTGGAACACATACATAATGATTTATTATCAAAGCTTCATGGGAAAACAAAGGAGTTTTACATTATTAATATACTGCTTGAGAAAAAAAAACAACCCAGAATGACCTCACTGCAAGCACTGCAAGTTCAAAATGCAGTTGTTGTTTATAGCATTTCTTTTTAATGTGGTTTCTTCGCTTGTTAAGACATATATCCTGAAGTGTTTTGTGTTAGTCTTCAAGGCTATGCACATGGCCACTGTATCATTTTCCTTTTGGAGCTTCAGTCTGTCTTCACGTGAAGCAGGTTTTGTTTAGTATACAAACATGATGCAACTGTTTGGGTGCAATGCAAATTATAAGGTTGTAATCAAAGTTCTTTAAATGATTTTGAAATCAATAGAAAGTAGACGCTTTCTGGATTCCACCCAAAGTGAAGGAGTGTTTGTTTAGGAGAAGATGCGGGAGAGTCTTGATAAGAGGAACGGTTAATGAAGTACGGCGTGTTCCATATTCTCAGGGTGTTATCTTGTGCAGCCTATCTTATTGGGATTACTAAAGAATAACTGCCAACTGTCTGAATCTAATTTGGCTCAGTGCACACTGGTCTCTCTGCCAGATGGAGTGTATTTCTAGTTTTGCTCACTCGAATGTAGATAAAGTTTAGTTGTCAGAATATGGCAGCTTTGATATAAACTGGCTCACTGTAATGGAAAATAGAAATAAGCTCCTGGATGTCAGTGGCTGTAGATGTGACTGAAAAAATGAATCAACTGACTAGCATTCCTCATGGAAAGTGACCACTTGTTTCACTCCGCGATTCTAAAGCAGGCATTGCAGCTATTACATTGCTGAATGCCTTAATACCTGCTGAATACCTTATGCTTCACAGGCACCATATTTTCTCCTTTCTTTTTAATATTGCCAAGAACAAATGTCTTCATTTTTATTTTTTTTTATCATGGATGTGGCATTTCTGTGTGAGGAGTGCAGAAGAAAAGCTTGTCAGAAATAACAGAAGGGATTGAAATAAACTGCTTGCAAAACCTGTCCTGGCTAAGAATAACCCTATGTTTTGAAGGAATTTTGGATAAGAAGTCCAGGTATATTGACAGTAAAATCTTGGTTTGGCTTTTTTTTTTAGGAGGTAACTTGATGGAGAGTGATATTTCTCCTCAAAGAATGGATAATAATAGCCATATAATAATGATATTGCTTTTTAATTTCAGTTTATGTTGTAGGAGAATTTTCTTGCATAATGAACATGTAATTTACTGTGATATTCTCAATTAGTAATATCTTGTCTGGTCCTTCTTTGCCAGCAGTTACACCTGAATCTATTTTTTTCATCTCCTGTACTTTGGTTTTAATTGGTAGTATGAAAGAAGATGCTGTTCATCTGAAAATAATATAACCTATTTGTTTTGCATCGCCCTCAAGATTACATCTTGGAATGTGTGTGATCGCTTTAGAAGAGTGAATTCATTTCTGTATTTTTCTAATGTTAACATTAGAAATAAAAAAATGTTCTCCGAATTACCACTTTATTAGCCAGTGTCCTAAGATAAACTAGGAGCAGTGCTGTCGAATTACTCCTCCTGTTTCAGACAGGCCCACTTCTTTCTTCAGGCTTAGCTGACTCTGCAATTGTTGCATTTAGAAACTCATGTAGACCTTTGTTGTCTTTTCAGTTCTAGTGCTTTTTTAAGAGCTTATCTGTGTTTCTGAGGACAGTCTATTAGCATCTGAAGTGTTCAGACCAAGGAGAACACGTCCTGCTCTCTTGCCCCATCTGTCTGCCTTTTGTTTGGATTATTTACAGAGGAGGAGTCACCTTTTCCTCCATTTCTACCTGATTATTTTTGTTTTGAAAATAATAGGTAAATAAATTGCAAATGAGTAACAGAAACCAAGTTCATTCTGTATCAGTACTGTACAGTTTCTGAGAAGAGTGATCCCTACTGATTGCAAGTTCTTCTATGCCAGAAAGGTTTTTATCACATAAAAGCAAATGTGTGGGCCTGTGAGTTGTTCTGTTAGCAGAATCTTTAGTATTGGCTTACGCAGTTGCTTCTTAACAATTGTCACAGTTTTTGCATTAAATATCACTCTATTTTTTGGGTAATTTCCTTTCTCTTACCTGTTCTTCATCTGTGAGGTTGCCCATGAAACAAAATTAGAATAGAATGGATCAGTTGGAAGTGTCCTTCAAAGATTGTTCCAAGCTCCTGACCCCCCTCAGGGCTAGCCAAAAGCTAAACCATGTTTTTCAGGGCACTATCCAATTTGCTCTTGGGTTCTGACAGGCATGAGGCGTCCACCACCTTGCTAGGAAGCTGCTGTTTGACCACCCTCTGAAGAAAGAAGTTGTTTCTCACGTCCAACCTGATTTAGCTTAAGATTATTCTGGAATCCTTGCTTCCTGTGCTATAGACTTGGAGAAGTGCTTATTGTCTTGTGAATAACTGGGTAACGATGATTCAGTGATTCAGAGAATGGTGTCGATGAATGTCAGGAACAGATATACTTCGAAATCTCAAAATAATCAGATAATTTATGTTGGAAAGAGCTTCAGGAGATCATCCGGAATTTCAATATGCAAGACCTCTCAATTTAGTATCAGAAATGAATCCAGGAAAAAAAAAAATGCATTCCTGTTATTTCTTTTGTAACTGGAATGTTCTATGGGTTTAGCAAGTCTCAGAGGGAGTACTTTGTCATGGGCCTTACTGAACAAGTGAAATTCTACCCTTATTAACAGAGAAATCAAAATAAATGGCAATAATCCCAATGTCTGCTATAGTATCATTTTAGAATTTTGTTTATATTAACAGAGTTCCTATGTAAAATGTTTGAGTTTTAATTGTGGCTTAAAAAGGTAAACTTATTTTAAAGGGAATTTAATGAAGTCATCTGAATAAACAAGCCAAACTGAAGAATGAAAAGCTCGTATTAAACCAGGAAGTATTATGAAGTTTGAGGAACAATTCTTTAAAGATTTAGAGTAAAGCATAGTTATTAATTTTTGGAATAGATTCCATTAAACAACTATAATGGCATCTAACAACTGCAGGCTTTAGTGGAGATACAGGGTTTATGACATTGGTTTCCCCCATAATTACCTCCTTCTAACTCTTCAGTTACACTGGCAGTAATTACTCCCCTTCCTGCTGTTCTCTGCTGGGGCTGATAATTTTCCTAACTCTCCCTTTGCTTATAGCCTTCCCTGATCTGCAGGTGCCAGCAATTCTTGTCTTTCAAACTGTATTTCAGTAATGTAGTTCAGCTGAATTCAGAATGGTTGTTCAAAACCCATACCTCCTATTGTAAGAGCTGTAAAAATTACTCCGTTAAAGTTACTGCTGAGCCTTACAAATGTGGCTGTGCAAGAAGTACCTGTCTTCTGAGCGCTTCCAGTGTTTGCACTCTTGTTCTTGCATGGTGCAGACCATAGAGTGGGCTTTTTCTTGTGTTTTTTGCTGCTTTGGAGTTGAGGTAGGAGGAAGACAGTTTGGTTTTATTATAATAATTACTATTATTATTTCTCTTGGGAATATACTAAAAGATAGAGCATGGATAAATGGAGTCTTGAAAGCGACTCCTATTTCTTTTTGGTTTGAACTAAGTCCAGCTTCTAAAAGGAACTCGATGCGTGTTTACAAAGTATTTAAAGCTGAAGTTAGATTGGGCTTGCATTAAGAGAGCTGCAAGGTTGCACATCGCTTGTGACCTGGGACATGCTGGCGTGTTCCAGCTCTGCTTCACACTTTCTGCATCTTCTGCGTGCTGTCAGTTCTGTTGAGTGGGACAGTGGAGGGCATAAAGTCTGGAAGGGTTGCAGCTTCAGTACAAAACTGAGCCGCACTTCCTCACCCAACTGCATGCGAACCACGGGCGGTCAGGTGCCCGAATCAAATTTGAGTTATAATAAAAGTATTGCTTGGAAGAGACAGGGAAAAAAAAAAAAAAGTGAGGTGTAGTAACAGCTCTACCTTGTAAAATAAGGATCTAAGTTCAGTGCCAGATGAGAGATGTGAATTGTTGCATATGGAAATATATGTGAAAATATTTATTGGAGTAAAAGCCTGTTAGAAAACTGCTGGCTTAATTAATATGGAGTAAGCATAAATCACAAATTGCAGAATGGGAAAGCTGGGAAGGGTCTCCTTTATCAGCGAGTCTAGTGATACAACAAGGAATAAGAGCTTTAAACTAAAAGAGGGGAGATTTAGATTAGATGTTAGGAGGAAATTCACTCAGATGGCAGTGAGGCACTGCTGCCCAGAGCTGTGGGCACTCCATCCCTGCACCAGACCTTACTGCAGTTAACATACGTTACTTGATTTAATCTACTGGTCCTGTCATGAAACACCCTTGGTGTAAATTGTGTTACGTAATTTGATTGTCTATCATCTGCTGATTTTTTTTCTTTTGTTCTTCAGTGTTGAGTATTAATGATTGAGCTGTGTATTATGCAGTAGATTTTCGTGTTAATTTTGAAATGTGTTTTTTTTGTTTGTTTGTTTGCAGGGATATTAAACCAGACAACATCTTGATGGATATGAATGGCCATATTCGATTAGCAGATTTTGGTTCTTGTCTGAAACTGATGGAAGATGGAACGGTAAATGAGAAGGAGTGATACATTCCTAAATGCTTTATGCTCAGTCCTTTGCTAGCCTATAAAATATGTGTTAATAAAGAGAAAAGGTACTTTGTTGTAAATCAAATAGAATTATAGTGGTATTGGTTTGCAGCTAGCCTCAGCTCAAGATATGACTGTGTGCTGTTTGAGCTACTGTATTTTAAAAGCCTTTTAGATGTGTGTAGTCAGTTCATTAATAAAGGGATGCTGCGCTATCAGTACTGCGTAGGTGTTTGTTGATGCATCATGAATGAACAGCTTTGAGCTCTGAGCTCTAATTTTTTACTGGAAAAGGCATCTTTTGTATAAGCAGGGCAAGATACGGTTCTTGTATCATCATCATGTTTCAGTAGCATATTTAAACTTGCACAGTGTCTAGAAGGTAATGCTGGTGGTGTAAATTCATGCCCCAGAGTGTTAAAGAGTTTGAATTTATGTGGTTACTTAAAATATAATTAATGAATAACTTGAGCCTAAGCATTGGCATTTTGTTCTTTCTCTGTTACTAGATATACATAAGAGTTTCTTGAAAACGTATCCTTGGGATGCTTTTAAATGAAGTGTCTTGAATGCTTTAATATTCTGGTATAAATTTAGAGCCTTCTTCTTTTTTGTTTTGTTTGTTCTGTTATAACCAGAACGTTAGGTTAAATTTAAACACGTTGCCATGAACAGTAGCGTCTGTAATGATGGAGGCTGTTCTTAGTCTTGCAAATGTAATTTCTACAGGTTCAATCTTCAGTAGCTGTTGGGACGCCAGACTACATCTCTCCAGAAATCTTGCAGGCCATGGAAGATGGAAAAGGGAAGTATGGGCCTGAGTGTGACTGGTGGTCCCTAGGCGTTTGCATGTATGAAATGCTTTATGGAGAAACACCCTTTTATGCTGAGTCCTTGGTGGAGACCTATGGGAAAATAATGAACCACAAAGTTAGTGCATTTTCTCTTTCTGTCTCTCTCTAAGCTAAATTTCATAAGCAGTAGGGTAACTTGGAGGCATATTTTAAAATGATTTTTTTAATGTAATAATGTTGTTAATGTTCATTAATGTAGAGCATAAAATGTTTCCACATAAAGAGTTTATGGTTATGGTTTGCAGATGGATTTGCTTTGGGATAAAGCAGTTCAAAATTAAAAATCTGGATTTTGCAAAACGGCTGTTAGTTCACTCACTGGAGTGAGAATTGGCTGCGTTGCCTCGCTCCTTTTGGGCTGCTTTTTTCTGTTGGATACGTTGGTTGGCTTATGCTGCAGAATCTTAAACGTTCTTCCACCTGGAGGCAGCTGTAGAATCCAGTGGTTTAAGAGCAATTCAAATAAACAAGAAAAAGCGGAATACAAAAAAAATTCAATAGTTTCTATCCTTTGGGGAAAGTCTTTTTCCTAGAAACCTTACTGTTTATTTTTAATAACTTGAGTATTTGCACATTTATTTTTCTACTTAATAATTATCACTTGGAGGGATGACTTTTCCAACTTCTACTTGGTAATAAACTATTTTCTGTTATTTTAATCTTTAAGGAGAGGTTCCAGTTTCCTGCTCAAGTGACAGATGTCTCTGAAAGTGCAAAGGACCTCATCCGAAGGCTAATTTGCAGCAGAGAGCATCGACTTGGACAGAATGGGATAGAAGACTTTAAGAACCATCCATTTTTTGCTGGGATTGACTGGGACAACATTAGAAACTGTGATGCACCTTACATCCCAGAAGTCAGCAGCCCCACAGATACATCGAATTTTGACGTGGATGATGATTGCTTAAAAAATTCTGTAAGTACAGAATTAATGTTTCGGCAAATCTGTTTTTGCATTATGCTTCAAAAATACATGTAAATGGAAGTTTATTTTTTTGTGTTTGTTATGTTCTGCACAAATAGCAATCAAATGCAGCTTTGAAGATCCTGTATGAGATGCACATACATAATTTGGAAGCTGATGCTCCAAGTATGTATTTGTAGGGATAATTTCAGTTAAAAATTTTGAAGTTGTAATAACCTTACTTCTGATGTATATATTTTATTTGCAGTGACAATTTTTTGGGTCCAGGTTGCATAACAAATATATTTTATGTATATATTCACACCTACGGGATACTATTTCTAGTGGAGCATTGCAGATACTTGTATTTTATTTGCATAATGCATTGTATTGTAGCACTCTATTTGTAAATGCCCATCTCTCTGCCAGATTTCATTTCAAGTCATACTGACTAAAATTTTTTCGAGGTTGTTTTCTGACTTAGGTTGAGCTTAGGAAACTTTAGGGAAAGAGTAACAGCCCTTATTTTCAGGACAACCATACAGTAACTGTAATCTCAGTAAGAAATAAATAGTTCTACCTTCGCTAAAAAAATTTTGCAACTGATGATTGTTAACAGTCCTAGTGTTTCTATGCCTTTAAATAGGACCTTTGCCAGATGGTAGGGATTCTAGCATCTGAGAAAAGCCTTCTGTTCTCTCTGCGGAGATGCATTTTTATTTATTGAAGGATGCAGAAATCTGTTATTTGCATATGAGGTTGGGTTTTGTTTTGTTTTGAGAAAGTTACACTTTTACCATTTCTTTTGACACCTTGTACCTCAGGACCTCTGAGGGAAATAGCTTTATGCACTGCATGGTAGAGGATATGGTACGTTTTTGCTTCAACGATAGGATGTCGTGTTTCGTCACCTCAAATTCTTCATGTGTCACTTTGCAATGTTTTCCCATCCATCTTTCATATGCATCTTCTGAGGAAGTTTCACCTACTTGTACACTGTTGTATATTCACCTATTGTACATTGTATTCATCTGTTGTATGCTACAGATGTGAGCATCATAGAAAAGCACATGAGAATTATTATTTTTTAATTCATTGGAAGGTTTGAATGACATACAGCAAATGAGGAATGCCCAGTACGGAAGGTAAAAGGCAGCTTTGCAAAGCCATGGTTGTTGTTTTTCTACCTGGAGGAAAGAGACAGTGATTGCATGGAAAACTTATATGCATGACAATGATTGTATGTTAAAAGTGTGCAAGAGGACAAAACAGTGTTGTCCAGGCAGCCTGAGTTGTGTTGATTTTTAGCTTTTCACTGTTCCATTTAGTACATTTATTGACATTGGCTTGACAGACTTGGATTCAGTTATAATGTTGTGAGTATGGTAACACACTTGAATTCACATAAATGGTAGGAAGTATGTATTTTTTAAACTATCTACTCCAAAATCAGCAAAAAAAAATTATTTTCAAATTCCTGCATCATTATCACTAGAGATGATATCAGAACCAATGTAATCCATGTGGATACCTGTGTGATAACTGAAGGCTGTTTGTCATATAGATTACAATGCTGAATTTAATCTTTAAATTCTTCATGTAGAAGCTTCTGAAACTTAAAATCTATGAGAAATAAAAACAAAATACAAAGGAAAAGTGAAGAAGGGAGATGTGAAAGAGGAAGTAAAAGATATGCTACGTGCTAAGAATGTCTTGGAAAAAGGAGGGAGTTAATTGCCTTTTAAAAATTGTTGTATTCTGCTTTTCTCCAGTGGTAACCTGTTTAATTAGAAAAACATTTTCGTGCTAACCTGCATGAAATAATATATATTACATATTTCATGCTATTATAGATAGACTTAGGTGGCGTGTTTCATATTTGAGCTGTAGGTGAGGATAACTGAGAAGCCAGTTAATGTGAAATTGTCACTGGCACTTCACACATGATTAAACTCAATTTTTTTTAATAGTCAGTGGATTATTACTCTCTCAATTATCATTTTTCTAGGAGACGATGCCTCCACCATCACACACTGCGTTTTCTGGCCATCATTTACCATTTGTAGGTTTCACATATACAAGTAGCTGGTAAGTAAGAGTTGTGGAATTATCCGTAGGATAGATACAGAATTTCCTGTTTCTTTCTGATACCCACTGCAAACAAATAACTAAATATTGTGGTCTGCTGGGGAGACTATCAGAGTATAAGCTGAAATGCAGTTTGTCCAAAAAGAATGAGCTCTCTGCCGGTAAAATTTACGTCAGTATGAAGGTCACCAACTGTGCACAGGGGAGTTCTCATGAGAGTGGTGTTTTTCAGACAGTGTAAGAAGTTGACCACATAAGAGTATGACAAAGATAACAGTAGATGTGTGGATTCAGAGGGGAACTTCGCTTAAAAGAATTAAAGAACTGTTTTATTTGGAGTCATTTGACACTCCTGTATCTCTGAATGGAAACAATAGTTGGTATTTATGTAGCGTTTATGTTCATCTCTGCTGCTAAATTAAACAATAACAAGAAAGTCCATTACTCTTCCATGAACATTGATGAAAACAAATAAATAATGATTACAGCTATTGAAAATCCAGCCATGCTTCTGCAAACACATATGCTTGATGCTGGTAATGTGAGATCACCAGTAGATGTCAAAAGGATTTTTTACATACGTAGCAAGTGTACATGATAATATGCAGAGCCAGGGTTTCACCCTATTTTTGATATATAGATGCCCTGGTTTTCACATGAAAATTTCACACCGTTTTTTGTAGTTATTATATTAAAAGTGTTTGGAGAATTCCATGAATTATTTTAAAACAAGCTGTTTCTGAAATCTTATAAACTGTCTAGAAGGTCACTTTTTGCTATCTGGCTAACTTGGGCTGTCAGTGACAGTCATTTTTAATCACAGAGTTGAAAATACATTGAGATCAGTCATGGTAGGTAAAAATGAATTTACAGTAATACTAACCAAGTGTTATTTTATTGTATAAATACGTTGAATAAGAATGGGCATGCTATTTACAATCTAAACAACTTTACTGTTTTTTGGTTTTGTTTTGTTGTTTGTTCTTCTTTTTAAAGATGACCTGTTGTAAAATCAAATACTGTTGAACTTTTTTTCCCAGTGTGCTTTCAGACCGCAGCTGTCTAAGACTGACAGCTGGACCACCCTCCATGGATCTTGATGCCAACATTCAAAGAACTTTGGAGGACAGTTTAGCAACAGAAGCTTACGAGAGGAGAATAAGACGCCTAGAGCAGGAAAAGCTTGAACTCAGTAGAAAACTGCAAGGTATGAAAAGATGCTTCAGTCATTCTTCTGACCTAATTAGCCTGCAGTTCTGTGAAGCAGTTTATCCTGTGGAAAAAAAAGAAACAGCCAAAACCTCCTGGAATGTCTTGTAGCAGAAAAGACATCTCTTTATTATTTCTGTTGACAAATTAAATATTTGATAGCCTTTATGCCTGAAGTATCCCACAAATGCAATTCCTTAAAACATGCTGTCTCTGCACTGTGTCTGAAAGAACTTAATTTGTTCACCTGACAAATGCTGAAAAATTGGCACTTAGCCATTCAAAATTTTAAACTGTAGAATCCTAATATGTAGATATGTATAGTTTTTTACAGGCGTAAGACATGGTCTTGCTGGGAACAGGGAAAGGTCTTAATACAGAAATGCTTAAGTTAGTTTAGTTGTATAGTGCTCTGTTATTTGGAAAAATAAAAGCCGTATTTTACTTGCAGTTGTAGGCTTTTTTTTTTTAAATGCTCATCATAATTTTTGATTTAAACTTTTGTGTCTGTGAGTTAGATGTTAACATTTGTGATATGGCCTTAAAAGCATAAATCTAACATGCTGTAGCGGAGGGTTTTTTGCTATATCTTCATTTATAGTAACATCCTTCTGACCACCTCTGTTCCTGTCTCCTGTCTCTTTTTCTAGAGTCCACTCAGACAGTCCAGGCTCTTCAGTATTCAACAGTGGATGGCCCAATTGCAGCAAGCAAAGATATAGAAATTAAAAGCTTGAAAGAAGAAATTGAAAAGTTGAAGAAACAGGTAACAGGTAAGTTATTAATGTAAAACCTGTAACAGTAAGCAAGAATTGTGACCTTATTTTTCTCTAAGATAATGCTTGTTTTCCTTTTCTAGAGTTTCCCGGTGTATTTTTACTTCTCATTACACCCTTCACTTTTAATACAGTGTTTTCTTCAAATTCAGCTTAATACTCTGTACTTCAGTAATTCTTATTGCAAGAGGGAAGGGAAGTTTAAGTGACTTCTGCTGTTATTATTAGCAGTAAAGTTCTATTGAATTCAAAGTGTGGTATTGCTAGTTTTCAAGGATGATCAGGCACTACCTGAGAATTTTCATTTGTATTACCTTGTTTTTTTTCCCCTCAACAATGTAATGCAAGAGCAGATGGAGCACTTGTTTATTTTTGCAGTATCAAAAGTCATTGTTGTCCTTTTACAAGTTACAGTCATCATAACTTAGTACTTCTTGCTTTGTATGCAAAAGGTGAGGTGTTTCCTGGAGGTGAGGAAGGTGTTGATACTTGATTATGAAGGTAAACATGAGAAATGAAGATGTTAATCTAGTACTTTTTTTTGTGGTTTGTCTGCAAAATTCTTGTGTTGTGGTTTAACCTAGCAGACAGCTAAACACCACACAGCTGTTCGCTCACTCCCCACCCCTGCAGTGGGATGGGCCAGAAAGTTGAAAAGACAAGTGCTCAACTCCTGGGTTGAGATAAGGACAGTTTAATAAGAAAGAAATAAAAGGAGAAAGAAAAAAAAGATCAACAACAAAGCACTAACAAGAATAAGGTGAGCAAGTGATGCACAATCAGTTGCTCACCATCAGCTGATCCCTGTCCAGCCAGTCACCAGCAACAGCTATGTCCTGGACAGCTGCCCCAGATGTCTGCATGACTGTATGGTATGGGACGTTCCTTTGGTCCTTTTAGGTCAGCTGTCCTGGGTCTGTCCCATTCCAGCTTAGCGTGCTCCTGTAGGCACCTCTGTGCAGGGCAGCACAAGCAGCTCAAAACTCCTTGACGTAGTGTAGGTGCTGCTCAGTAGTAACTAAAACATCTGTGTTATCACCATTATTCTCATTCTAAATCCAAAGCACAGCACCATGCTGGATGTTGGGAAGAAAATTAACTTTGTTTGAGCCGAAACTAAGACAGACTGATGGATGGATCTTTATTTATTTTTTAAATATCAATTGATTTTTTTTTTTCTTTTCATTATCTCCTTTTCTGCTCAATTTTGCTTTGAAATTTTGATCATATTCTTGGAAATTAAGAATTTATTTTCTGATACATAATTTTGTTATTTTGACGAATCTGATTTCTCCTATCAACCTAGATAGGAAAATGTCTGGATTTTATGTGGGAAAAATCAGACACAAGTGGTGGTTACTTAATGTTAGTTAGGGTAGTATGGTTAAGTTGTGGTTGGACTCAGTGATCTTTTGCTCTCTGTAACTTCCTGAAGGGAGGTTGTAGTGAGCTGGGGGTCGGCCTCTTCTCTCTTGTCATTAGTGATAGGACCAGAGGGAATGGTTTCAAGCTACGGCAGGGGAGATTCAGGCTGGACATCAGGAAGTATTACTTTTTGGAAAGGGTGGTCAGGCACTGGAATGGACTGCCAAGGGAGGTGGTGGAGTCACCGAGCCTGGGGGTGTTCAAGGAAAGGCTGGATGTTGTGTTGAGGGACATGGTTTAGTGGGAGCTATTGGGAATAGGTGAACGGTTGGACTGGGTGATCTTTTAGGTCTTTTCCAACCTTGGTGATTCTATGATTCTATAAAGGCCTTTTCCAACTTGAGCAATTCTATGATTCTATTCTATGATTCTGTGATCTCTACTTACATGCCCATACCTGTGGCAAGGGAAAACCCAATGAGAAAGGCTCAAGGAAAGAGTTAATTTGGTTTGTACTTGTGAAAAAATTCCTAAAAGTGTCAGGAATGCCAGCAGGGACACCCATAGAAAGAGAACTTCTGAATATTACTCGGTGTGTTTACACTCTGCTGCTGTGCTATGGGGCAGAAGCACACTATGAACTGCAGTTGAAGTGCATAGATTATATATTGCTAAAATTATATTGTCTGAAAGAGACTGTGTTATAAATGTGCATTTGGACAGCTTCTCTGGCATGTTCTCTGACAGTTTTTCCTTGTGCCTTAAGTATTACTTTTGAATGTGAACATTGCTTAAGTAGCTCAGGGAGGATTTTACCTATATAGATGCTGTGTCAGGACAGAAGTTATTGTGAAACTTCTTTCCAGTCCCTGTAGTTGCTGCTGTAATGATGAAGGGCATAGCATCGTTGGAAATCTCTATTCTGAATCAATTCTCTGTTTTCGGTTCCTTAGAATCACAGAATAGCAACATTTGTTAGAACAGCTTTTGCAGAAGACCAGCTCCTTAGAAAAGTGGCACTGTCAGCTTTCAATTATATTTGCTTTTGACTTGCTGAGCTGCAGCTCAGTTATCAGTTCATTCTTCCAAGTGATGAAAAACAAAGACAAGGTGTGAAACATTTTTGAAAACAACTGACAACCATTTCTACATATAAAAGAAGTCAATATCTGGTAAAGGCAGTTAATATTGAGATTTCCCCGTAAGTGTCCACTGAGTGTTTTCTTTTTCATACCACATTTGGCTCTACAAAACACCCATGCCTTTGATTTTGGGGTTGGAAGTGAAAAATGTGATCAAATAAACAACATGCAGAGTCATGTAATTGATCCAGTCACTTTGTAACTTTTCCAGTATGTGCTTGAATGCCTTTACTGGTGCAGACAATATATTTAACAGTGCATCTGTGCCTTGAGTTTTTACTAATACAAGGTAATCTGATATAAATGGAAAAAGAGAATGTTTTACTTGATCTGACGGATTTGTGGTTGGTTGGTTGGTTGGTTGGTTGTTGGTTGTTTTGATGTTGTTTTTATGAGATAGATAATAAAACTGATAATGAGATAGATATTAAAACTAATTAAAACTAACTACAGAAGGCAGACACAAACCAGATGATGATCCTGTCTGGATTCCAAGTTCAGTGGAGCCAGTTTCAGACTTTCTGGATGGCCTTCCAAGCCTGGATCTGTTGAACTTTAAGAAGGTAGATTTGAGGTGCAGAGCTGAACTTTATAGTTTGGGCTTATCTCTTGAGCACTTAAGTGCAATGCAGTAACTTCCTACAGGGCGTTTGCTTACATTACCTAAAATGTTACCAAAAACTAGAGTGATTAAACAGAAAACTGCTGTGTAGTATTCATAAGCTACAACCAGCTTTAATCTTTTTTACTGCCTTATTTTGAATTGTAGGTGTAAGCATCCATTTGAAAAGGTAATAAAAATAATGTGAAATTGTGTCAAATTCAAGACTGTAACAAGGAACCTTAGAAAAATACAGCATTTTTTTGTCTCTATGGTTTTCTGTGGAATGACACTAGTCATATGCTTTCACTTTTTGAGGTCAAAGTTGTATTTTTTTGGTCAGCAAGTTACATAGGAGAAAACCGAGGAATCTTTAACATTGCCAGACATATAAAGGGCAGCAATAGAGGAAGAAAGTAGAGCTATGGAACAAAGTAGGTCATGCACAGAAGAGAGATTTATCTTGGCTCAGCAGGGCCGTATATAAACTTTCTTTTTGCTGGTGACTTCAGAGAAACCTACATAAGGGAGGCAGTTAATAATTTATAGCTCTAAGCTACATCTCTTATTTAAATGCACTCTTTTTCATTAATAAAAGTCAATGAATTAAAACAATGACAAATAATTGTATGAGGACAAGATAATGGTGTTCTTTTCCTTTTAAAGTTCTTTTGTTTCAGGAATTGCAACTGTTAAAAAAGTATTTTTCTATTTGACTTCTCTAAGAGCCAATCTCTTAGGGGTACATTTGTGAAAATGTAGTAAAAAGCTTGTATTAAGAGTATGGCTGAGTTACTGGTCTATGGATAAATGTGTAGTGTGAACTCCCACTACAACTGAAATCGAAGGCAAAATGTCTGCAGATTTTGTAGAACTGAGAATTAAACCCACTTTCACCATATATTTTGCTTTCAGAATTAGAATTTTTAGTTTTCTCTGATATTTTACGCATTTCAACTTTTTATTTTAGAACATTTGAAAGTATTTGATGTTACTCATCTCTGCCTTAGTATTGCATTTTTGTAGTATAATTGACAGGAAGAAACTGGCTATAGTAGTTTTCTTGCATTTATAGTAGTAATGAAGCATATCATATAAATACAAGTGGTTTTCATGCTAAAAATAAGTAAAATCTTCTGAAGTTAATTTTAAGTCTATCAACAGGAGAACCTTTGCCAGCTCTTGAGTGATCTGATATTTTTTGCTGGTTCCTTCTGGAGGAGTTTGTGTGGAGGAAAGAGACTGCTTGTAGTTAAGATACGGTGTAAGAAAATGAGTGTTATATATAACATCACAGTGCACACAAATCAAATGCTGAAGTCATGTGGAAGTGTATATTTAATAGGGTTGTGTGTGTTTGATTGAATGTAAAATGACAAGTTGTCATTTTTTGTGTTGCGTTACAGTAATCTGTGAGCTTCTGTTCTATTCTGCTAAAAACAACTCGAGTAGTTGAAACAACTTGCTTCCTATTCTGAAATCAGATAAGAATTGCTTTAGTTTGTGGCTGGGACAAGAATAAATACTGAAGGGAGTTTTAAAACACCTAGGCAGTGCTATTGTGGGATGACTTTCTCTTTAACATATCTAAAATATGCTGCTTTTTCTAGATTCTGGTCATCTAGAACAGCAACTAGAAGAGGCCAGCACTGCAAGGCGGGAGTTGGACGATGCTTCCAGACAAATAAAGGCTTTTGAGAAACAGGTTAGAACGCTGAAGCAAGAGAGGGAAGATCTTAATAAGGTAAAGTGCTTAGTCAGTGACTATTCTAAAACCAAAGGACTATTTTTATGCTTTAATTTTGATTAAAATAACTTTAAGATATAAAATTAATGAGTAGATGATAAATGTGTAATGTGACCTACTTTGCTTTCTGACTTGTTATAAGGCAAGGACACTGTTTAAAGCATTTTGTGTATGATTGTTGGGTGGTCCTGGGTGACTAATTCCAGGTAATAAACTACACAATGATGCAAATTTGGAATGGCTGCAAAGAAAGTTTTGTAGCGTTAGACTAAGGTGATAATTATAGTGGTTAAAAGATGGAGAAGAGCAATTCCAGACAAATAATTTAATTTGAAGTATGAGTGAGAGTGCAGCAGGGAAAAAATGCTGAGAATTTGCTGTTAGGGATGTGGCATGGAAGCATTCCAAGAAGGGAAGTGTGAAAAAATTCCCAAACATAAAGATTTGAAAAGTGATTTGCAATAACTACTGTAACAAATACTGACTTTTTTTTTCCTCTATCACCAATTCCTCATTTTTAATTTAGTATGTACTCTCTTTCATGCCTGCTTTGTGTTCATGATTGAATCACATTGCAAACATGATCAGATACAAAATACGTTAGGCTTTTTGTCATCACGATTTGTATTAGCCCAGTATTTTAGAGTCCATGTTCAGTGTTGACCTGCCATCTGTATTTCTCATTCTTTCTTTTAACTCATAAAGTTCTTAAAATCTTGAATGCTGTCAGGTAGTCTAAGAAAGACCATTCTGAAGCAATTTATAGTGATCAGGACATCTTTTAACAAGCTTAGAAAACTGTTAAATTTGTATAGGTGCCAAATATTCTTTCTTCCTCCCGCTTTTCGTTTTCAGACTCACTTTTCCTTGCTTTTTTTGTTCATCTCTGTTTTGGCTGAACATCATTAAACCATATAAACTGCTGTGGTCCTTCATTGATAGTGTAGTAGCACAGATCTAAGAACGTTTTGTGAAAGATTTACACCATAGGAGTAGCAGTGTTCTCTGTGTAGGTTCTTGTGAAAGGGTAATTATCATTTACTATTGTTGAACACATTGTTTTGTATTATCTGAAACATTCTGTACTATTTTATATTATGGTATAGTATGTGAAAATCGTAATTGCCATGTGCATCAGTTCTCAGAAGCTTCAAAAGCAGAGGTCCTCACATACAAGAGTTTTCCATTCAACTAATGCAAAAAACTTGTGAATTGTCATTATTTATCAGTTGAGTACTTTTTGTTGATTTTTAAGTAGTTCATGGAAAAACTGGGCAGATGAAGTTTTTTAAGACAGCAGGGCTTTTTTATATTTTAGTGTGAGTGCTTGTATTGAACCTATAGTAATGGAGCAAATTCAGACTTCACATAAATTTACGCAGTTTAACTGACTTCCGTAGTAAAATCTGATTTATAGGAGCACGCAGCCTGTATTGTGGATGCATTTATCAACATAAATGAGTATCTGGTTTCTCATTACTTTGGAGAAGTTTGAGATGCACATCCAGAGAATTAGCCTTGCAGCTTTCTAGGTTTATTACTTAATTCTTTTTTTAAACTGTAGGAACTGGCAGAGTCTAGTGACAGATTAAAATCTCAAGCCAAAGAGCTGAAAGATGCACACAGCCAGCGGAAATTGGCAATGCAGGAGTTCTCAGAGATGAACGAGCGGCTGACAGACTTGCACTCTCAAAAACAAAAGCTTGCCCGCCAGCTCCGAGATAAGGAAGAAGAAATGGAAGTGGTGATGCAAAAAGTAGAAAGTTTAAGGCAAGAGTTACGCAGAACAGAGAGACTTAAGAAAGAAGTAAGTAGTAAGTTTAGAATTTATGAACTAGTAGTTATATGTAAGGTTTTCTGATGAAGCATTTTTTTAATGTTGTTTGTAAATCTTTTAAATTTTTCTTATTTTAAACGATAACATTTTTGTTTCATAAGAATTTGAAGTGTCCAGGTTAGTGTTGAAATTGTGTCTCTCTTCCTGAAAATCATAAGTAGGTTTTGAAAAAATGGAGAGAACCCTGCCCATTAATAAATGCATGTATTTTTGTAGCTGGAAGTCCAAGCTGAAGCTGCGGCTGCTGAGGCATCCAAAGACAGGAAATTGCGAGAGCGGAGCGAGCAGTACTCCAAGCAGTTGGAAAGCGAAGTAGAAGGGCTAAAGGTTAGTCTGTTCTAATATTAACACCTGTAAACTTAGCAGGCAACAAGCACTGATCTGTTTGATTGCTTTCAGCTGTAAGAGAAAAAGATACTATCGGTTTGACACTTCAGTTGGTGCTGAATACTGGTACAAACGTGAATTGTGTTATTGTCCAGAAGAATCAACATTTACCTATTGCAGTTTTCAGACCACTGTATTCATTGCTCTCTGAAGAATTTCTCAATAATTTTTTTACCAAATTGCTTCAGTTATTACTTCGTGTAAAGGCTTTTTTAAGTGTAGAATGGCTGAGTAAAGATGAACTTAAAGCCTCTGCAGGTTTCTTTACAGGTGTTTCACATACTGTGTTCTAAATGAGAAGAAAGGTAGGTTTCTCCAAAATGGAAATCAACAGATGTAGCTGTAAAGGAGAAGTTTCAGTGTATTTAGATTGCTCACACATGCATACATTTTTTTAGGAACAGAAATTTAAATAAGCCAAGAATGTTAACTGTTATTTTATTCTGTGCTTTAGCATTATATACAATGCTCTAAAGAAATTAGACTTTCTCAAAAATTGAAGGGCACGGTTGTTTTTTTTTTGTTTCTGCACTGGGACTGTTGTTCATTTACAGCAAAATGCTGTTCCTGGGATAATTCTGTATTTTTTGTACAAAATATCAAGTTAGGTCTATTCTGGTCTTAAATCACATGGATAATAATTTTATTATTAGAATTCCGTGGAACATTCGTCAACATTAGGTCACTGCACAGAAGTTTTTGTTTTGATCACCCATTCTTTTATTTTGCCTTCCTTCCTTGAACGAAAATAAGGAAATGCATTCATCATGAAATTTGTATTTTTAGAGCTCCTGATGCTGTCAATTCAGATTGTTGTCTGAAAATTAAGATATATTTGTTCTGCTTTCATTAATCTTCACCGTTAGGAAAGAGTTTGTATATCTCTCTCAGACATGAGGGGAATTTATGGGAGATCTACTGAGAAAAGATGGTAAGCTGATTTACAGCAACAAGGCAAGTTTATCAGAATAGGAAAGGGAAGATGTAGATTTGAATCAGGTGTGGCAATATAATAATACCTGCAAATGCACAAATGCATCTACAGATGTAATACAAAAATACCTACAGATGTCTCTCTGCTCTTCTGCTGTTGATGGGCATGTTTATTGGTATATCTGTGGCACTGCATAGATTTGCTAGAAGAACTTATCCCTCCTATTTACTTTGGTAAACTTAAAAAAAAAAAATTTAAGTATGTTCATAGGCTAGAATTTCAAAATAAGCATGTTTGTCAAGGCTGATTCAGAATCACTAGGTGATTCTGGTGCTAATTTGTATGGCTACTTTTTTTTTTTATTATTTCTTAAATTTGTAAGTTCATTTCAAGCAAATTTAGACTGCATTCTGTATGTTAAAGTTTTAGATTACATACTGAAAATGAAATGATTTCATTCTTACCCGAGCAGTAGCAAATTATTAAATTGAGAGGAATAATGTAGTAATCTATAAGTGACAATTTATATAAATTGTTAAATCTAAAAAAAAAATCTTTCTTAATATGCTGCATTTGGCAAGTATTTCTAACATGAAACTGCTGTTGTAAACATCACAGTCCTAAGTTTCTTCATATTCCTAGCATAGTAAATTATCATTACCTTCTGCAGAATGCAAGATATGAGTTTTGAAGCAATGTGTAATACCAGAGGCTTATCACATTAAAGCCAAGCCAAAAATCTTCCAAGATTTTTACTAGTATGTTTATTTAACATTAGATTGCTCAATTAGTAATTTTTTCCATTCCATCTGATATAGTATTGCAATATTTAATGATTATTATTCTTTATTGTACAAGTACAAAACTTGATGTCTGTTTCGTTGCACTTCATTCGTAGTACATGATGTACATGTCAAGCCATATAGTTTTATTTACAGCAGTGCAGCCAGTTTACTCTTAGTCAGCTACATACATGTCCAGTGAAAGAGCTGCTGTGTGGTGTCTTTATTGTTTGTGTGTGCCTGTGAGAGAGGAAGAGAGAGGGAAGAATTCCTGCACTGAGTTATGGCATCTATCTACGTGCCAAATGATGCATTATGTCTCAGTTGCACTATTTGGCCACTTGGAACAGGCATGTATGAAAACATCTATTTGGAATTTGTGCTTACATCAATTCAAAACATATTTTTTGTTTCTTCTGTTACTCTAATTCTGTTTGCTATTGTACAATACCACCCAGCTCTCTCTTCTGCTGCAGCATCTGTTTTATCACAGAATTGCAGGGGTTGGAAGGGACCTCTGATTGTCACTGAGTCCAACCCCTCGCTAAAGCAGCAACCTACAGCAAGTCACACAGGAAGGTGGCCTAGTGGGTCTTGGATATTCCCAGTGAAAGGGACTCCCCAGCCTCTCTTTGCAGCTGTTCCAGTGCTCTGTTACCCTAAAAGTAACAAAGTTTTTCCTCACGTCTGTATGGAACTTGCTGTGTTCCAGCTTGTGCCCGTTGTCCCTTGCTTTGCAGTTGGGCATTACTGAAAAGCAGGCCTCAGCAGCTGCCAGCAAGGCCCAGTAGCCCCAGCTGCCACAGCCTCATGCCCACAGCTCCTGTATGGCTCCCTGGCTGCTCACTTTTTAGTTTTGCACCCAATAGGATCTTTTGAAATAAAATGTGAAAAACCATTAAGACCATGATGTTGCAAACAGATGTTTTGCATGCGGCACTGTTACATACGTGTAGGCAATTAAGTGTTTTGGGCAGTAAAAAGCAAGTTCAGTAGTTGACTACAGGGGCATGAGAGAAAATTCCTTCCCTTTCCTCTCTGAACCATCTCCATTTAGTATGGCATCTTTTTTCTCTGATTAACCGTTCTGCATCAGAACTGCAGGATTTTGTTCTTTGATTGAAACAGATGGTCATTTTGATGAGTTAGAGAAAAAAATGCAGCAGCATGTATCTGGCTCATACAGTTAGAGGTTTTTACAGCATTAGGTTGACACTCAGAGCAGGGCCATTTTTTCACAGATTTCATCACAATAATAATTCAGATAATCTGAATTTCTTCAGTGCCATTTAGCTCTTGAAATCTGTTCATGCATCATCAAGATAAACTAAGGAAAATTATCTTTACTTACAACAAGAAGAGAGTTACAAAATATTGTAGAACCTCCTACAGGTGTGAGACAGTTATCCTAAGGAAGAAGGTTTTTCAGTTATCTGCCATTTTTTGAAGCAGTCTTTTTATTAATTTGCTTTATTTATTTAGACTATGTTTCCTTCTGTATTCCTTATCTATAAGGAGAAAAAAATCTGAACCAAGTTATGCATGTATTTACATGAAATATAAATGCATCTACATTTCCATACTTGGATTTCAATGCATGTATAACACCACAACCTCAGTTTGTCCTGTTACTGCAGGACTTTGGGTGCGTGGTTGATACAAATGTGTATGTGTCCTTAAGCAATATGTGAAGACTACTGAAATGCCAGATCTCACCAAGAGAACTTTGCAGCTGTGAAAAGTGAAGTACTCTTATTGTTTAAAGCTTGTATTTCCTGTTAACCTGCAGTGATGTAAATGGTTAGTTTAAGTAAAATAGATCAGGTTTTCCTGACTGATGCAATCCATATAGTGTTTTTGTAGCTAGAATTTAGCCTTTAGTCTCTGCCTGCCTTTGTATAGTTTTTCCACAAATTATCTATGCTTTGAAATATATTGACTATACATCGTTGTCCTTTTTCTGCATTCCTGAAAGCCTCTTGGTTTTGTTGCTGTGAACTGGATGAGTGGGATCATAAGTGTCTTTCAGTGCTGCTGTCACTTTCTGACTGTGTGTAAGGGGAGTCACAGTGTGTTACGTGGTGTTTAAAGTGATGATTTCCATGTTTTAAAACTATTATTGCATTTAAATCACAAAATGATAAAAGTACAGTTAAGATTTATGATGAACAAATTTTCAGAAAGATAAAAATAGATACATGCTTTTATGTGAAGTCTGTAATGGGATATTTTCTAAACACAGACTTAAGAGTATTGAGTTGCTGCTAAGCATTGTTTTCAGCATTCTTGAGTGCTAACTTCGAGCTTCTTGTTTTAGCAAAAACAGATTGGTCGCTCTCCTGGGGTAAGCAGTATAGAACACCAGCAAGAGATCACTAAATTAAAGGCAGACTTGGAAAAGAAAAGTGTTTTCTATGAAGAGGAACTATCTAAACGTGAAATAATGCATGCTAATGAAATAAAAAGTCTGAAGAAGGAACTACGGGATGCAGAGAGCCAGCAGCTTGCACTTAAGAAGGAGATCATGATTTTGAAAGACAAGTTAGAGAAAACCAGAAGAGAGAAGTGAGTATTTTATGGAATAAAACAAAAAAGCTGAGAATATCTTTCTAAGGCTCCTGTTGTATTTCCTGACACAGTATGGTTTTGGCTGAGCTAATTGATGTTCTAATGGTTCCAAGGTATGTAACGTGAGTTTCAGAATTGCAGCTCAGGATATATTGACCCCAGATATTTATCTTGCAGTTTAAAATATTTGTTTACTTTTTTTTTGTTTGGTACTTTTGATGCAAAAGAAATGTGTTAAAGATCAACTATTGCTTGCATTTCTTCCTGCACAGGAACTTAATGCGGACTAGGGCTAATCCATGCTGAGTTGTATCCAGTGTTAACATCAGTCATCAGGCTACTGTAGGCATAAGCTGCTTTATCTCTTTTGGCGTGGTAATTTGTCAGAGAAGTGCTTTTTTTCTCTCCCATGCAGTGGAGCTTGTAACTAGCCTTGACAGTGTTTCTTGAGGCATTCATAAGTAGAAGTGAGTTTTTCTGTTGGATAGTGTAGTGTTCAAAATGCTAATAGTCGTAACGTGAATGTGTTCCTCATTTCCATTCATAAAAATCGGAGTACTTTATAGACATTGAAGTAGGTGTTCTTTTTTGCTGCTGTGATATTAGAAAAAGCATGGAGGAGAGATTCCTACTGAAAGCCTAAGCTGGTAGCAGTCCTTGAATATAAGCAGTAAATAAAATAAAAGCATTTTTCAAAAAGCCTGTGCAAATTTCTAAGCTGAACATATTATTGCAGCAGTTTGCTGCTTCATTAGATGTTGAGAGGTGAAGCATGCCATTAGTAGTGTGTTTTCATTGTATCACAACTTAATGGTCTTGCTGACCTATGGCTTATAAATACAGAAGAGGCTTTGTTGTCTTGTAATCAATAAAAGGGATAATATGATACTCTTTTAATGATGTCAGCTCATTAGTGCCTCTAAAGGAGGGAATATTGAATCATTAATACTTCTTTCTGCAGCCTAAACTGTTCTTAGAGATGAAACCTTCAAATGCCAACCAATACAAAAACTGTGGAGTTCTGTGAAAGCTATTCTAATGCACAGCTGCAGAGCCTAGAACTAGATGTTCATCTACTGACAAATGGCCTAACGATGCCGATCTCCTTCATGCTAGCTTTTTGTCTTACAGCTTCTCTCTAAATAGAAAATGAGCTGCATCAAAATCTGAAGTGAAGGTTTGATGTAGTCATGTATTTCTGTATTTTAAATGTTGATGTAAGAAAAAAATTGTAAAGATTGAACAGAAATGTATTATACATTGGAATCCAGCATTTAGCCTTAGTGGAAAGGGCTTGAGCATCTTATCAAGTCAGGTGTCCAAACGCAGCAGGAGGGATTAATGAAGACTTGACCTTCAACTGGGTTTTGTTAAACTGATAAACAGAATTTCACTGGGTCTCCACAGAAATGCAGAAATTCACTGTTCAATGTATGCTGCAGATTGACATCTGTAGTAATTCTGGGATTTAGAAGGAAAGTCTAAGTATTAAGAATGAAAGAATTGCTGTTCAGTTCATAGTATTTGGTAGTTTTTCTCATGAGAGCGTTACTTTTTTTGTTTCTCCTTGCTTGTGTTGTTTAGCTTTTGTAATCAGGCATACAAAGCATTTTGTGTCTGCCAATACAGAATTACAGAGATGTTGTTCAGTGTAAGCATTGAAAGGAAGCACCTGAAGTCTTCATGGTGAAATAAGTAGAACTGTTTAAACAGTAGGCGTGGAGTGGGCTCAGCATTGAAGTGTATTTGGTAGTCTAAAAATAAACTTTAGTGTATGTTAGAAGGATAGAGTTTCATTGCTTTATATAGTAAAGAGTTATTTACTACAGTAAATAACTATAATGAGCTATAGTAAAGAGTTAATTCTGTATGTTATTCTAAGCAAGGGTCAGTTAGGTCTCAGTCAGAATCTGCTTTGGAAACTTTTTTAAAACTTGCATGCTTTTTGTTTCCATTTCATTTTTTAAAACAGGGTTGTTTTTTTTTTAAATTTGTTTATTTCCTTTAAATTTAGGATTTATTCCCTGTTATCCCAACAGTGTAAGTGTTCAAGGAAGAGAAACTACCCCTCTGTACTCTTTGCAAATAGTCTGATAAAGTGTGTACTACTAAAATTGGAAACATAGGGGCATGGTATCAGGTCAGTGATATGTGTAATACAATATTCAGTTTCTTAGAATTGTTATTATGAAATAGTTCAGAAGGTGGGTGAAGAATAGGGCGAAGAATAAATTGTGTGTGGAGTTTTACGTCTATTAATGATGGATTTATAAAGCAAGAAAGTTCTATAAAATAGTGTTTGCTTTTTTAGATTTATGATATTCAGAAGCCTCTGAGGGCTGGTGTTTGTTTTGGGTCTAGTTTTCTTGTTTTTTCAAAGCAGTAAGCTAAAATGTTAATCCACTTTGTACATCCACAGCTAAGGGCTGAAATGACAAAGTGATATCATAAAGCTCTATTTCATGTTGCTTCCATGTGGTTTGTGGTAATTTTGTTTTGTTGTGTTGTTTTCTTTTTACCAACAAAAAAAATCTGGATCGCATATAGTTTCTTAAACTTCTGAAGTGAATACACAGCTAAATTTTAGATGAGAGAAGAAGCTTGATGGGAGAGGAGGGTTCTAGGCTTCAAAGCAAATGTATTTTGATCTTCTTGGCTGTCCAAGATACGCCTGTGGAGTTTGTCATAGTACTGTGGCTTTGCTGAATTGGTATTTGGGCGTAATAGATTATATTCATGTTTTCTTTGTGTACCATACTGTAGCAATTTGGCTTACTAGGTTGGTGACAATTAACAGTTTAATGAAGAATGTGAATACAGAGAATTACAAGCATGTTGGGTTACTATCCATAATTCACCACCTTTTTGACCACTTTGAGCCTTAAAGCCTTAAAATAACAAGAAACACAGAACATGAATGCTATAAATAAATAAATCCCCACAAAAACATTGATATGTAAAAGCTAAGTAAAAGGAGTTAAAAAAATTAATGTTAAGCTTGGTCTACACTCTGATAAATTAGCTTTGAATCTCTGCTTTGCAAACAGAAGCAAAACCTGTTATTAATTTCCCTGACAGCCAATGCTTTAATCTTTTCCTGCCTCTTCCCTGGAAGGCTCATCATGTACAGGGAATCTGTTGATACAGAGAAGGAGTGGTGGTGAATTTCAAACTTGGCGTTTAAACAGTAACGATAGTATGTTACTTTGCTAGGAGGTAGTGTTACATTTCAAAGGATGCCTAGCAACATAGGATTTCACCATGAATCTAACATGCTGTTCTAGATTTCAAAGAGAAGTTGAAGCACTAAATGAATTTCAAATTAGGGATAGGAAATTCAAACCAGTGTTACTCTCAACTGGGTTCACTGTAACCACTGGAGCTTCTCTGTTTTTTTAAGGGTGTTCTTGCAGTTTGGCACATTTGTCCTAGTTACACATCTCAGAAGCAGTGGTGAGGTTATAATTTCTCTATTATGCAACATAAAATTCTGGTTGGTATCCAGAAAAGCAGTTGCAGTGTTCGAGACAGAATTGCACCTGGATTTTATTTTTTTTGAAGAACTGCACGTTTTTAAACCTTTTAAAGCCAGACAGTGATGTTTACTGATGGGTATTTTCTGTACCTTTGGCATTCATACCACAGTTCCATCGATCTACATGAACTTTGAACCAGTTACCCATCACAGTGAATACAAAATGCTACGGTGCCATCTTGTGAAACTTTCTGTTGTAGTGAGTGTCAGAATGGAAGTTCCATTTCTGACGGGAGTTGGAGGTCTGCAGCACTGCAGTACAGCTCTTTGAGGAAACGGCAATGGCTTTTGTCAAAACATGAATGTAATTTCAGGTTCTCAAGTTCATTACACAGCATCTGTTCATTCTGGTTACGTACATTGTGGTTTTCACCTGTCATTCTGTATGAAACCTGAAACTATGGAAACGTGAAAATTAAAATAGCGTTTCTGTGGACTTTAAGAGAAGCTGTCTAGAATGTCTCAGAATATTGACAGACTTCAATCTGCAGAATTTTAGCTGCTCGGTGTTTGAGGGATTCATTAAAGAATAAAATGTGTACAAGTGGATTGATAAACAATGGCTCGGGGGACTTCTTTTAATATTGTTTTGAAGGGAAGTTAATTGATGATTAATAGATAACAGTACTAAAATGGTATTTTAACACCATTTCATCTTTAGTCTCATCTTGGTAGACTGGGTCTTACCAGTGTAGTACTTTCCTTTCAGTTACTATCTGTATCAGTCATTATATGTTTGAGTAAAGACTGTGATACATTTTTTAAAGGAAATTTTCTAAATCTAATGCATTTTATTTCTTAGCCAAAGTGAAAGAGAGGAATTTGAAACAGAGTTCAAGCAGAAATATGAACGGGAAAAGATTCTGCTAACAGAGGAAAACAAGAAACTTTCCAATGAACTTGATAAGGTAAGTGCTGAGTAGCTGAGGGCTGAGTTTACAGTTAGTGTAGGCTGTGTACAGATTTGGTTATGTAAAGTGGTTAACAAAACTCTTACTAGAAGATAATATTACACAACAAAAGTTGTCGTTAATATTTGAATAGAGAATATCTACAGGCATCTGAATTTGAGATTGCGTTCATATATATATGTATATATGCAGGTATGCGTATATATGGGTGGGTATTAAGTTATGTGGCTTTTACTAAGACTTTTAAGTTTGCTAAGATTAATTTTATATGATATTCTAAATAGAAAAAATAGAAGCAGATAATATTGAAAAAATAGACATTTAAATCAGAGACCCATTGAAATGATAAATATGTAGCTAGGTATTCACATAAGGAGTAAAAACCTATAGCTTAAAAATTAATATTTTTTCATCATTTTGATTTGTTAATGCATTTCAGTGCAAAAGGCAACATTTCATGTGAGATTATTCTCCTCTTCACGCCTTTCTATTAAGTCTATCTGATGTCTAATTTCATTTTGATTTGGGGAATATTTAACATAATGAAGTTTTAGCTTCCCGTAAGAAATCAGGTTAGCTGTGGCTTTTGCCTTTCAAAAGGTTCTTGTATGAATGACAGCTGTGTGAATGCAAGGAAGGTTAATTGCTAGGTATTCCATTTTGTACTTACAGATGTGCATTTAATTTCAGTTTTTCTGTCTGCGAGTGATTAAAATGAAGAACGGGAATGTGAAATACCTGGAGAATCTCCTGACTGATTTGTGGCTGTATCTGTTAAGCCTTATAGTCCATAGTTACTAGATAAGGGAGAGATTCAGTAGTTTTATCTGAGCTGTAACATTTTTTGTGCCTTTGTTTGCCTTTTCAATTTGTTTTTTCATATAGAGAGCATTCTACACATATATGATGTGAAACAGAAACCCTTTAAGAGTTGTACAGTTATGTGGAGACTAGTTCTCTAAAAACTGATGTGTTGTTTTTTAGAGCAAAAATGTAGTTCTAGTCCCTAAAAAGACCTTTAAGCACAGCTGAGATCATACATGAAGAAAGATTCTGGCTTTTATTGTTGCATGCTGTTCATTGTGATGGGTGTTAACAAACTTGAGAGCAGTTATATAAACTGAGAGAGAGAAGAGAGGCATGGCTCTGAGCCTGTGGAGAGATAGAGTCACAATAGCTTATACATTTAACAGTTTGTTTAATTTCTCATTCAGCTCACCGCCATGTTTGAGAGGCTGAGTATGAATAACCGGCAGCTGGAAGAAGAAATGAGAGACCTAGCTGATAAAAAGGAGTCTGTGGCCCACTGGGAGGCCCAAATTACTGAGATCATCCAATGGTGAGTACTCAGTCTGTGGTAGGGCTGTTGCGGAGTTTTGCATTTGTATTTGACACTTGCAAGTGCTTAGGTGAAATCCCACACCTGTCAGGGATTCTGCTGTATTTTTGCCTGAGATTTTAATAACATCCATATCTGGAAAATTGAGTTCCTCCTTAAGAAGGAAAGTGTCTTTTCAAATACAAGGATTGAAGTGCAAAATGATCATGGCTGTTGGGTGTGGCTTGTGGCTTTGGAAGAATGCTGAAAGGAATCATGTGCTGAGCTCACGCCTCCAAGAAGGAGCAAGCCTGGAAAAAGTGGTGGCTGACAGCATTTCTGTCTCAGCATTAATGTCCTTCATCTGCTTGGCATGTGTCAGAATGAAACAAATGTAGTGCAACTTCTGTGTGATTTTTACAAGGCTGAAAGGCAGAGGATTTGAGACTCTCTCAGTGCCAGTCAGATGATGTTTCTAATAATACTTCAGTTAAATAATGATTGTTACACTTATAAAGTCTTCTGACCACTTCTAGTAAATGGAGAAAAAGAATAACTTGAAACTATTGAGGGAAAGAGATTGCTCTTTCTAGACATCTTTCATTTTTCTCCTCCGTTTCTGTTTTTCTCTCTGTTCCCTTTGTATGTCATAATGTAGTGTTTGGTATCTATGAAAACATTTTGTATCTCAACATTTTTTCCACTTCTGTGTAGATATCATTATACATATCCATGTAGTAACTAAGTAATGTAACTTGTTATGCCAAAGCAAGAATCAGAAACATTTATTTTAATGAACCTTAGTATGCCGATTGTTGTAAGTATAATTCTGTTGTTCAGATAGACAGAGTTTGCCTTTGAATATAACTGTGTGATATATAACAAGAAAGCAAGATTGTCCTCTGGCTTTCTGGAAGTGTTTTAAACTGTTAATTAAATAATGTAACTCTGATCTGTTTTATGAAGTTCATAGTGTGTCAAGGCATTGAATTCATAGCAGAGATGACAAATTTTAAAAGGTCCAATTGTGCAGGTTGTCTGTCCCATCTCTAAATGTAGTAGACTGTCTGCATCGGAGAAACATATATTTATTTGCTGAAACTCTGTTAGTTTGTAGCTGATTGCAAATATTTATTCAGAAAAAAATCAAGCTAAAAGAGACACAAGTCTGTTTTACATTCCATGTTGTTGGAAAGCACTCAAAAGTTTGGAGCTACAGAATAAGACAAGTCGGCATTAAATATGGATTGTTTTACTTGACACTATGTTAAAGTGTACCCACAGCCATTAAGGAAGTCCGTTCTCCAGTTGATGAGAGTGTTTAATATTTTAGGATGTACTACTGATGTAGTTCAGATACACGATAAGGCATCTTGCACGCATCAGATGTCACTTGGGAGGAGGAGAGGCTCGGGATTGTTTTGTTTGGCGTCCCTAAAGATACTAAATGAAACAAAGTTAACATGCAAGAATAATTTTCTTAAAAGCATTTTACTAATCTCTTTCAATAGTACAGTGTATTTTAAAAAGTATGGAGCTGAAAATTAAGAATTTGTTTAAAGAAAGGCAAAGAAAAAAATACTATGGTTGGACATTAAGGAGATAGAAAACATGATTTAGTTTCAGTTTTTAATTACCTTATGCATCTCAATTTTCCCTTTGCATTCCTTTCCACCTGTATTAAAATTTTTCAGCATTGTGAGGCGACATAGTTGCTCTCATTTCTTCCTTATTGTGTTTGGATTTCCCATATGTTAGCCATATGATCTGGTAATGTCCTTCTCCTGTTGTTAGAATTCAGCACTGCATACTGAAACTGGGTCCTTTTTTTGGGAGCTTTCTTGCTGTGGAACATGGGCTGCTGTATAGATTATTATCCATTATAATGGTAAACATTTGAAAAGAAAAGTATCTACATTCTTTTTAAACTAATTTAGTCAGTCACATCTGTGTTTTCTTTGGAAGAACATAGAAATTCAATCCCTACCTGAACGCATCTTCAAATTGGAAATAGCATGCCTGGGAGCTAACAAACTATGATAGATCTTCTGAGCTGCATCTCCTCACCTAACAGATTTTCATATAATACTAAATCAAAATATAAATTTTGGGTGCGTACTTTAAAACACCTTTAAAGTATTTTTTTGTCCTCTTGTCTAATTTTTCTGCTGTGATTCGTGAAGGATTGGAGGCAGTATATGCAATTAATTACTATTTTGGTAAGCAGATTGTTTGGCTCTCTGTGAGTTCAAGGTATTTGTTGCAGCTCTGTTTTAAGTAACACAAGCCTAAGGCGTTCTTCGCTTCGAGTGTTTTACCATCTTGCAGATCTCTCTCTGGACACGTGTGGCACTCACGTGGCACTCTTTGAGTTCACATTTTGGGCAGTTAAGACTGTTGCTCTTTTCACAACTCATTGTGAGTTTCTGAATTTTATTTCCTTTCAAATTTTGTAATCTGAAAGTTATAAAGCTGACCTGTCATATTCCCTTTAGCTTTCTCTACATTCTTACTGTGATCTCTTGCATCTTTTTTATGGAAGATGTACAAAACTTTTTTAATTTTTGCTATTATTATCCCAAGGCACCATATATATAACAACTTCTTAATATAAATACTTCAACCAAAATTTAATTGCATATTCTATTGTTGGTAGCAATAGACCCTCACAGATCACCCAACTTTCATGGAGCTACTATAATTACATGCTTATATTGGCCAAATCACTCATCGTTTCTTGACAAGAATAAGAGATGTTAAGGACTTTATAGTTAGCTATAAATTTTCCTATGGAAGATAGGAAAGGAATTCATTGTCTGTGAGGTTAACACAGTCACTTTAAAAGAGAGACTTCTGAATAGCCATGGTACTGTATTTCTGATTTACTGCTGTGAGGAGATTCATGGAAATCTTGGTAGGGATTCCCAGGGTACTTGTCAAAAATCTGAACTTACTAACTCTCTCTGGGAGGCTATAAGCCAATGTTAAAAATTGTAAAGGTAGACAATCCCATAAGTAATACTGTAGAAATCTCTTTTTCTCTCCACTCATTGAAATGGAATCTTTAATAATGAGTTCAAATTAATAACTTTGTATGTTGAGTATGTATGTAAAAATGAACTAAATCCTACCTAATTTACTCATAGAGTGAAACATTAAGCTTAGATTCAACTGAGGCCAGAAGGTATGGCTGTTATTACAGAGAAGATCAGGTGAATATTCTCCTTGTTAACTAGATTTCTTTCTACCAACTGCAGTATGGTTGATATTATCCTGATTATTCATTTCATTTTTTTTTTTAAGTGCCACAAGTGCTTTAAAGTTCTTTGAGTTTTGAAATCTGCTTGCTCTCAGAAGAAAGCACACACAAATTGAATACAAGATTTAGAGTAGGATGGGACTTTTGATAACTATCAGAAGTTGCAGGAAATTCAGCTGAAAACCTGAGATGTTCTGAGATTCATGGTATTCAAAGTAGGAATAATCAGAGATTAATCATCTATTAAGTAGAAATTATGGAGAATAATGGGAAACTTCAGTGTTTGAGAGCAAAGAAAAGTGCTGAAAGTTTAGAGAAATAGGATTGGTTTGTTTATTTCTTTTAAATAGATTAGGGGAGAAAAAGAGTTGAGACTTTAAGGATAGTGATAGACAGAGATCTAAAACCTCTGAGAACCTACGGGAGAACTAGGAGTGATAGCTTTCAGACTTCCCTGAGGTTTTAAATGAAATGAGATGCAGCTTGGTATGTGACCCCAGAGCTTCAAGATCCCTTCTGTTTAGCAAATAATAATAATAAAAACAATAATAATAACAAATGATAAAAAAAAAATTAAAAAAATCTTTGGTCTTGATTCATTTTGTGTTGTAAAGTATTCTGGACACAGACACAGATGGTCCCACTTTCCTAGTAGCATGACAAATAAACTACCAGATGTTTGTGAGTGGTTATTTGAAGGTTAACATAATGATGTCTCCAAGTACATAATGAAATTTTAGTTTTAGTCAGTTGCTTTACAACAGCATAATAATCACCAGCAAAGCAGGAACAAATCCAAATGCTCTTAGGAAATCAGCATTTGATCAATATGTAAATCATTTTGGAGAAAATGTTGCCATCTAGTGGGCAACAACACCATTTCTACTTCAAATTGCACTAGTAATTCTTTAATACGCTAAAGAGTCTGCTTAAACATGGCATCAATTTTTGTAAAATCAAACAACTTTCTTTCTAACATGGGAAGTGAATCTTTCTGTTCCCACTTGTTCTTTGTTCTTTTTAGTATCCATTTTGTCATGTGTAGGCTTCTTATGCTGATTACTGCACCTTTTGCCTACTCTTGTATCATAAGTGGTTTGTACAGGACAGGATCTTCTCATCTAGTCATCAAAATGGGTTACATATGGAATGTTAGAAAGTTGATAGTCTGCTTTCATTGAGTCCTCGTATACCTTGGGAAATCGCTAACCCATTCATATCAAAACTATCACATTGACATAAGTGGAATCAGGAGATGGTTTTTAGTTTAGTTTTGTTTTTAAGTCTCCTTCTTACCCATTGAACTAAATTGTAAGCAAGAGACAAAGAAGATAAAGCTTACAGAATGATTAAGTTCTTAACTTTTCCATGTTGGGTGGGAGTTTTGTGGCAAGTACTCTCTAGCTTCTCTGATTAAAGCATTCTTCCTTAAATAAATCTTAAATTGCACACCGAGAAGTCACTACAACCTGTAGATATTTACTCTGTAGCTTTTACTATGATAGAGCTCTTCTGTTCCTCCCGAGTCCGTGGCAATTCAAAGTGAGAGCTCCACTCTGGCTTGCTATCTGTAGAACTTTGTTGAAGCATTATATTATTTTCATTAATTAATGGCAGACATTCAAATTGCACCGTTTCCATATTCACTGTGTAAAATCAACAAGAGAAATTTGTGTTGCTTTATATGCAATGAGGAGAAATCCCTTTCTGCAGACAGGTCACTAGGAGAAGCTGGAAAAAAGGCAATGCTGCAGCCATTCTTAAGAAGGGTAGAAAGGATGACCCAGGGAACTACTGACCTGTCAGCCTCACCTCTGTGCCAGGGAAGATCATGGAGCTGATCCTCCTGGAAGCTATGCTAAGGCACATGGAAGAGAGGGAGGTGATATGAATAACCAGCTGTCAGCGGTTTATGGCTGGTTGGGCCCGGTTCTATGACCAGCAGGGCAGAGAGATCCATGGATCTCCGCCTCTGGAAGAGGGAAACAGGGGACCCCAAAGTAATTGAAAACAGAGGCAACGATGTGAGGAGAAACAAACTAAATATAGTATCAGCAAAATATAATGAGAGAGAGAGAGTGTGTCTGAAAGGTGGATAGGCCTCACCGCAATGCTGAGGTGAGAAGTGCAAGTCCAGTTGAGCAGATGAAGAGAAGCAGATGGAGCAGAGCAGACGGAGAAGCGCAGGCAAAGAAGAGCAGGCAAAGAAGAGATCTGGTGACCTTGCCAGGAGTTCTATCTCCTCGCTGACCGCAAAGCCCCTGGGGAAATGTAGTTCTTCTCCTCCGAAAAGGCACCCGGAACATGAGCATCAGCAGTCAAACCCCCAGTGCATTACATGATGCTATGGTGTGGAATACTGATAACCAAAAATCATAAAACCATGACACCAGCATGGCTTCACCACGAGCAGGTCCTGCCTGACTAACCTAGTGTTTTTTTATGATAGCGTAACTGCATTAGTGAGCAAGGGAAGAGCCACTGATGTCATTTGTCTGGAGTTCAGTAAGGCATTTGTCCCTCCTAACTCCCTTCTCTCTGGACTGAAAATGTATCAATTTGTTGGGAGGAATGCTCAGTGGATTAGGAACTTGTTGCAAGATAGTGCAAGACAGTGGTAGTCTACAAATCCAATGTCTAGATGGAGATCAGTGACAAGTGGTCCCTCGGGGTTCAGTGCTGGGACTAATACTCAGTACTGTCTTCATCAATGACATTGACAGTGGAGTTGAGTGCACCTTCAACAAGTTTTACCAACATTAAGCATATTTCTTTTCCTGTGTCTTGACTGTTAGCCATGGCCTTTCTTTTTTTCCATCCTGAGCCTCATACGTGTTGTATAGGGGCAGTTTGGGGGCCAAAGGGAGGCTCTTCCTTCTGCTCTGAGCAGAGATGAGGACCCACTTTCCCTCATCTTGTATGTCAGTGCAGTCCCTCAGGTTTGGATGTTAGCTTACCTTCCTCTTGCAGGGACTTAAGTTAGGGTTCTGGCTTAGCCTGTGTCAGTACTCTAAGAAAAATGAAGAGAATTTTGTTTTTTGTTTAGATCGTTTAATTAAAACATTTTTCTTCTAATGTAATTGTCTAGGGTAAGTGATGAAAAAGATGCTCGAGGTTATCTTCAAGCCTTGGCCTCTAAAATGACAGAAGAACTAGAGGCCCTGAGGAACTCCAGCTTGGGTGCAAGAGCTACAGTAAGACTTATCATTCTGAATATCAGATGTTTTGTTTGTTTAAAAATGTAATGGTCATTTGATAGTTTTAGCTGCAGTAATAATATTCTTTCTGTAGAGGCTGTGTTAGTCAAAAGCTGAACTTCTCTAGAGCTTCCCTTCTGAATAACTGACTTGCAGATTTATTGTTTATCACATCATGTAATTTTTTTCTACAATATTCTTGAAGTAGCTACTTTCTAATCATATATTAATTTGTTGAAGGAAATGTGTACTATGCTGCACGGAAAGCTTGAAGTCTTTCACTTGTGCCTGTCCTTCATAGTGGTCATTTGAATCATTTTATCATTTTTCACCAGGACATGCCCTGGAAGATGCGCCGTTTTGCAAAGCTAGATATGTCTGCAAGGTTGGAACTGCAGTCAGCTCTTGATGCTGAAATCCGAGCCAAACAGGCTATTCAAGATGAGTTGAATAAAGTCAAAGCTTCCTGTATCTCTACAGAGTGGTAAGACTGAATTGTTCTATGGAAAACTTTCTTGGATTCCTACCAGAGAGCGTCAGTGTATCATCGTTTAATTTACATTTTCTGTCAAAATTTGATAATGAATGATGCTGGTTTCTTATATCCAAATGTGAAAAAAAAAAGATATCTGTCTTTACAGCACAAGCAGCTGGATGCTTTCTTTGGAGTTTTGGAATCTTGACAACATAATGTAATGTCTCCTAGTTTAGTAACCAGTTCAAATGTAGAATTTATTCTTATCCATTGTATTGATAGCTGTACGGATTCATTCCAAAAAGAAAAGAAACCTACTATTGTGTATTGGTTTGCACAGCAACAGTATGTGCTTGTAGGAGATTATGAATGCTCTTGTTCCTTGGATCCATTTTTTGAGGTTTTTTGTGTTGTTTTTTTTTTGTGTGTGTGTTTTTGTTTGTTTTGTTTTGTTTTTTGTTTGTTTTTTGTTTTTTTGTTTTAACTTAAATTATAAAATTTCAAGTAGGGCATATGACTGAAGTGGGGAACTAGTACCAAGACATTAAATTTCTAGGTCTCTAGCTTAAATTTAGTTCAGATCAGTGGTGCCTAAAATCTAATACTGATGAAACTTCTTGAAACCCTGCAAACACAAATTTGATGATAGCATTTGTCGTAGCATTTACCACTGAAACTTGTACCTGTTGTTTCCTTTGCTAGTTTGGACAGAAATCAAATACAGAACATGAGATTTTTCTGAGCCTACAAGAGAATTCTGTTTAAGGCATGTTTAAGAACAAGCTTGCACTACTACTAATGATTACAGCTGAATTCTGATGAAAAAGTAGGCATGAATTCCTTTAGCTGTGGTTTCAATTCCTTCTACAAGCGTTAACTTTGTTAAGCAAATAGGCACAGTAGGTGAAATACAAAATACATCCTGTTTGCATACCTCCTGCCATATGTTGTAATTTGACTTAAGCTAAAGCATTGCAAGTATGCCATGAGAAGAAAATTGGTCCTGCACTATGATGTAATAGAAGTTACATTTCCAAATAACAAATCTCATTGAAGTATTGCAGTGCTGGTCCTTTGAGTTGGTGTAGGTTGAAGTAGATGCTTAAGCTGAAATATGACTTTTGAGCCTTCTCTTAGAGTCACACACATTCTGTTCCTTCTTTCTCTATAGAAGTACTTTTTTATAGGAGCATTTCTGTCATCTTGCAGTGGCTAAACACGTAAAAGGGCAATACAAAGCATGGAAACATCTCCTAGCAGAGAAGGGGTAGGATGTGATGTAAGAATTTCAAATACAAGCAAAATGAAGAATTTTTCTTGAATCGTATCTGTGGGGCACTGACTTGTTTTGCAGCTTTAGGAAATAGTTTAGACAGAGCTGAGGTATCTGTGAAGTGGGAATACCATTTCCACTTAACTGGGAGGTTTTCACACCAGGTAACCTGATGATAGGCAGCGGTGTAGATCCTGTAAAAATATGAATGTCACTGTTTTCTTTGATCAGCAAGGATGAGGAGTGCTGAGTCAGAAAGAACTGAAACAGCTAACAGTTATACATGATCTATTAGTATCAGAGGTACTATGAATGAACAAAATAAAAACTCAATTTCTTTTTTTTTTTTTCCTTACCCACAGGATACAGGCTCACACAATTACTCATACATTAGAGATGTGACCTTACCTAATGGTTAAAGAAGGGCAATTAATGCCTGTTCTGTTTCTTTAAGATACCTTACTGAAGAGGTCCAAAGTGGTTTCTGAGTTCATTCTTGCATTTGATGAGATCATGCAGCTTGCTGGGCATTGATTTTTAACTGAGCAGTAGTCCACATGCAAAGATGAATAAAGAAAGTGATTTGTAACATTGGTTCTCAATGTTTACAAAGGATTTTTGTTTGTGTTCTTTTGAAGTAAATTACAAGAATCTGAGAAGAAGAACTTGGAACTGTTGTCCGATATTGAAAGGCTGAAGAAGGAGACGGAAGAACTTAGATCAGAAAAGGGTATGGCAACTGATATCCAACTAAATAAGAACATATTTCACATTTGTGGGTACATCTTATCAATTAAGTGTCGTCTTTTCTCTAAAATATGATACCAGGAAACTTTGGCATACAAAATGTGAGCACAGCTATTGCATGGTGAGATGTACCCACAGTTGAATTTGCTCATGTGTACTTGTAACAGCTTTGGTGATACACTTGAACGAGTAAGATATTATCCATGTTGGAGTTGTAGTACTTTTGTTTGGCATATGTATGGTATTTGACTGCCAGAAAACTGCTGAAAGAATGGATTTTTTTTGTAATTGTTTCCCATCTTTGATGAATGAAAGGTATTTAGACTTTAGCACTAATCACTGTATTTTTCGTTTATGAACATTTGAGGCCCTTAAGAAGGAAAACAGCTGCAGAGGCACTGTGCAGTTCATTCATTGGTTTCTTCAATGGATTCATTGATTGGCTTTGTAAACATGCAGTGATCAGTGTGGTCATGTTTGCTTTGCTATGGTTGTAAGAGAATATTCTGGGATTTCTGTTGCATCTGCTAACTGTTTTGCATTAGAGAAGAGACTTTTAGTAAGTCTGAAATGAAAAAAATTCATTGAGGTAAGATTAATGATTTGGCTGATTCTTTACAGTTCCCGTAGTACCTCTAATATTTGTATCTTCTAAGTGGGAAGAAGTGATTTTTCAGGCCAAAAGGAATTACCAGATTTTTTGTAGGAAACTGCTTGAACTTGAGTTTCAAAATTCGAGCAATAGTTGCTGCATAGAGATTTCAAATGTTGTTTACTGTCATAACAGCCAATAACGTGTTGTAGTTAACATCTGTTTCCATATATAGGCCTCCAAGTGTTGGCTGACTGGTAAAAAGGATATAAACCTGTACAAAATGTTCAGAAATCACTGGCACTGATGAGCAAATACCACTTAGGGAATTGTTAATTTTTCATCTCGATGTTAGTGCTAAGATCAGGATTATACTACTGAGTGGGGACATTAATGTTTGCTCACATCTAGCTTTTACTTTTAGATTTATATTTTTGAAAATATTTTTAAAAAATTGTCCATAGTTACCCTACTTATGAAATCTACCTTTCCATGAAACAATCTGTTAAGAGCTTGTAATTAATGTTTCATCTTGTATTTTTTCTAGTCTTAATACCTTATTTTTGTGGAAATGGAGATAAACACTTGCTTTTTTTTTTTTTTTTTTTTTTTTTAAAAAAGAAGAAAAAAAGGAGTATTAACTATTGTGTTTTCAGAAGTAATGTATAGATTCTACTGTAATTAGTCAAATATTTTGATAGGAATATATCTTAATTCAACATCCTTATTATCTTTTGGACTTGATTCTCCTTTGTAAGAAGAACTGTATAGTTGTCTCAATCATTACTTGTGTTGAGGATTCAGCTGCAGTTAATATTCCGTGGTAGACTAACTTTCTTGTACGTGTAGATTGATTTCTACCATCTTTTGCTCTTGAGAAATGCATTGCAGAAACCAAGAAGGGTGGGGAAAATGATTACAAAAATGATTCTGTAGGAAGTAGGTTATCAGAGAATTTTGTTTAGTCTTTTTCTAGGATTTCAGTGTATTTATATAAAAACTGTATTACTTGAAAATACCATGTATTCCCAAACAGCATGTTTTGTGTGCTTTTTGTTGAATCTCACTGTTTGCTTTTATCTACAGTCTTGCCACAGCAGACTGTCCAATGTGCAGGCAGAGCAGGGGTGACACCTGCCGTGTTAGTGGTTAAACCTGTATGATTCAGTGCATGTTGGAGATGGCCATAAGTGCATTAGAAACTTGTGTATTGCACAGAAGGCACGCATAAGTATGGTTTCATGCTCAGTTCACACCACATGCATCCTAGCTTGGAAAAGGCTAATTAAACATTTGTTGCTTGCTTTAGTGGGTATATATCTATTAAAAAAAGATTTTACTGTGGAAAACAGACCAAACATGACAATTGCTTTAAACAAATGTAGCTGTCTGAGGTGGATTCCCAAACCCAGAATGCGGCAAGGCAAAGGTCCTCCATAAAATGGTCACTTTTCTGTAGCTTAAAAACCTGCTGCTGTTTTCTAGGTGTAAAGCACCAAGACTCACAGAATTCTTTCTTGGCATTTTTGAATGCGCCTACCTCTGCTCTGGATCAATTTGAAGTAAGTGTAAAGCTGCTTGCTCTCTCAGTTGTCAGTGAAACTTTTTACTATTGCTGTTTTATACAGAATACCCACTTGCTGAGAGTTTGTTACTGTTTTAATGATATTATCCTGTATTTACTTGTATACAACAGTATGTGAATATTGCTCGTCATTTGCAGTGCTGGCTGTCTTCTCTTGAACAGTTAATAATCATAGCGAATTCTCTCTAAAATGCTGAATGCAGAAATTTTCCTGATATCATAGCAAACAAGTAAAGCAAAGGTGCTCAAATGACTTTGGTACGTGTTCAGAATAATGCTAAGTAATGTGAATGCTGGTTTTGTAAACTTGAAAGTATGCAAATAATCCTTGATTGCATTCTGTGAAGTGGTTGATACTGAAGTGGTTGATATTTATTAGGATGTTTTCATTGTTTGTTCATTTTCATTCACAGATTTCTAAAACCCAGATAATTGCTGTTCATTTCCTCTCCACAGAATTTTATTCCTAAAAAATAAATCTCTTTAATTCCTTTGTTGCTTTTAGAATAGAGACCAGTTTAGGTAGAAAGTATGGATGTGGAAAATTGAAACAACACAATGCATTTCTTATCCTCTGTTTTAATCAACAGCCAACAGTGCATTGTTTTTCTTTAGAGAAAAGCAGCCAGGGTGAAATACTGGTCAAACTAAATTCAGTGGGGACAACACACCACCTTCACAGTTATACATTTGTTGTAAAATCTGTGATTGTTTTTTTCCTGATACATGTACAAGATCATATTTAGCTACAAAAGACATTCCTGATGCTATTAATCTTCCCAAATTAAGTTGCTTTTTATTGTGTATTCATTATTCCATTGTTGTCTCATAATTCATAATTAACGCATTTTTTCATTTCTTTTTTAAATGATTTTCCTTGTAAGTTACTTTTAGAATAAAATTCCTCTTGGAATGTAGGAATCTTGTTTTATTGAGTCAATGCAAGAAAAACATTTGATTTTGTGTGTTGATTATTAATTGTCTATGAAAGGCAATTAATGAAAACTTGGGTAACATTTTGCAATTTGTCATTTATAGTTGTTTACTTTTGCATTTTTATTTATACTGAAGTTTTCTTCATCCATCTCTTTTTCTGTCTCTCTCCCTTCCTTTGTTTTTTTCTTTACTGCTGATTTCATTAAAATAGGACTCCTTTTCCTCTTCTTCATCCTCATTGATTGATTTTATCGATGACGTAAGTCTTTGGTTTTCAAACCAGTAAATCCCTCAATAACAGAGATCAGTTGATTGATTTGGGGTATTTGAACAATAATGCAGTCAAATAAAATGCTGCAAGTGCAGTAGAGAATTATACCTGTAATACTTACACCTGCCTATATAGATAGAATTAAATGGTTTTCTTTATGTGAATAATTCTGTATTGAAGAAGGTTGTTTCTAATGGGGAGAAGCTGCTTTGGGGTCTTTACTTTAGAAAATGGTTCTAAAATTTCTGGCATACTTCTATCACTTAGTTCTGTTGCTTCCTGTCGTTCTGTCAGTTGTCTCCAAAACTCTTCTGGTCACTTCAATGGAAATGTTTCCTTTTAAGCCTGTATTGCGGGAAGTAATTTTTATTTCGGCTTTGAAGTGACCTTCTTGATTGATTTCTTTTTACTGCCTTTTGAGATGCTAATTTTTAATCACAGCAGTGTTTAAAAATTTGCCCTGATTAGCTGCTTGCTAAGGAAATTAAATTACAAGCTGAAAATTGACTGCATTATATTTCTTCCAGGCTGAAGTAATAAGCACATAATTGTAAATGCTCAGAGGCTTTAAATACTCTACATCATTTGTGGACAACCACCCATTGCCATTCTTTGTATACTGTGTGTGTACATCTGTGTTTTTTGATATACACATACAAAAGTGTGTAGCATTTAAAGTACAATAATCATACTTGCATTAGAATGCAGTATAATTTATTTTATTTTAGAAATATTTGTTGTGAATGATGTAACAAGTATTGTATACAGATCTATTCTACTGATAGCATTTCCTTTCACCAATTCTGAAAGAACTCTTTTCGTTGAGACAGGTAGAGTTTCCCGTCTTGTAAAATGTGTAATAAATGAATTTTTATGTCCTTTACTGGGTTAAAGAAGTGTTCTGTATGTTGCCATAGCATTAGGAGCTTAGTTTGTGTCAGCAGGCTCTTTCATACCAAGGTACTTCTGAAAGAAGTATCTATTACTCTCCTACAGTGATTGATGAAGACATTGGAGCACACACTCAGATGAAGTCTTGTTTGGTACCCAGATTTTATTTTTGGAGTAGCTCCAAGTATTAATGTGTATAATGTTGCATCTGGATGATGTAATGCATACAGAATCAAACTTCGAATGCTGTATCTTCAAGCTGAATCCAACAGCTGTTTTTTTCTCAATTGCTTTGGGCAGGAGTACAATGCACTGGTGAGGGGCTAACCTCACTAACAGAGGGGCAGAATGCTATCTCACAAATCTGCTGAAACTCCAGACCCAGAGAGTTGAGTGTTCAAAGATGAGAAAAGTGCTTTGCAGACGAGTACAGTGCCTGCTGAGTTACCTTTCTTTTTTGAAAGAGAAATGTCTGTTGACCTTGTTAATAGTGGAAAGTAGTGTAATTAAGTTGTGTTTAAAGTCAATTCTGCATCCTTCTTTACTTGGACAACTATTTGATTCATTCATGGATTCTTAATGCCTAGTTCAGTTGTCAAGATGAGTGGTTTATATGGTTCAGCTAATTAAGTAGGTTCAGTGTCCATATATTTGGCTGAACTTAAAATGAGGGGCTCCTGCTCTCTCTGTCCACATCAGGGCTCTCTTCCTCTCCCCCCAGATGAAAGAAAAGCAAAGCAGAGTATTTGCTGGATATGACCTCCATTCCCTTTTCAGTGTCTCTTTTTGATTGTAGTTACCTTGAATGTTTCCTGTAGCATCTCAAGGAGAGCTAAACCTATGCTCAGTCATATCTGAAAAGTGGATGGGCTCCTTAAATTAAGTCCAGGGAAGTATTAGAAGTCCTTAGGTTAGACTCAATATAGGATGGTTTTCAAGAAAGTCTCTTCTGTCATCAGCATCCCAAAGTAAATATTATCAATGGCCTGAAATGAATCTCCACCCTCTGTGCTTCATTACAAAATGACAGGTTGTAAGCAGTGCTGATTTTGACTTGCTGGTTGTATTTGACATTTATTGGGTAGGTATCATGTTCTGTGTCTGCCTTCCAAATAGTGTATTTGTTTATCCCTGAGAATGATTGCAGTAAATGCTAATTGCCTCAGTGAGGAAAACAATAGCTGTGCGTTTTCTCTAGAGAGAATTAAAAAATAGATATCTCACTGTCTGTGGCCTGCAGATGCCGAGCAAGAAAACGAGTAGCTCAGTACTCCAAGTAACAGTCGCTGCTGTTCCAGCTGTTCCTCTTTAAATCCTCAATCCTTGATCAGATCTACAAAACTAGTGCTGAAATCTTCATGGTTGCAGAAGCTAATGTGTCCAGAAATGATCCTTGTTTCTGCTGTGTGCATGGGAGAGTGTGAAGAGGAGCAGGAATAGGTTTTGCTGTCTGAGGTTTCAGATTTTGGTGGGAGGGCAGTCACCCTCAGTGACTCTGCTGTACTTCCTTCTAAATCTTCATCTTTGTTGCCTTGTGCATCGCAGGCTGTTGGTAGCGTCACGTAGGTCTGAAGTCTGCTGTGTTCCCTGGAAGTGTCTGATAATGGCACTGCTGAGCAATGGGTTTTGAGCTTGTTTTATTTTTTGTAAAGGTTGATCTTTGTGTGTCTCACCAGCTAATGGAAGCAATCAAGTTGTTTTGTTTAAAGTTGAGTCAGTGATTATTTACTAATGGTAAAATGGAATTCCAGTTACCCTTGGCAAAATTTTTTTCACTTGCTGTAAAAGATTATTTTTTCCTGTTGTAACACATTATGAATTAAAAATAACTTTCTAAAATCATCCTGTGGGATTTTAGTTAAACTAAACAAATCTTAGACAGCAGAATAAGTCATGTTCTCAATTTTCATTTTTAAATAGTCAGTACAGTAGAGTGCTCTGACTGTACCTGCACATTCGTAATGAAGTTTAGAATAATCCTTAATGATACTTCAAATTGGCTATATTGCTCCTCCAGGAGATTGCCTTATTCATCTAGTTCAGAACACAGAGATATACTGACTACAAGTTTTGCTGCTTTGGTGTAACGTAGCCTACAGTTTCACTGTTACTGTCCAGTGTAAAGATGCAAACTTTAAAATAACTGTTCCTTTCTGTGATGTTTCTTTCCGCTCGTTGCCCCAGAATACTGTTTTGAAAATACTTTTAAAAATGAACGTGTCTGTGTGTGTCTAAAAACTACACCTGCAAACATACAGCAATGAATACTGAGCTGATTTCCGTGTCACTGTTTGGTTTTGTAACATATTCTCCTCCTTTCTTTGTTAAAGCGCTCTCCTTCCTGTATTCCAGCTAACAAAGGCAGACGTGTAAGAGGCTGTCTTACTCTGTGTGGCCCTTTATTTTTGCCTGTCATGCACATGCCTTCGTTTAATGTATGGATCGTCTGCATGTCTTGTGCTGCTGCTGCTCTTTGCTGCTGTTGCTGCTGCTGCTGTGCTTTTTGTTGTTTTACAGCCCTGGACTAAAAGCTTTTGGATGATTTGTTTTGGTAATACTTCCATGTGCGGAGTATCATTGTCTACTTTTTCATCTCAGTGTGGAAGTTCATTGTGAGAGCTGTTCAGGTTGCTGCAGGATGAGAGATTATGCTGCAGGATGAGTTAAATAAGCAGGATGAGAACATGCCAAATGAGGGCCTGTTTGAAGAGGGTGTGTGTAAGAGTTTCCTACAGAAGATAAATTTTGGCATTCGGGAGGCGTATCATAGCAAGTGATTGAAAATAGCACAGAGATAAATAGCAAGAGGGAAACTGAGTGTTGAAGAGGACAGGACAAATTCATACAAGGAAAGCAGAGTTGTATGTGTTATAGTCTGCTAAGCTATGGTGTTTCACAAAGCAAAGTGGAATTCAAAACCTGATGTTATCCATGCCTTGTCAGACTGCTTTGGTACTAGGTATGCTGTGCACATTTTGAACTCGCATTGCTTTTTTTGATTCTTTTTTGTATAGAAGATAATAGGAACAGGAAAGTATAGACAGCATTTATAATGAATTTTCAATAAACTATGATACACACAGCTCCAATAGTTACCTTAAATATGTAAATCAAAGCACACATCTCTGTGTTCAGGGCAAGCTTACAGTAACTGCTTGCTTTTGCCTACTGTGTCTCCAGTTCAGATATGTTTGCACAGTAGTCAACTTTGGCTCAGGCCTTCACAGGTGACATTGTGTAGACCACCAAACACAGAGTGGTGGAAGCCAACAAGGCTATTACAGTTTGATCTGAAATGTTGTTTTCCTAATCTTGGTTTAAAACTAATTTTAGTGATGTTAATATGACCCACTTAAATTGAGTTCAGTTGCTTCTGTAACTTTCTTCTCCTTGAAGTAAAGAACCTGAAGATTACTGCAGCATTACAGCTTATGGCTCTGTTTCTACAGTGAAGTTGGTGGTTAAATTCCCTTCAAACTCAGTAATAGTAGATCAGGTTCTGTCTGTTTTGTGGGTTTTTATGTTCATAAGCTAAGTAAAAATAGATTTGTAACTAGTTCAGCAGTTGATTTTGCTCCACAAAGGCTTTGTAGGACATTCCAGAATAGTTCCATCATTTATTATTATCCTGGTACCAAAGTTTTTAACAGACACTGTGAAAATTGTTTGGTATGCAGATGCTACTTTGAAGGGAGGACCTTCTGAGTATGTGGAAATGTTTATGCACTTATAGATATGATCTCTGGACTTAACTTACAGAAGACAAGGAACATCTGCTTCTTGCTATGAAAAATTTTCCAGTGGTTACTCACTGGGTTTATTTTTTAAATAAGGCTGTTAAGAAGTAGCTAGATTTTTTGAGGTTAGACAGTTTACATGTCACGTTATCACATCTTTAGGCTTTATTTATTTATTTAAAATAAAAAGTTTAAAATACTTAACTCAATTTGTCTAAGGATTCATAAGTGCTTCTGATGCTGGGTAAAGCTTCCAATTATAATTTGCTTCCGATAAATCAGTGTTCAGAATGTTTGCTTTACTGCTATTTTTTGCCTCAGTGCTTGAGATACATGATCTGTGTGTGGAAAACAGGTGTACTGCATGGTGAGAAAGTCTGTTCTCACTACAGAGAGAAGATGCATCTTAGTATGCCTGTGTTGATTAAGCTGATGAGCCTTTTTTTTTTTTTTTTTTGAAGGCTATGGCAAAGAAGCCATTAAACTTAACTCACTACAATTGAAAAATAAACAAAAAAACAACCAAACAACAAGAGAGCTTCATCTGCACCTGTTCACTACCATGGTTAATTTCTTGAGAACAGCGTATGCATGTATAAGATTGGCTTGGCATTATGTTTTATACACACAAAGCAGTACAGTTTTTGGAATTCCTATTGTGATGTCAGTGACAAATGAGGAAAAAAAAATAATTGGAATATTCAAATATATCTGTAAAAGTTGCTGCAGATTTTATTTTGTGCACAAAGTAGCCAAATCCTTAGCAATGATTAACAGTTGATAATGTTGCTTCAGAAAAGCCCAACAGGTAGTGGAGCCGTCTGTAGGCCTCCAGCTTTTAGTTTTATTAGTAGGAGAGAAAAGCATCCTCATTTCACTTTAATCATAACATTGAAATTAACAAAGAAAACTTTGATGTGGAGATGTCATATTTTCAATGAAGAATTTTGCATTCTCTTAAATACTCTAAAGTTGTTTTATAGGACATCAAATCATACTCATATGAGGGCTGCTCCAAAAGTAATGTCTCCTATTTTATTATGTTGGCCTACCACGTCAGAGGCAGATGTTGGTGGGATGGCAACAGAGGTTGAACCTTCCCACCAATATTCCATTACATTTTGTTGCTGTGCAACAGATGGCAGCAGAGGGGCAGTGTAACAAATTGGCATCTGACATGGAAGTGTGCATGGAGCAAAGGGGTGTCCTTGAGTTCCATCATGCAGAAAAAAAATGGCACCCATTGACATTCATCAATGCTTGCTGAATGTTTATGGAGACCCAACAATGGATGTGAGCACGGTGAGGCTGTGGATGGTGGTGGCAGTGACAGTAGAGGTCACCTCTGCTAATGCAGATTTTTACAAGCACAGCATGCAGAGTCTTGTGCATTGCTGGTGAAAATGCAGAGCTGGTGGTGCTGACTGCTGAAAAAGAGTCTTTTGTAGCTGAGCATGTGCTCTATCAAACTGCATTATTGTGCTCTTTGTTGTGGCTTCCATGGGAAATAAATAAGAGGCATTACTTTCAGAGAAACATGCATACTACGCTGTCAGTATAATTCTGTGTTTGGCTTAGTTTCATTATATATCAAAGTCTAGGAAAACAGCCCACTGGAGAAACTATATTCCTAATAGTTATTTTCCTTTTTTTGTAGTTCAGATGGAGTACAAAAAACCTCAATTCTCTGTGAAGCACTGATTTAAGGAGATGCATTATTTGCTCTACTTTTTCTTCTAATTTTATTCTAAATACGGTTGCAGTGATTTTCATAGGCTATATGGGAATTCGTTCCTAACAGATCTCTCTTACTGATTGACAAAAAAGAGTTGCAGTTAGGAAATATTCTTTGAAAGTGCTGAATTACAAATCTGCTTGAGTATTTTTCAGGCCCTTGAACTAGCAGATTTTATGCATGTGTTCACCTTTCATCCAAAGCCATAATGTATTCATAGTTAGTAATTTTTGTTGTAATTTTGTAGCTTGATTAAGAAGTTGATTAAAACTGAATTTTTCTCTCTCAGTTCTCTCTTAGGAATTCTACTGCTTCCTTATCTTATTTTGGTAAGAGTCAAGAATTCTGTTTTAGTGATGCCTTTGATTATTTTTTTTCTTTCTGGAATTATTCTCCTAGATTGATTCAGTTGAGAACTTCACATTATCCAATACGCCATCACGGGATGAAGATAGCAAGTCTCACCTCCATTCAAGATCAAGGTCTCCTTCTACAGCTAGTGAAATTGAACCAATCGAGGTACTGGAAGTTGACTTTTTGTTTAAGGAGTACTCATATAAAAATTGCTCTAGCAAGTCTTTTTGTTTAGAACTAAGCTCATCATTTTGCAGAGACTGTATAGGACCTTGTAAACAGCCTTCTGCTGCATGAGCAGTGAGCTGTATGTAGGGGACCTTATACATCTGGTTAGTTGATTGAGGATGGGGACTGCAAAATCAGTTACTAGATACAATCTCTCTTCATAATGTATTCTTAGCTATGAATACTTTAAAAATATTGGTGCAAAGTTAATGTTGTATTGCACTTCATAAGAGCATGTTATGGAGCCTTGCTGAAAGTCTTACCAGTACAGAATATTGGCAAGTATCCCCTTTCCCTCTTAAAAGATTACATTTGCTGATTATTTTGTGTTAGAAAATAATCAAATGGAGATTATGCAAAATAATTTTAGACATTTAAGAAATGAAAATCACACATCCTTTTAATGACAAGATGTGTATTCCTGTGTCCATACTTTGTTAGTCAGTTTGGTTTCTTTGCTTGTGTATCTGGGGATGGAGCGGATGGCATATTGTAATATTTTTATTTTATTCAAGCAGTCTTTGATAGTGTGTATTTGATGTCATTTTGATCTTTTGGGGACTAATCCAGGTTACAGATCATCCTCCTCGGTCAATTCACACACCAACCATGCGGACAGCGTATATTGGATCGGGACTCTCTGCACCAAAGGTATTCAGTCATGTGTCTGTGAGTTCTGTATTGTAAGGGAAAAAGTATCACCCCTGGGCCACAGCTTCAGGGGTCTCGAGAGAGCTCTCTTAGTGCAGAAGTTGATTGCTTTCTAAAATTTAACAGCACAATTCTTACGTTATGTGGTGTTGACGAGTTACTGTAGGCATTCCAGCCTAACAGCACACAGCCATTTGATTATTATATTTGATTATATTGCACATTGATATTAATTATCAATATGTTAATGTATTTGGTTACGAGTTTGAACTTCAGAAAGACATAAATGAACCAGAATATGAAAGGAAAAAAGATTTCCAAGGGAAATACCTCCCTAGTAAGGTAACCTGCACAATTCTCTTATTTGGGACCATTACATACCTCATCCAGAATGTCTGTTTTCAATGGCTTTGTTTACAGAGGATGGTAAGTTATTAGTAACAAAGCTTGATAATTGGTGTTTGCAGCCTGTGCTATGAGCTTAGATCTCACTTCAGCAAACACCTTTATGTCTGTGAAAAAATAACTATTCTTCAGAAGCACTGCAGGTACTAACATCCTTTTCTGCTTTTTTCACAGCCTAAAGCCCACCAGTTTGTAGTGAAATCGTTTAATACTCCAACAAAATGCAATCAATGCACATCTCTGATGGTTGGTTTAATAAGACAGGGCTGCACTTGTGAAGGTAAATAAGGCAGGAAATGGGAACTGAAATTCATACAGATGCAGATTGTTCAATGAATGTTGTGGTGCAAGAGTGCAGGTGTCTTCTATTCACATTATGAATAACAGAATATATACATATGCTGCCATCTAATAGTGAAAGTCAAATACTTTGAACATCTCATGTAAAAGATTACCAAGTTATCTGGTAAAATACTAATTCTGGTTGGTGGCAGAAGAGTTCAGTTGAGTTTATTTAAAATAGCAATACGGGGCCACAGTCAGTGGTTAAGTGTGCTGACAGAAGCCTTGCTTATGTGAGGTCATTGTGTAAGGCAGTTTTTCTATTTAGTACCAATTTTGTTTCTTTCTAGGACTGATTTGCACTAGGTTTGTATATTCACAGAATAACATACATCACTTAGAGTTACCAGCTTTTTGTTTACTAGTAGAGATGGGCCTGGAAAAAAAATCATAGGGAAATTATTTCAATATGAACTTCTAATTTTTCTTACTTGAATGAAACCAGACTATAGCCGTACAGCTCTGAAACTACACAGCTCTGAATTCAGAACATATCAGACCATGTGCATGAATTTACATTTCTGTCTCAGTGTAGCAAAATTCAGTACAAATATTTGGTTGTTAGCAAAAAAACCAAAAGTGTTGTCATCATTATGATAGCTTTTGCATTGCAGGAAATAACCATTAAAACCATTTGTTCCTTTTCCTCTTCACAAGTGTGTGGATTCTCCTGCCATGTGACCTGTGCAGACAAGGCCCCTGCAGTGTGTCCAATCCCTCCTGAACAGACTAAGGGCCCTTTGGGAATAGATCCTCAGAAAGGTATAGGAACAGCTTACGAAGGACATGTCCGAGTAAGTATCAGGTGGCTGCACTTGGGCACTGAAGTTAAATTTTTTTGCTTTCTGGAGTGAAGCTATTAATTATTGAATTGCAATTTTTGAGGAGGCATTTAAGGCCAAGTTGGACAGGGCTCTGGACAGCCTGTTCTGGAGGTTGACAACCCTGTCTGCAGGAGGGGCTTGGACATCAATGGTTTTTAAGGTCCCTTCCAACCTATGATCCTGTGATTTTTGTACTGTAAGTTTAATCTTTGCACGCAAAGTTACAGAGAGGTGATCAGAATTTATTTTGCTATAGGTACCAAAACCAGCTGGTGTAAAGAAAGGTTGGCAGAGAGCGCTGGCAGTAATCTGTGATTTTAAACTCTTCCTGTATGACATAGCAGAAGGAAAAGCATCCCAGCCAAGTGTGGTAGTGAGTCAGGTCATAGACATGAGGTAAGCTTTTTGGTGCTGAGTTGGAGCTTGCCATGGGAGTGGGGGGTGGCAATTCAGCCTTCGTTACTAACTTCATGTACTACATTTCATCTCCTGAGCTGTGTAGAAGATCTGGAATGCATAAAGAAGATAATTATATTCTTTTCAGGTTGGATAGAGTTTTTGAAGATAAATTGATCTTTGTGGTTAAAATTAGTATAACTTTTTATGCAGAAGGATTTGTACCTTGTTCATCTTTAGCATTATTGAAGTGCTACTGATGTCACTGAGGGTTGAGAGGACATGTAAGCTATAATTGAATACATTAAAACTTGTAGGGTGTTTGGATTTTTATGAAATACGTGGAAGGATGTTCTTACTTCAGTGTCTTCTTTGTAGTTTGATTTTTGAAAAGTTTTAAATTTAAACAGACATAAAAACAAGTATCTGGAGTAGATTTTTTTTCTTTCGGCATATACCAGGAATTAGTAGCAAAGCATGTATGTGTTTCATCTGCAGAGAACCAGAAAAGTTGCAATGACTTTAAAAGTTAGATCTCAGTACTGTCTTCTTGTGCCTTAGCAAAAGAAAAAAGAAAAAAATTAGCAAATCAAGATTATCGGTACTATGGAAATTAAGTTCAAAAAACAGCACACAGCAACAATGAATACACAGATTTGACTCTGTTTAACTCTTTTGCAATAATGTTTATGGTCTCCACAAGGGATGAAGAATTCTCAGTGAGTTCTGTCTTGGCTTCGGATGTCATCCATGCAAATCGAAAAGATATCCCCTGTATCTTTAGAGTAAGTATGTGTGTCTTGAACGTATTAACCCAGAAGGAGAGGATTTCACTCGGTGACGTGCGATGTGCATTCACAGAGTGCTTACTAATGTTTAACTTCTTCTGCAAGTTCTGGCTGCGCGGTATTCATGGCTGCAGCAATGCATAAAGCTCTGTACTTATATCCATGCGTATCATAAATTTTTTCATGGTAAAATAGCACTGATACATAGCACCCATCTCTGTTTTACACAGTTTTTTTTTCTTTCTAATCTTCCCATTAAGACCTATATCTTACGAGCTTGCTGTTCATCACTTGGAATTCTTTTGTTCATGATTTTCTACATCTTCATTTCCCAGAGTTGCTTTCTGCTTCTTAGTTTGATTTGTTGAGTTACTCCTGAAGCGTTTGTTGTATATTAATTCTTGGTACATGAGCACTGGATCTCATAACTACCTCATCAGGTAGTTATTACAGAAATCCAGCATAACATATTCATGAAAATCTGTCATTTGCATGGTATCAGAGGATTTTGCCATCATTGACTTTTTCTATTGCTGTCCTGGATATTTAATTGAAGATTTGACCTCAGTGAAAAATCTTTGGTGTCTAATTCCTGTATCATTTCTTTTCTGTACCACTGTATTCCACTCCTTGACTTTCCTGCTTTCAGACTATTCATTGCTCTGCATGCTGAGAGGAGATAAATATCCCAAAGTAGTTCTCACTTTTATCTGTTACAGTTGTACCAAGTACATGAAAAATTTCATAAATCATTCTTGTGTATATACCGTTCCTATTGCATTCAGTAACAGTGAAAGCTGTTGTTTAAAAAATATGGTTTGCTTTGTAAGAAATGCTCTACGTTATAAAATCACTGAGATGAATACCACTCTGATTTAGAGTGAGTGTTTCCTTATTACAGAATGAGTATAAATGCATGTAAGAAAATAAAGTTTTCAGATTTTGCTGAGTTATTCACATTAGCTTTTTCTGTGATAGTTTTTCTATTAAGTAAGGTTAAATTTTTTGCTCAGACAGCTAATTGAAGGAGCATCTAAATGCATTTGATATTCTTGTATAAATGATCAGGATGAAATCTTTTATTGCTTAAGATTTAAAATATATATTTAAAATTTTTTCAGGTCACAGCTTCCCAACTCTCTGCAACCAGTAATAAGTGTTCAATCCTGATTCTAACAGACGGTGAGAATGAAAAAAGCAAGTGGGTAGGAGTGCTGAATGAATTGCATAGAATCTTGAAGAAGAACAAACTCAAAGACCGCTCAGTCTATGTTCCCAAAGAAGCTTATGACAGCACCTTACCCCTCATCAAAACAACACAGTCAGCAGCAATCATAGGTATGAAATAAATAAGAAGTCTGGCTCAGTAATGACATTCCCCCATATGCACACATTCATAGTAATGAGCTATATTGGCTAACAGTTGGATATTGCAGTTTTGCTATTCTGTAAAGACAACTCCTTCACTGGGCAAAATTAGAACCATAAAATAGGTGTAAATCACTGATTTTTACAACAGTCTGCTGCTGTGTCCAGAGAGAGAACTGGAGAGTTGAGAAAGAGCTTAGTAATTTTAAATGCAACCACACAAAATGTTGAACTCAGATTATTTGAATTTGATGTCTTAATTATTTCAGTGTCAGTAGTATACTTAAATATCCGAGTTTTGTTAAAAATAATATTCCTTTTGTTATATCTGCTAACAGGAGAAATGGGAAAATGTGGGTTTTTTTTTTTAGAAATTTGAAAACCAGGGTGGTTTCCAATGTTTTGTTTAGTTTTGGTAGATCATAGAATCGTTAAGGCTGGAAAAGACCTCTGAGATAAGTCCAGCCGTCTACCTACCACCAGTATTGCCCTCTGAACCACAGCTCAAAGTACCACATCTGCCCTTTCCTTAAACACCTCCAGGGAAAGTGACTCCACCACTTCCCTGAGCAACCTGTTCCAATGCCTGACCAATGCCTTCTTTCTGAGAAGTAGTCCTTCTAGATGTCCAACCTGAATCTCCCTTGGTGCAACTAGAGGCCATTCCCTCTTGTTCTGTCACTATTTACCTGGCAAAAGCGGCTGTGTTGGTTAAGGCTTTTTGTTTATTTCAAGATATTAAAAAACTGTTAATCAGAATTATTGCACATGTTGAAAAAGTACTTTGAAACAAAAATAACCTGTTTTCTTTTTTTTTTTTTTAATTAATGTCGTAGATCATGAAAGAATAGCACTGGGGAATGAAGAAGGGTTATTTGTTGTGCATGTCACCAAAGACGGTAAGAGACTGGAAACTGATAATAATTTCCCTTAATAATCAAAAACTGACTTCATAAGGTTTTTTCTTTTTCAGTATCCCCCAGTTTCATTTTAGTTGGTTTTATTGTGTTACCAGCTGGGCAGCCCTATGCGAGAGCAGATGATCAAGATCACACTGTTCTGTGTGCTTTCTGTTTTGGGTATCCAAGATTTTTGCCTTCTCTTCTCTTGCTGCTCACTTCAGTAAGGAAGCTGGCTTGGTCTTCACTGTAACCTCCTCCTTAGTGCTGGAAATTAAACTTCACTTTCAGTAGAGTATAGACATGACTATTTTTAAAATGAATTCTTAATAACACTTCAGCTGCTATTGAAGTGCCTGCTTGTCCCTTTTTCTGATAAGAGTCAGATTTTATCCGGCCATTATCAGTTTTGGAATCATTAAAATACAAGTTTTTATTATTGTATATTTAAATAAAGCAAAGGAGTAATAAAGGGAATTTCTCGTGCTTACCCAACAGAGTTTTTAATTGGTTTGCATTTTACCATGATATACATGAATTGTGGTGTTTCTGTTTGGTTTTATTGTAGAGATAATCCGTGTTGGTGATAATAAGAAGGTTCATCAGATTGAGCTTATCCCAAGCGAACAGCTCATTGCAGTAATCTCAGGACGAAACCGTCACGTGCGACTTTTCCCTATGACAGCCCTGGATGGAAGGGAGACTGAGTTTTATAAGCTGGCAGAAACAAAGGGCTGCCAGTCAATAGTTTCTGGACATGTGCGCCATGGAGCCCTTACATGCCTGTGTGTAGCTATGAAAAGGCAGGTCCTCTGTTATGAACTAAATCAGAGTAAGACGCGTCACAAAAAGATCAAGGAGATCCAAGTCCAGGGGAACGTCCAGTGGATGTCGGTCTTCAGTGAGCGACTTTGTGTGGGCTACCAGTCAGGTTTCTTAAAACATCCCCTTCATGGAGAAGGCAGCCCACACAGTCTGCTCCATCCAGATGACCACACGCTATCATTTATCTCACAGCAGCCAACTGATGCCATCTGTGCAGTCGAAATCTCAAATAAAGAATACCTGCTGTGTTTTAGCAGCGTAGGGGTTTACGTTGACTGCCAGGGCCGAAGATCGAGACAACAAGAATTGATGTGGCCTGCAACTCCATCATCTTGCTGTAAGTCGCTCTGTGTGTCACTTTAACTTGCTATTATACATTGAAGTGATCCCTGCTTCTATTAATATCCACAGAAAGTGAAATACAAGGAAAATTGCCCAACAGTTAAATGAAGACTCAGCTTCTGTGTCAGCAGCTTTAAGTCTCGTCAGAGGGTTTAAACTTGATGTCATTTACACTGGCTTTGCAAACTCTGTAACATACATATGCTGTTGTAGCTAGCATAAAAAGAAATCAAAGGTCTGGATCTTGAAGTAAGTTGCCCGATGTCTGATTTCTAAACTCATGGCCTGTACTCTAGAACAGCGTAAAGCCTTAGGTCCTAGAGGGGCTATCTGGGATCTGTTTGCATTCACTACTACTGAAACTAGACTGTTGTTGTTTAAAACCTTGAAATTTGATTGAACTTCGTCTCAGCATTGAAACTCAAACTTTCTTGTTGTCATCAGGATCTGATAGTTTAACTTGTCTTTCTCTTAATGGTAGAGTCTTGCTTATTGTGTTATTTTTTTCTTTTCTTTTTATGTTCCTCCTTCATTCTCTCAACTTGTTTCTTATTCATTTTCTCTTTCCTCACTTTTTTTTTAAATTCAGCTTTGAATTTTTTACTCCCTCTTCCTCTCCGAAATACAACATCTGACAGGCAATGTAGAAAATGTATTTCCTAACCTTAAGGAAAAAAAAATGATGTTTTTCAAAATTACAATTCCCAATAAGACATATGTTAAGCATTTATTATATATATATTTTTAAAGTTGGAACTTTATATGTGTGACAGAGCAAAAAATGCAATGCCTAGCTTCCTCTTTTTGTTGTCTTTCTGAGTGTTCTTGAAGAGTAGCCAAATTTGTCCTCAGATTGTTTGCAATTGAGCACAGTCTTAGGCTTCTTACTTACTTCGTTGTGGCAGCTCTGCAGTCATGCTGCAGGGGGAGATTAATGTTTCTTCTGGTCTGAGTGAAGCCTCTTCTGAATGTGAAAGGATCCATTTTTACAGGCTGTGTATCACTTCTGTTTTTCAAGCAAGAGCATGATTATTACAGTATCAGTACTCAAATAGTGAATGAATCGAAATGAAATATTACATTTGGTTAAAAACAGATATTTTCACTTACATGACATGTTTGTGTCATTGACACCTCTGGAATTTCTTTCATTGCCCTTAAACAAAGCAATTTGATTTTGTTCCAACTGAAAATAGTGGTATATTTTGTAGCAAAACTGTTAGATTTAAACATAAATTCAATGCTTTTGTTATTCTTGGCAGACCATGGCAGTCTTTTTGGCGACATGGAAATACTGAATTCTCCTTAATGGTCCCAGTGGAACAAATTTCATGCTGGGGACATGTGCCAGATGAGTAGCATAGAATTCTCTTTATGGTCTGGAAAACACAAAAAGAGAATTAGAGCTAGAAGGAAACATGAGCACTATGTCATGGTGCTTAATTCCAACTGATGTTCAGTTAGTATGTAGTCCAGACTCCAAACTCATTCAAACAAGTGACGGTTATTAAATAACAATAAATTAAATACACATCATGTACTGAAAACTCTTAAAGATAGAATTTTTAGAGGAAAAAAACGTTGAACCACATTAGTGTTTGGCAATGTAAATTGGAGCCCCGTATAGTAAAAATAGTTTGGTTCTGCACAGTTAAAACAATCTTCTGATGGTTTTAGGTTTTTTGTTGATGTTGGTTTGCTTTTACAATAGATTTCATGATCTTCTTTTTAGTTATAACATGTTTTTAAGCCAAGGTTGTTGTTGGACTGTAGTTTTGTTTTGTGTGTTTCTTAGTAGTAGTAGTATGGTCAGACCCTGACAAGTTGTGTATCACCAGCCCTGTCTAAAAGCACATGACAATTTATCGTTCCGTCTCAGGTTACAATGCACCATACCTCTCTGTGTATAGTGAAAATGCAATTGATATCTTTGATGTGAACTCCATGGAGTGGATTCAGACTATTCCTCTCAAAAAGGTAATTTGCTGTTTTGGTATCAGTTAAAGAATATGGCTGCACTGTGATATTTCTTTGTTACAGTCATACGGTGCTGTTTTTAAGGACATTAGAGGTTGTCATTAAAACTGCCTGTTTTAAACATGATTGAATTAAAAGAAGTATTACAGCCAGAATTCTGTCAGGTTTTGATCACTTATCGAATGGAAGCAGTTTTTGAAAACTTGGCACTACCTTAACGTTTAGGAGGTCTTACAGCTGCAGCAGGCTTCATAGCCAGGGTAGTTGATGCCCCATGCCTATCCATGTTGGATAGGCATTTGAATAATATCAGAATGCTCTGACTGAAGTAGGCAGTTGGACTCGATCTTTGTAGGTCCCTTCCAACTGAATCATTCTCTATTTAAAGCTGGAGAGAGAAAGGCTTGTTTCTAACACAGCTGAAGAGTGGAATGGTTGTTTCCTTATGAAGCTGTAGGTCAAAAATATTAGTAGGTTTTAGCAATCTATATATAGTCTTAACAAGTCAAAAAATGTAATTGTGACAAGTGTAATTGTGACATGATACTAACACAAACCAAAGGCACAGCTTAGTGGTTTGTGCACATCTTAGATAAAACTATACTGTTATATGAAGTAGGCTTCTTATGGAAATATTTATATAAATGCTGGTAGGAATAGTGTTAAACCTGTGTCTTTAAAGAGAATTTTAGGCAGCTCTCTGTGTTCTAGATCTCCAAACAGGAGTTTAGAATCTAAAATTGCCTTTACCTCAGCTTTGAGGATTTAATGACTCACAACTCTTGATTCTGAGAGCATGCATCTGTCATGAGAGAGGAAAACACTGCTTCCTCCAGCCTCTCTTTCTTCTTTGAAGCAAACTTTACTCTGCACAGTTACACTGTTCTGCTATCTGGTTGATGTTATAACAGTACTGTGTTTATGAAGTTTATATTGCTCCTTGGAGCTTTTAGAAGATGTGCTGTATAGGTAGAGTTACTAAAAAGCTGATTTTCCTTGCTTCAGGTACGACCCTTGAATACAGAAGGATCACTCAACCTTTTAGGTTTGGAGACGGTTAGATTAATATATTTCAAAAACAAAATGGCAGGTAAGTAAAGAGGAGCTGTTTTTCATCATAAAAGTTTCTGTTTACAAAGCATTCTGGGAGAGAGCCATGCTTATAGATTCCACAGTAGTTGTAACGATACAGTTGTCTGACAGGCAGGTAGTCTGATTTTTTTTTTCTCCTCCTAAATATGCACTGAAAATTTGTAAAAGTCTGGGAATAAGAGAATGATGAGTTTTTCTCCCAGATCTAGTATTAAATGCCAAGATGACATGTACCTATGCCTTCATAGTTTAAGGATTAATAGTTACCTTGGCAGCGCTGGATAGAAATTAATACTATACTTGACCTAAAGAAGCCTTTCCCAAGGATAAAAAAAAAAAGTATAGTTTTATATATTCTTAACTTCTAATTAGGGCCTTACATGATTGTGTGCCAAAGTGAATTTATGCTAAGACTCTTTTTGGCCTTTTTCCTTTGTTGGAACACACTTCAAAAGCATAAAACTGCGTAATATGCTATACTTAAGTGAGAGGTGTGATCTATGCAGTTTAGCAGTCAAAAGCTGTGTGTGTTTCTAGCAATTATTCTGAAGGTAGTGGAAATAAACATACTGTTGTTGACAGTGTTTCATTGTTTGCTTAAATCATCTGTGAGCAAATTAGTGCAAAAGGAGTGGCAGTCACAGAGAGGAACAATCTGGTGGATGTGTCATGAAGTCTGCAGTTGATCTTAGGGAAAAAGGAGGTTTCAGTTCCATACAAAAACTATTCTTGTTCTCAGCACTAGCTGCTGGATATGTTCAAGTGTATTAAATTTAACCTTAGTCTTAGTATGTATAAAAGAAGGCAGAGCAGCTGCAGCATTCATTCAGAACGATATTCCTGTTGTATGATGATCATTGCTGCACATTGCACATTTTTATTGAAGATGCCTTGCCAGACCTACACATATGGAATAAAAATCTTCCCTCTTCCCACAGTTACAGCAAAAAATATCAGAGTTTAAATATTTGAGGAAATGAATGGAACAGGATATTGCATTGAGTTTCCAGGTGATTGGCAGAACAAGGCTTTTAGTGGCTTTCACTGAAGGCTGCCAAAAAAAGTTTGAGAGGGAGGACTGAGATCCTTTCCTGCCCACCTAAATGTTTCCAGGCTCTTGGTTTTCACTGTGAGAAGACACATTGTAGGCTTGCTTATGTGTCCAAGCATGTTTCATAATGTCATGTGTTTCATACTGAAGATTTTTCAAGAATGTTTTCCTTGAAAAGGGAAGGTAAAGATTTTGTTTGAAAGAATCTGTACTATTTTGAGTAAAATATGGTTGTGGCAACTTGTATGTGAAGATGGGTTAAGATGGGTTTTGTATAACAGAGTAATAAGTGATCAAGAAAACTCCTAAATCAAGGAGCGTTTATTCAGGGAAATTCATGGGAAATGGGTGCTGTGCTGCACTAGCAAAAGCAGAGAAAATGTCTTTGTATTATTATTCCATGTATGCCCAGTGAAGCGGCCCATTGGATCATTTTTGTCTTGATTCCAGAGGGTGATGAACTGGTGGTTCCTGAAACATCAGATAACAGCCGGAAGCAAATGGTTCGAAACATCAACAACAAGCGCCGCTATTCATTCAGAGTACCAGAAGAGGAGAGGATGCAGCAGAGGAGGTCAGTGTTCAACCTGTACTTGACTTCTGCACTGGCTGCACAAGTGATTTCATTTATTCACATTATCTGAAACAGCTGTTGTTTGGAATGCATGTTTGTACATACAGTATAGAGGTGCAATATGTAGGTATAATACAGCATCGTGAGTTCTGCTCTTGCTCATCTTACAGAGCTTTTTATCAGCTCTTAGTGTTTGTATATTTTTAATGGTAGCTTTTGGGTATATGGGCTGTTAGTTTGCAAAACAGCATTCATTTGTTCTGGGCCATAGGTCTTTTCAAGGTGAAAACCTGTCCATACCAGTGCTGACAGCGAGAGTTTATTACTGTTAAAATGACTAAATAGTTTATTTCCATTTAAAATAGCTGATAATCAAAGCTTAACTGTTTTTAAATGTCTATTTTCACCTTGAATAAGATTCCTAAACAGTATTTTCTCTTCCAGGGAGATGCTACGCGATCCAGAAATGAGAAATAAATTAATTTCTAACCCAACTAATTTTAACCACATAGCACATATGGGTCCTGGAGATGGTATACAGATTCTCAAAGACCTTCCAATGGTAAGTGCAGAAGTATATGTGAGAGTGACTAACTTCAAAAGAGGCTACAAATAGAAAAAGAAAAACAACTACAATTTTGGGTGTATGTTGAGAGTGTTTGATCTGTTTCTTATCAGTGGCAATGTAACTAGGTAAATGACATGGGACATGCTGAGGTGTTAGTGATTAAATGGAAAGGATGACACTTGAGAGTGAATGAAGGAATGCCTAATGCTTCCTGGGTTTTAAGACAGGTTGGTCTCTCAGTACTGAGAGTTAGTTATAGTTTTTTTAACACATAAGAAGATACACAATTAAGAGGATTTGTGCCAGGATTCTGTATGGAAATGGAAAGAGAAATTCCTTTCTTCATTAACTGTATTACTCTAAGTTCAATTCCTTTCTTCTTGTCCTTACATCCAGTTTAGCCTCTCTCTCTCAAACCTCTTCTCCTTAGACAGTGAAACTGTGGGAGTTTAACAATATAGAGTAACCAAATTTCTTTCTGTGAACAAGATGCTATTTTCTCATTTCCAAATTAATTATTAATAGTGAAACAGAACTTTTTACTTGAATATTAACCATAGTGCACCCATGTCTGTTTCTACATAGCCTTATTTAGGAAATACTCTCCTTGAAGTTAGTGTAGTTTATGCTGAAATACAGGTGAATTAATATTAGGATTTTATCATACAGCTTACTTGTAGCTATGTTGAGCATATTGTTTGTGTGTTATGTATTGCTCTCTAAATTCATTCATGGTAGATGTGATTCAGGATATGATAATGAACTCTGTAAGAAAGATCAGATTATATGATACTAATAGGTAATATGAGTACCTCCGTAAGACATAGGCACATAGCATATTTGTTGACTAAATAGAAGGGTGGGATGCCAACGAGAGAGACCTGAACATGCCCAAAAGGTGATCACGTGAGAATCCAATGAGATTTAACAAGGCCACATGCAAAGTGTTGCACTTAGATCAAGGCAATCCCAGATATGAGTACAGACTAGGGAAAGAACTCCTTGAGAGCAGCCGTGTGGAGAAGGACCTGAGCATTCTGGTGGACAAAAATGTAGATGTGAGCAGCAGGCTTGCAACCTGAAAGTCCATCAGTGTCCTCAACTTCATCCAAAGCGGAGTGGCCAGCATGGAGAGGAGAGGGAATTGTCCCTCTCTGCTCTGCCCTTGTGGGGCTGCATCTGGAGTACTGTGTCCAGGCCTGAGGCCACCACAGTACAGGAAGGATGTGGAGCTGTTGAAGCAGGTCTAGAGGAGATGGTCAGAAGGCTGGAGCACCTCTCCTAAGAGGGAAGATTAATGGAGTTGGGTTTGTTCAGCCTGGAAAAATGAAAGTTCCTGTGAGACCTCAGTGTGGCCTTCCAATACTAGAAGGGAGCTTACAAACAGGAAGGGACTGACTTTTTACACTATCTGACAGTGACAGGACAAAGGGGAATTATTTTAAACTAAAAGATTTAGGTTAGATGTTAGGAAGAAATTCTTTACTCAAAGGGCAGTGAGGCCCTGGCACTGCTGCACAGATCTGTAGTTGCCCCATCCTTGGAGGCTCTCAATGCCAGGTTGGATGGGCCCTGGGCAGCTTGAGCTGGTGGGGCATAGCCCTGCCCACGACTGGGGGTTTGAACTAGATGATATTTAAGGTCCCCTCTAACCTAAGCCATTGTACAATCACTCTAGCAGTGCTGTCTAAAATGATCATCACTATTGCTTGGAGTCAAGGCAGGAGGTAGAAGGGCTTTTCAGTATCTAAGCAGAAGTAACAATAAGACTGGAAAAGAAAACTTGCAGCTGCAGTGGATCATGGTTTTAGGATCTTCTGGTTTTATCTCACTTTTGCAAAAAAAACTGTGCTTTATGTTACACTGTACTTTAAGATCTTCATCTTGTACATGAACCCTTTTGGCACTAGCTTTTACTCGTATGAGGATAGGCAGGGAAGGGAAAGGATTTCCTTTAAATCTCATGAGAGACACTTGGAAGAGCCAATAAGACTCAGTGCAGTGAGCTGTGAGCAGCGTTTTGTGTATATGTGTGTGTTTATAAATGAACTAAAAATGGAAAGGAGAGAGCTGGTTCTAGAAAACACAAGACAAATCCAAGTGAAGTTGGCTGACTTTCTCTCACCTGGTTGTGTATATGTATGTGTACAGTGTTCAACAAGTAATGATAATTTGCTTCAGGGCAAGATGCAAATCCAGACTTCTTTCTAACTCTTCCTTTTCTGCTGGGTTCCTTCAAATACTTCTGGCTTTTCCTTATCAAAGAAAATAAACTACTACTGCTAGAAGATGTCATACTTCACACAATTGTTGAAAGTTCATGGGAATCAAAAGTTGAGAGGACTCTTAATCAAAACATTGCCCAAATCTATCAACTGTAAAATAAGGAATAATGTTACCTGCAGCTGGAGGTTTTCCAGATTCTCACCTGGATTAATATTTCTTCAGCTGTGCCATCATTAAATGGCTTTTGGCTTTAAATTCATTGAAGTTACACAAGTCTTGTGTTGGGTCAAAGGTCTTGTCTGGAGATACAACTGGTACTTTGCTTATTGCCATCAACATGATGTTTTAAAAGAAATCTAGGAGTCACTTTTTACGCTATAGAAGAAACAATAGAATATGCTAACAGTATAGAATTGGCTTCTGCACTCAGTCGATTGCTACAGCTTCTTTCTAAAGTTGCTACTGAAAACTCCCTTGTTGCAAGTAGTCTTAATGCTTGCAGAAGTCACTGCAGGTAAAGCAGATTTGATGTCTGTTATCCCAGTAGCTCCTTGCAGTGTCATTGTTTGTATTCCTTCCAGTACAGCACCAACCATGGGACTTAGAAGTAGGTGAACTTGAAAGTGTAACTTGAGATTAGGAAAAAGAAATTCTGTCACAATTAAAATTCTGCCCAGGCAGCTTTCTCTTTTCTACCAATTTCCTGTAAGGTGTTTGACTGGACTAAGTCTTGGTGTAGTCTGATCCAAGCTGCCTCCTTTTTTTCCTCTGGCATGAAAACAGAGGACAAGGAGCTGTGTTTGCAGCTGACATTATATTTTGAGTCCAATGTCTTATTGGAAAGACACACAAAAAAAAAAAAGAATAAAAAGGGAGGATGGATATAGGACATTCCCTGGAAAGTCAGTATGTGATGTAAAGAATACTCATCCAGTCTTACATACAGCCCATCTGTGGGACAGTTTCTTTTCAAAGACGTAAAATTAATTTAATAGATTCAAGCCCAATGCTTTCATGTTCCAAATGGTGAGGAGTTTAGTTTTTTTTTGTTTGTTTCTTAGCATGTGTGATTATTTTGCAGCAAGAGTATCTACTTTATGTACTAAATAGGATGTAATTTTTCAGAAGAAAAGGTATTTATCCTTAAAGGTATGTGGGAAAAATTGCAATGTTTTACTTTGGGAATGCTTCGTTTTGTTTGCCTGAAGGGGATGAGGAAATACATTTTTACATTGGAAGGGTGCTGCCACTAGGGGGAACAAGTGGTGCAAGGTCAATGGTTTTCTCAAATTGCCATCATCCAACTGTTTTAGTCGATGTTGTTTATGGAATGAAGAAAGTGAATGAAAATGATGGACCAAGCCTTTGTTACTTTGCTGTTTCTTCTTGACTTATTCGAGCAACTTCAGATTTGGCTGGGTCTGCTGATAGGAATTTGTTCATCCAGCATGAGTTTTCATGGAATCAGTATAGTATTATGTAGGCAGAAAGGTCCTTGTTAATAGGATTTGATAGAGAATGGATATTTTAATCTCTGCACTGAATGATTGTCACAAACTAACAGCCTAGTTTTTATCTAGCACCCATGGGTGAACTCTAAAGCAAGTGACAATTTAAATTTTCATTTATTTATTTTTATTTATGATACACACTATATACATAGTGTGTATATGTATATTTAGTGTGTATATATATGCATATATAATATAGATATATATGTATACATGAAATGAATCCAATCAAGACTTGTCTCTGCAAGTCCCACTAACCTGCCTCTGCTACCTTTTCCAGGCAGAGTGCCTAGAATTGAACAGAGCATGGCATTAAAAGTGGTAACAGCAGCCTTTGCATGGCAGGCTGCAGTGTACCAGGAGAGCAGGTCACTGCCTACTGGATGCAGGGCCAACAGAAGTTTGCTGGCTGGCAGCTTACTACTGTCCTTAGTAATGTGTTCTAGGAGATCAGCTTCAGAGAGCTTGATTTGAATTGTGAGAGTACAAAGTGAAAATCAGATAAATGGAGAGTTTAATATGGTTACTGTCTGTTTGATGTGCTGTGTACTAAACAGATGCCTCCGTATGCACAGCATGTCTGTCTGCATGTGAATGTCCTTGCTGATGCAGCCACTCGAGGGGAAAAGTTGCTTTCTCTGTGTGTTGTTTCCAAAGTCTTGGTATGCAACAAGCACGTGACATGAGCAGTGAGATGTGTTTATGGCAAATTGCAGCCTATTCACCTGGTCCTATGGTCTTTGTGTGATGGACACTCTTGTCTTCAGCATAGTCCTGTGTTTACACAGAAATGAATATGCCCAAAGCTCAGAATGAGATCACAATTAAAGGAGAATATATTAGAGGCTCAGACAACTTTGCATCCTTCTTTTCTTCATCGCTAGCAGTAACTTAGGAGTCTGGCTTTGACAAGCAAGGATGTGAGCTACAGCATAGCAGGAACTAGAACTTCTTAATTGCTGTTTGCAGAGCTGTAATCAGTACAGATTGGTATTTTATTGACATGGATACTCGATCGGGGTCATTGTTTTGCTGTGTACAATTTAGAATGGTTCATGTTAGTATATCCCCAAACTTATTTCTGTACGTGTTTTTCTTCCCTAGCAGCCTGTCACCAATTAGCTGGCCGTACAGTCTGGCCTCCCTTCTGCCCTCTTGTCCCTTGAAGCCACTTTATCGTGGATGCTCCTTTGTAGTGAAGATCTGAAATCTGGAACTGCACTAACTGCAGCACAGACCACCTCTCTGTGCACATCAGATTTACAGGATTGATTTTGCTTTCATATTCTGCATGCCTGAGTATTTTACATACAACAGTTAGTCTCAACTGCCATTATATTTGAACATGATGCTTCAGTTTGATCTCATCATACATGAGCCATTATACTTCCATTACAGATTATGTGTGAAGCTTTGCTTGTTTCAAGTGAGAAACTTTCAGAGTAAATATATATTTGGTATTCTTTAAAGAAAGTGGGAGCTGCATGCATGCATCTAATGGCAGAGTCTGTGGAGAGAGTTCCAAGGATCGTTTTTAAAATGTGGCCGTATATCGTGGCTTCTTCACATTCATGAATGCTGGCTAAATATCTTCATGGTCTGCAGTTGGCCTACCCTCTGCTTTTCGGCTTGTGATTTTAGACTCTCCCTTCTCTGCCTCATTGGCTTTTAAGAATGTAGCTGGCTTTGCTGCTGTTCTCTTGGTAGCAGGTGACTTGCCAAAGTCTGCTTTCATAGACCATTATTAGAATGGTGGGTTCTAGTACTCATATTTAGATGCTGCTAAACTTTCTAATAACAACCTAATGTGTATTATGTCTTAAATGCCATAATGTGGTAATTGATGTTTCATTTAACATGCAAAGCCTCATAATACCTGTGCATTAAAAAAAAAAACAAAAAACAAAAACACAAAAAAAACAACAACAAAGTTGGATTTTACCAGCTGACGGAAATGAAGAACAATAACAATAATGTTTGCTAATATGTATTGGAATGTTATTTAATGTTCTTTCAAACTTCAATATGTTCCACATACAAAAAGTAGTGCCTTAGGTTTAGTAGAGGGGTAAGCTGAATTTCTACCATATTGTTTTGTTTTTGTTTTTTAAGTCCTAACATTTCGAATGGTACCCAGATCTGTTTCTTTTAAGGTGATAAAGTCAGTTACACGTGGGGAAGGGAAAATTAGATCTGGTGTTTTGATTTGTTGGTGGCCTTTGGGCACCATCCACACATCAGGCTGGCCTGCAGGAAGTGTGCAGATGGCACAGGGAGTGAGATCAAGCCCTGAAACCTCTGTTACATCTAGATTTACGTGAGTTTTAATAACAAGAGCACTCGTGTCAGCACATTCTGTAGAGATCAATCAGAAATTGTTCCTGTTTAATCTGCAGGGTTAGTTTTCTCCTCCTTTTATGTCACACTTTGGGAGCACACTGCTCAGTTTACCTGTTAAAAACATTTGAATTTCCCAGCACTTTTGCACCTTATCTGGTAAAGGCATACACTTTTGCAGCAAGCAGATGGCAGAGCAAAGTCTGAATGCCTCACTAAAGCACTGTAAGGCTCAGTGATCACACAGAAGGATGTAGGCCTTGTGTTGTGTGTCTACAACAGAGTAAATTGTCCCCGTTGTCTGACTAACCAGTTTGCCTTCCCACCCAGTCTGTGTCCCTATCCTGTCGAAACACTGTTCACTCCCGTTAGAAATACTCTGTGTTTGTTGTACGGGTGATACTTAATTTTAATGGAACCGTTAAAGTGCATGAAAAACAGAAGGAAATCTCCTACAATCTTTAACTGTTGTGTATTCTCATCTTTTTTTCTCCCCACTCCATCTCACCTGTGCTCACCTTCCTTGTGTTATGTCTGTTTTAGATTGTAAGCTCCTCAAGGCAGGGAACTGATTGCTTCTCAACTGTCTGTAAAGCACCTTCTACAGCTGTGGTGCTCTTTGAAATACAAATTATAATAAATATTAGAATCGATTCCCAATGAGTTAAAAGTTTTATTTGTTTTTAATGTTTTAGCAACAGCAAGGGCAGCAGGCCCATGTGATACCATGTAAGGAAGGTGCTCAGAGGACTGGGGGTGACAATGTAAGAACCCACGTGCTGACGAGTGAGCAGGGCTGCTGTTCGGCTGTCCGTTTGACTGCTCTTGCAGACTGCTGTTGCTGGTGTAACCTGTACAACCATCCTTCATTGCTTTCTCTCTCTGTTGTCTTTGATAGCAGCGTTCCCCTTATCAATTCCCTCATCATCACTCCCGTCTGATCTCCTCTCCGAGCAACTTTGAACACATCTACCACATGACTGTTAATTCAGCTGAAAAATTCCTCTCTTACGATTCCATAAACACTGCATTTTCCCCGCCTCCGTGCTCTGCCCTGGGTACTCCAAACTTTATGACTCAGAGGGTATGGATGGCTGGGTCAGGTGTTCACTCTACTAACACTGTGTGGTTTTCCTTTTGCCTGGCTGTTAACATGGGAGAAAAACCCTTGGAAAGTGGTTTCCTTCGCCTGTTCACTTTCTTCTGTCACAGCTGATTTGTCTTCTGCTACCGGCTGTGGTCTTTCAACAGCTCTGATGAGCTAAAAAACAGATACAGATAAACAGAAAAAATCTTTACCAACTGGGCTGAACCTTTTGCTATGAAAACGGCATTTTTAGTTACCAGGAAGGTTGTGGGAAATCTGAATAATGTTTGTGTTTCACACTGTACATCTCCAGCAGTCAATGGCAGAGACAGGATGCTGTGTATCAGTTTGTGCTAGGAAAAGGATTCTGGATCTGTCTCTGCTGGACCAAAATTTCAAGCTGTTTGTTTACAGTGAAATAGTGGGAGTGCAGTAATGTTGCACAGTACTGTACACAGATGGAGAGAGACAGATTGTGCCTAGGTGGTTTCTAGGTTCAGTTAAAAGAAAGTTGGAATACATACAAGCAGGAAGATCAGAAATTAAAGATATTGGGTACTTGTTCATATAGATCCCCTTAATCCTGGTTGTTCTAAACAGAGACTGAGGTAAGATACTGTGCTGTAATTATCCTTCCAGTTGGAACGTAAAATCTGAGGGATGGAAGTGATGCTTTCTTTTTGCTTGTTGTTGTGTATCCTGGCCTGACATGAGGTTGCTATATCCTATGGTAATATAAGGCCATACTAAAACAAGCCCTTTTGTACCTCCTGCTGCATTGTAATTGCGTTCTGTGCTGTGGCCTGCAGTTCTGCTTTGGAACAGATTTGCAGATAGGTCACGAATAATCTGTGAAATAGATGTGTATAAAAGAAGAGGGTGGTCAGCAGGGCTAGGGAGTCAGTTGTTCCCTCTGCTCTGCCCCTGTGAGGTCACACCTGCAGTGCTGTGGCCAGGCCTGGGGCCCCCGGTGCAGGAAGGACATGGAGCTGTTGGAACAGGGCCAGAGCAAGCCACAAAGTTGCTCAGAGGGCTGGAACATCTTTCCTAAGATGGGCTGAGGGAGCTGGACTTATTCAGTCTGGAGGAATGAAGATTCCAGTGAGACCTCACTGTGGCCTTCCAGTACCTGAAGAGAGCTCACAAGCAGGAGGGGGACCAACTTTTTACATGGTCTGATAGTGACAGGACAACAGGGAATGGCTTTAAACTAAAAGAGGGGAGATTTAGGTCAGCTGTTAGGAAGAAATTCTTTGCTCAGAGGGCGTTGAGGTCTTGGCACTGCTGCCAAAAGCTGTGGGTGCCCCATCCCTGGAGGTGTTAAAGGCCACATTGGGTGGGCCCTGGGCAGCCTGAGCTGGTGGGTGATCTGTGGTTCTTCAGTGACGGCTGGTTGCTGAGGGTTTGTGTGTGTTTGAGCTGTGCCTGCCACTGTGATGGAAACGCTGCTGTTGGTTTCTGTGGCCTTTCGACACTCTTCAGACACATACAGCAAACCTTCACTGCCTGACTGCTTTGCTGTTCTTGGTCCCTGTCACTGGGAAGGGGTTTGTAATGCAGATCTGCATCCAACGCTAAAGAGAATTTAGAAATGCAGGAGGAAAATAAATATTTTTTTCCCTAAAGCCCCGGAACAAAATTTCACGCCGTGAACTTTGACTGGTCATGTGCACACTCATGTCACTGTTGTGTAGTGGTCACATAAATTAATGTCCAAAAATGGAATTGCAGCATTTTGGAAAGCACCCTTTGGTGGCAGGTCTGCATCCATCCTGGCTTTTCTGGAGAAACAGCTGGAGCACTGAAATTTTGTGCCTCTTTACCCTTTAGAGCACTGGAGGTTTAGGCTCGTGTGAAGGAGAGCAGTTGTCTCTTTTTGGCTTCAGGGAAGAGATACTTTAAGCTGTCACTGGAAGGTAAAGCTGTGGATTTTGCTTTTTGTCTGCCCATATCCCTCTCTGTGTTTGTAGTACAAGAACGATAGCAGGCCCTGTGCAGGGGTTGGGGGACCCAGGAACTGACTGAATATTGAAACCTGGAGTGTGTAGCAAGAGTTGAAAACGAACCCTTAAAATAGCTTTTAAGTCATGTCCTGCCATTTCATGAAAGGAAAGGCTTAGGTTTACATCATAACAAACAGAACCTCAATTAATACAAGAAAACAAACAACAAGAAGCACCGTGGACAGAGAAATGCAGGCAAGCATTATGGGTGCTGTGGCAGGTGCTGGGCTCAGGCTGGGGCTGAGGAGCACTGCCTCCCAGTGGGGCAGCACCCACTGACTGGTCATTCACTGCTGCGTAGCAAGTAAATGCTCAGCAAGCAGCTTCTCTGCTGCTGAGGTTTTTTCTTCAAAGAGAAATCCTGTCACATTTCTCCATTTGGTTCAGCAGCAGGGATGAATTTACCTGCTAGGATTTGGATTGTTACTCCATATGAGGGGTTTTTGTCTCTAAGTAAAGCAAGCTCGAGTTTCTTTTTCTTTTTTTTTTTTTTCCCCCTCTGTTTTTAATTTGCTGCATTTGGCTGCTTGATAACTACCGCTAACTGCCATGTATTTTTCTTTGAATCCCCTTTCTGCATTGCGTGCGTATCACTTTGGGTCCAAAGCGCCAGGGTCTCCAGCATGTGCTTCTTTTATTTTAGATCAAAGAACAAGAGAAGGTTTGCTTTGTGGAAAAACTTTCTGCAAGGAATTACATGGACTTTGCAAACTGAGGTCAAAAAAATAACTATTAAACTACACAAATGAAATAAATTAGTCTTTTTAATGCACCCATTCCTTCCTTCCCCCGATGCCTGTATGTTGCCTGCTCAGTCACTGTTAAGAAGGTCAGTCTCCTTATCGTTACATATAATTGCTGTCCCTGCAACATGAAATATTGTCAGTTTCTACAAGTACAGAGCTCCTTCCATGCAGCTCTGGTGTACTGACCACTGCTGCTGCACTTGGCTCTCCTGTGCAGTTCTCAAAACACAGCAGTGAGCCATTCCCTGTCCCTGTGGTTCCTTTTGTATCTACTGTAGGGCCACTGGTGTCGGTGCACCGCCAGGCTGCTCACAGGGAGCTGTAGTGCAGGTTGCTTATGGCACGGTGAGGGACACCAGGAGAGAAATTCAGTGCTGCAGAGCAGGTTATTTGTCCTCATTTGGGAAACAAAGAGTAAGCAGGAGGCAGCAGTGTGATCCTCAAGGGATTTTTGAAAGAGACTTGAAAACAGTGCAGCAGTAGCTACAGGGAGAAGTAAACAGAGCTTTTTCACTGATAAGCTCTTGTGTATTTTGTTGGTGTCTGAGAGATTTTTAATTCTTTGTTTTTTGCATGCTAAAAATCTGTCATTCCTAGGCCACTGGGAGGCTGAAAAGCAAAGAGTTGACTTTATAGCAAAGAGGTCTGTAACAGCAGTGACTCTAAGGGTCATTGTAAAATTGGACTGACAACAGGTTTTTAACAGTTATCTGCACCACCTAATACCTGTTCTTTACAAAGCCTCTATCTGATTACTCATTTTAGAATTCAGCTAGAGAAATGGATAGTGGCTGAGGGTCTTTCAGAGTATCCATCCAGGGGGTGGAAATTTCTGTAACATTTCGGCCTAGACAGGTATTGCAATAGAAAATGTAGGTTTTTATTTGGTTACTTTCTCAGAGTAAGGGTGGGGAAATAATGACATATGAATGGGAAGAAATAACCACTATTGCAGCAAGTGTTTGGTGAAGTGGAAACAAAGTAATATTCAGAGATACCTGCAGCTCTTTTCACAGTCTGCAGCTGTAAAGGCTTCCCAAGCCTAATTCTCATTAATGCTAATCACTTAATAGTGTAAATCACGTTTGTCTCTTGCGTAGGCAGAGATGAAACAATAGGCATGGATATTTTGGGCTAAGAAGACAGCTTGTATACAAAGAGGTGGGTTAAATAAGCTGAGAAGCCTTTTCTCCTAAAGTCAGCTGTAAGGTAACAGAAGCAGAAATTATATCAAAGTGGGTTGTTTTTCTTTTAAAGACATAATCTGTGTTTAAGGAGCTGCCATATTCGAATAAAGACACTGTTTTATCTGTTCCCTCAGTATAGGACCGCTTCAATTCAGTGACAATTTTAGAAAATCTCACTGGAACCCTTAGGCTGCAAACCAGGAGTGATAATGGCAATCCATGGAGTAGCCAGTGGTGGGTGCTCTGAGCAGACTGAGACCACAAGGCTGATTCTGGCTTTGGTTCAGCTGCTGTAGGTCTGAAGAAGTGCTGTTCATATCTTTGGAACCACCTCAGTTATCTGACAGATTGATCCTATGGTCCAGTATGTGTCCATAACTCCACGGGCACTGGGGATTCATATGATGTCCGTACAAAATTGCATGTGCAAGCCACAAGTGGTGGTATCACAGGGAAATTTTAACAAAATCCATAGAGGCATGTGCTCAGAAAGAGCGCATTATGCAATACACATGGAATTACATCTGTAGCAGCTTAGGCTTGCAAACCATCCTTTCAAGGAAATTCTTGAATTATTAGACCTACCTTTTCAGTTGTCTGCATACGTCCATGTAATTCAGCACTTCATTGTCAGCTGTGTGTGCTTCCAGTCTCTGCACTAAATTGCAGAATATTACTTTGCAAATTTTGCTGACTTGCTGCTCAGATAATTCAGCTCTGGTAAGGTTGGGGATTTGTTGCATTCTGAGACCTTCCTCCGTAACGTCCAAGGTTGAGCCAGCAGTCAATAAGAAACATGTTGTTGTGTGTCTGCATTGCAGAATCTTCGGCCTCAGGAAAGTCGGACCGTATTCAGTGGCTCTGTCAGTATCCCATCGATCACGAAATCCCGCACAGAACCAGGACGATCGATGAGCGCAAGCAGTGGGTTAGCAGCAAGTAAGCAATCAGATCTGTGTTGCTTTGGGGCTGTGCACACGTGTGTTAGGGAAGAGCTACTTGCACTGCTTCTGTCTGTGCTGCCACTAGACAGGACTTTCAGAAGCCATGGCTGGCCGTCCTTCCTCTGTGGGCTGGACGGAACTGTACTCTCACTTTCAAAGAAACCCATCGATAAGCAGCTAGCAGGTTTGACTTCCCACATTTGGAGTTTGTCAATTTAGAATCGAAAAGGCATTCTTACCATTGGGACTTCTTTGCTGCAGCTGAAGTGGTGTAAATTGTTGACAAGTTGTTCACAAGCTCCGCATTTATTAATTTTGTTGCTGAACTCTTTAGAGCTCCTGATGCTTCTCTTGCTGCTAGTGCAAAGAGGGCGTAGTAGAAAACCTGCTGGTACTGAAGAGTTACAATGCATAGGAAACAGCTTTCCTACTGCTGCCATGCTATCCTTGTGTGCCAGAGTCAGCAAAATGATCTGTGCTGAGATGAGGCAAGCGACTGAATAACAGAGCATGTGAAGATAGCCAACAGACTGCAGAAAGCCTGTGTGTCTGCTGTAGTCTGCATGTTCCAGTGCAACTCTACCTCTCCCCAGTATTGCTGGGGAGAGATGCCTAGAACGAAGCTGCCACCACAGCAGTTTATTCAACTGCTGTCTTTGTGAGGAACACAGTGACTGTGTCTCTGCTGTATGCTAACCCTGACATGTTGAGGAGCAGAGGAAAAACTGCATCTAGCATCAGACAAGATAAAAGCACACATAGACAGCAAGCCACGAGCTGAGCATCCTGGGACATGCCAGAGGAAAGCAGAAGTAGCCAGCCAAATAGCTAACATCTTTCTAGTACCTTGTCTGGGCATCTGCAATGGTTTAATTCCTCTGCACATTTTAGGATCATCTGCACAAAATGGCAGTGCATTGCGGAGGGAATTCTCAGGAGGTAGCTATGGAGCAAAGCGTCAGCCTATGGCATCGCCCTCAGATGGTTCCTTATCCTCTGGTGGCCTGGACCAAGGCAGTGATGCACCAACAAGGGACTATGAGCGAGAGGTGAGTGATAGGATAAAGAGGAAAAAATCTAAGTGCATTGATAAAGATGAGGAAGTTAAATTATGTTGTGGGTTTGGTGTAACTCCTTGATTGCCTGCAAGGTTGGGAATCCCTGTTGAAATGAAAACTCACTGTTGAATTTGCAAACTTTTATTTCTTGTGTTTCAAGTTGTGCTGATAAGACTCTGTATGTGATTGCCCCCTGGTGTGTGGCAGTGGTGACACTGCACCTCAAATATTATGGTCAGTTTTGGGCCCCTCACTACAAGGATACTGAGTTGCTTACGTGTGTGCTGAGAAAAGTAACAAAGCTGGTGAAGGGACCAGAAAACAAGGCCTGTGAGGGAATTGGGGTTATTTAGTCTGCAGAGAATGAGGCTGAGGGGGGACCTCATCGCTCTGTACCATTACTTGAAAGGAGGTTGCAGTGAGGAGGATGTCAGTCTCTTTTCTCAGGACACAAGTGATAAGGTGTGAGAAAACAGCCTCCAGTTGTACCAGTGCATGTTCAGGCTGGACATTTGGAAGAATTTCTTCACGGAAAGGGTGGTCAAGCATTAGAGCTGGCTGCCCAGGGAAGTTCTGGAGTCTCCATCCCTGGAGGTATTTTAGAGGTGTGTGAATGTGGCACTCAGGGACATGGTTTACAGATGGGACTCGGTAGGTCAGCTTGATGTTTGGACTTGATCTGGAAGGTGTTTTCCAATCTAGATGGTTCTGATTCTTTTTCAACTCTGGTCCTGGCATTTAACGTGCAGAAAATTCTCACTCTGCTCCTTACCTGGGATTTCAGGAGCAGTGAGGCTTCCAAAGATACTGGCTGAGCAGACTAACAGCTTGATAGCAACCTCTCACAGCTTGAAGCGCTGATACTCCTTCTGTCCTTTATTTGCAAAGACTCTTGAGCTGTAGTAGCAAACATTTCACAGCAGGTATTTTGTTGTAGTATTCACTCTTGAGTGTGTGAAGTTAATGAGATTACTTAAGAATTATCATGTAACAATTCCATTTAGAGCAGGAACTGGATTTAATCATTTATATACTGTGCAAAACAAAAGTATCTTTACAACAGGACAGCAGTGCTAAACTCAGTCCTTTCAACCAAGAAAGTTATATGTAGAAGAGTTCAATCTGAAGTTGGCCAGCAAAACTTCCCCAGACTGTTTTCTAACCAAGAAATGTGAAAATTCAGAGATCACACAGGATTTTCACTGTACAAAAAATATATCCTTCCAGTTAAAAATGGCAGTCAAGCGTCAGCCCAAATACAGGTCAGACGTATTTGCACTCTGCTGTGCTGTGGAAGAGCTAACTAGACTGACTTGATCTGGGTGGATTGAATTAATTTCCTGTGAGCATCACAGAAGAAACTGTGATGAAGCCTATACAATGCAGATTCCACTGTTTAGTACGGGAGCATCTCAGATCTGTGAAAAGGCAGGAGATGGAGCTCACAGTCTGACGCTACACACTGTCGATGCAGAGTGATCTGTACTCTGCAAGAATCCCACAGCTGCTGTGTCCTTCTGTCCCCATCAGGTTACGCGTGCTGTAAGCAGACTGATCTGACAGTTTACTCTTAATTCACACCCCTGCCAAGAAAACTTATCAGTGTTTTGGGGCACAAAATATGTGCATGCCTGTGATTCCAGTCACTTGTTGCTCAGACACCTGCACTCACTCAAATTTTCCATCCTGTTACTTACTGGTGTTTTTCTGTGTATTTTGGCTGCAGGACTCCGACTCGCCGAGACACTCCACTGCGTCGAACAGCTCCAACCTCAGCAGCCCTCCCAGCCCTGTTTCTCCTCACAAGACCAAGAGCCTCTCCCTGGAGAGCTCTGACCACGTGAGTTGGGACTCATGAACTGCTTCATCATTCAGATTTGACACTACAGCAGCTTGCTGTCCCCTTCACTTGCTCCATCCTAACACCTTCACCATCCTAACCCTCCTCATTCCCCGCCCGAAAGTCAACTGGGAGCCGGGTAGAGAGGAAGGTAGAAGCTGGTTGTCTGCAGCACTGCCTCACCCTCCCTTTCCCAGATTTGACAGCAGCGAATGAGTAAAGCTAGGGTGTTGGTAAATATCAGATGCTGTAGATTTGTCTTAGTGTTGGTTTCATCTTTTGCGATTACAGCTGCTTTCATTTTCAAAGACATATATTTATCCTACCCCACAATTCCCTCAAAAGTAACTTAAATAGACCAGACCAGTATCGGCAAGAGAAAATTTAGAGGGATTTTTTTTTTCGTACAATAGCTCATTGTACTGTACAGAAGCAGCACAGAGACCCCTTCCCCTGCATGGGGAATGATTGGTATGTCAGAGGCACATAAAAGCTTTCAGCCACCATGTTTGAATGTCTATCTGATTGTTGCCAGCAAATACTTATTGATTAAGATGATGCATATTTTACTACACTACAGAGTTTAAATAAATACACAGATGTTAGAGTAAAATATGTATGTATATATTAAAAAAGGAAAAAAAAAAAAGAAAAAAAAAAAGCATTGTGTATGCAGCAGAAGATGGATGCTTATTTAAGAGAGCCTTTAATTTAAGATTTGTGTTGTCCCTGTTTTCATACTCAATGATATCCAGATTTGGAGGCCTAGCCTAAAACCTTTCACAGGACAGATATTCCGTTCGCATATCATTTGCTGCACTGCTGGGAGAAGCCCCTGCAGTACTTTCCCAACGTTTCTTTATTTCTGGCAGTAGCATCTGAGGCTATAATTCCTAAGCTCATGTTAATCCCGTCCTTTGCAAAAACGACAGTGGTTGGAAAGCGACCCCCTGCCCCAACACCCGAGGGCACCCATCAGCCAGCTGGCCATGCTGGGTGCTGGTGTGTGGCTGTGCAGCTGCGAAACCTGCAGTGGAGGTCCTTACAGAAGCAAGGGAGCTCAGTGCCACAGGATTCAGCAGGAAAACTGTTTCCCTGGGTCAGACTTTGACCGGGCTTCACTAGGAAGGGAGCAGTCTTCCACATGTCTTTCATCATCCCTTAACAGAAACCTGTTGTTACCAAATAATAGTTTATAATACACATCAGCCAAATGAGTGCTCTTACTCTGAAGCTAGCTGCTGCTGGCTGTGCTGTCACTGTAGCAACGACAAACCTTGAAGACTGACCTCACACTGTTCACACTGTGGCCGTCACAGATGCCTGGTCACCCACAACTGCCGTGCGGGTAAGGTTGGTTTTCCTCTCCCTCCCAACCCGTGCTGTGGGTCTGTGCAATTTGCAGTTGTTTCTTTGTGCTCACCTGCTGTTCGGTTCCAGTCGCAGGCCAGGAAGATAGAAAGTATTGCAGTGGATGACAGAGGCCAGTGAGGTTGCAGAAATAAGTACAAAGCTGAAGCTGGTCGTGCAGTCACCGGAATAAATTGAGAAACTGACGTACAAAGGGATGGTAAGAGGAAGATCTCTCTCTCTCGTTAGGTAGCAAGGCAGATGTGTTTTTCATTTAGGAGTGTTCAGATGAGCCTCTTTTCTCAGTAGTATTGTTGCTGGCATTATACTATGACCATACTCAAACATGTAAGGGCTTTTTGTATTTAGAATACTGTTTTTTGTGGGTTTCAGAAACTTGCTATGGCTCTTAAACCATTCCATATTCTTGCAGTTAGCAGTAATATTGTGTTTCAACCGCATAGAAATGTTTGGAGTTTTCCAGTTTCTGTCTTCTGTAATGGAAGTTATAGGTAAGTTCAGACTGTGTACAGGTATGAGCTAAGTGTGGAACAGGGGATGAGACACAGAGATCATCGCCTGCACCATTTTATCCTGCTGGATCTCCTCAGTAAGATTTCTTTTTCACCCTGAAACACAGCTTGTCCAAGCTTATCAGTGTTACATTAGGACAGGAATTCAACATTGTTTTAAACATTGTTTCAAAACCTGTCTCTCTCCAGTTTGGGTTTTTTGGAGTAGCAAAACGGTAGTGGTGGTTTGTTTTCACTTCAAAGCTACTAGTGTTGCAAGCCCGGCATTTAATACTAAAGGCCTTAGCCAGCAGATTAGCACTTGCAATCAATTCCTTCTAGAACTGATTTTCATCTTTGTGAGGGACAGAGAAGCAGGGCATTATTGGCATCACTAGAACTCCACATCAGCTTCTTTCTACAGGCTGCCTATTGCTTCCAGTATAGCCACTGCTTTTCCCCACAATTCCCTCCTTTTGGTGAAGCATGTCCACACACTTCTCGAAGCCTTTGCAGACTAGTTTTGTATTTACTGTATCTTGTATTTAAACATTAATCTTATTTTGATATCGAGAGAAGGCATTTAAACAATAGTCACGTAAGGTAGAGCCGCCTGTGCAACACGTCCCCTGAGAGAGGGTCACCACATCGTCCTTGTGGGCGTTTCTGTAGCTGAGTTCATGCTCTGTCTGAAAATGGAGCCCACAGAGCCATGACACAGCAAACAAAATGACCAAATATGCCCGTTTACTGTGTCCTGGTGCCTGCAATCTACTGCTACTCCAACCCGCTGCAAACAGGCATTTTCAGGCAGAGCAGAGGGCAGCTGTGTGACACAACACTCCACAGGAGGAGAGCTCCACAGGGCTGCACTGTTTGTGCACCACAGTTTCTAAGCCTGGGCATTTTCCTTTAGGATTACTATATTTAATCGGTAGGTTGGTACTGTGCATTTTGTTACGCATCTGTTAAAAAGAGAAGCAGCAACTGTTCTCTCAGTTGAAAAGCAAATGACCACATCACTTATTGGTAAAGAGAAATGTCATCTTGGGACTTGAATAGCTTTTATGTATTTGGGGACCATTTGATTATACATTCGATTTTAAACCATGCTCATCTTTTTTGTTGGCACAAACACTGAAAACAAAAGCGTTCTGTAGCTGAGCTTTACGCATTGGGCTGGGGCAAGCAGCTCGGTCATTTGAACTGTAGGACTTTTGCCTGGTATCTCAATGACAGTTGTCTTTTAAGGTTTGATGTCTGCTGCTTTGCACTGTAGCATTGTTTCACCTCCACAGTTTGAGGGCTGTAACTTGTCTGGGGAGCTTGAAACCTCCCCTTCAGTCTGTGACTGTAGCATATGTTCTGTGTACACAGTTATGTGTCTAGCTGATTTTTTCCTTTTGGCTGAGACTGAAGGTATCTTGCATTTATGACACAAACATATGGGCTATTGGTTTTTTGCTTTTTATTGTTAATTTTGCAGGCAACAAAGGATGTGAAGATTCAGGCAGCTACTAAGGACTCCAGGTTAGAGAATGCAAAGGTTTGGTCAGTAGGTTTCCCCTGTGCGTGCATGGACACAGACATGTGCTTTCCTTCCACATATCCTACACCCAAAAGCAGGGTTGGAGTACACTCTGCTCCGTTCTATCTGGCCTGTAGTAAACAGCCGGTGGCTCCGAAACCCATCCATGTAGCTGTGGAAGTGGCTGCTTTTCCTCTCTGTTAGCTTCTGCAGCTTGTTAGGAATGCACGTTTTGCTCATCTTAGCGAGTTTCATAACTTGCTGTGCCTGATTTGGTTCTGATAAACTGAACAGCCACCTGTGTTAGTCTCAGGTATGCAGCAGAGGGAAGTAAAGGGTCTTGTCGTAACAAAGAAGTCCCCAGAGCATCGTGTTCTTTCTCATTCCGTTTTATGCACTTCGTTTAGTTTTATGCAAATACATTGAAGGTCAAATCTATCACAGTGCAACTACCCCTACCTCCTTAGCCTGGGAATCAAAGTGGCACATGTAGCTTCAGCTGTGGGTTTGGGTTTTTCTTTTTACATAGGAGTCAGTTGCTCAAAGGTAGTGGGATGGTTTTCTGCACTAGCACCAAAGCACGCAGAAGGGCGCAGGTGTGTTCAGGCTGTGTTTGGCAGGTGCCCTCAGAAGCAGGCCTATGGATGTTCCATGCTAAATTCCAACTCTGCTTTGTCTTTCTTTCCAGCCGCAGCTTTGTGTAACCTGTTTTCACTTTGCGTTTAAGAAAGTCTCATCCACAGGGAAGAAATCCACAAACAAACCAGTGTTGGTAATTCAGAGCAATTATACCTGCCTTTTTATGTATGACAGTTTCATATCATTTATTTTTAAAATATGGGATTTTTTAGGTTTTTCATTGTAATATTATTGTACAGTTTTGCATGGCATAGATGTAATCACTTTTTTGTTTTAGATTATAAAAGCTGACAAGTGTGCGTGTGGGGGAAAGATTCTGCTTTTTGCCTCTTCTCACTATTTTGTTTAATGCCCTCAGTGTTGTAGGGGACATTGTAAGAGATTCTCTGCTACAGAACAATGATGTAGATTCTTTTGCACAGAAATATTTAAGGTGGAAAAGTCAACAATGTAAAAATGACTCACCACCAATATTTTATGTTGGTAACACTTAATATTAACCTACTTTGATGTACTGCAATAAAACAGGGAACTGTTAGAAATGAAGACGTTTTGTCTTTTTTTTTTCTTCTCATACCTCTGCTTAAGCTTTGAGGAAGTGATGTAATTGTGGTTTTGAAAATATAATGGGCATATTTAATGCATCTGCATGAGGACATGGGGAAGAAAAGTAGTGCAATTCTATTCAGCTTATCACCTTTCAGAAAAACTTACCCAAACCCTTATACTTTTTGCTGTAGCTTGGTGGAACACTGCCTGTTCCTTGCGCTGTGACCTGTGCAGTCACCTTTGGTTCCACAGTGCATGGCAGCGGGCCTGCTGGTGTCAAAGCATTAGAGAAGTGGGAAGTGAGCTGTGTGTCAGGGGCCCTGTTCATCTCCCAGCACTCATTTTCTGTCGTGATGCAATACACAGAGTGAGCAAAACAGTCTGTACAGCACTGCTACCGTGCAGCTTCACAGAAGCAAATGTAACCTCTGGTTTGCCCTGTGGAACTAAGAACTGCTTCTGTAAGAGGAACTTTCTGGAACGTTCAAGTTTGCTGCAGCAGAGGAACATTCAAACCCGTGCCCTGCTTGTAGCTAAGCAAATTCACTAGCAGCATGGAGCAAGCAGCAGTGATATGATAGTCTTGCTCCTTGAAAAATGTCATGACTCTTTTGACTTCAAGCCAGAGCACAGTGGTTCTTGCTCTTTATACTCTGAAGCAATTCCTCATGTCACAAAACTCTGGCCAAATCTGCAGAAATTATTAAGGCTTTTGGAATGTGCACAAAAGGCCAGGAGAAGCAGGGCCTGAGCTCTCCTTAGCTCTCCTACTAAGGGAACAGCTCACCTTCCGCCACTTGTTATCCTTAAGGCAAATGCAAAACAACTCCATTGTTCATTCTTTAACAAGCAGTCTCTCTCTAGGGAAGGGAATTGTTTGCTGAGAATTTAAACACCCGTGCCCCAGCGTGGCATCCAGAGCTGTGGTCACAAAAATGCATAGCAAACCTCAATAGCTGTGCCTGCTAGAAAAATTGAACAGTAATGCAGTTGTGTGGTGGCTTTTTTTTTGTTTTGTCTTCCTCACACGTCTTCTAAACTTCTAGCTGCCAGCCTTCAGGGACAGAAGCTTTGCTCTGAAGTTTACCTAGCCCAAGGCATGACAGCTTTTTGTACTTTGCTTCTTAAGCACTAATGTAAGCATTAATATCTTAAACAATTCCAACATTTTTTACAGCTGCAAGGTGTAGATCCAGAAGAAACTATTTACTACATCACGTAGATCAGAACCCAAAGCACCAAGATAAGCTACTCCACTAAAGTTAAGCAGCTTTATGCCAAATGATTATTTCACTGAATAGCAGAGTTCATACTTCTCAAAGGATTAGGACTAACCTGAGGAGGACTTTTAGTACTGGATCTTTCTGAAGCAAAGTCTTAAATGAAGCAGCTACATGCTTATGGTCATGGAAGAAAGGTAATGCAATAACCTGTTCCCTTATTCCTCAGCCTCCTGAGAGGCTGTGCATTCACTTACCTGTTCTTTACCTCCGGAAGCGTCAGAGGTCAGGATTTCTCACAGTGTACCGAAGTCTAAGATCATACAAACCTCTGGCATTCCTGGGCTGCATTAACTCAATAGGATCAGCGGAGTCTGCTGCTGAGGTCGCCTGCCTTACTAGCACCAGGTAAGCATCAACTCTCACTGCCACTTTCTTCACAAGTGGGAGAAGGACAAAAATACCCATGTCCAGAATACTTGTAACAGAGTAGAAAGGGAAAAAAAACAAACAAAACAAGTCTGTTGCTAGGGACTGTTAGTGGGCAGGCAGATGTTCAGGCTGGCATTGCTCTGGCTCCTGGTAACCTTATTAGCACCACTGTTTGTGTGTGACAGAGCTGGAGTGGAAGGATGAAATAATAAACAGGCCACAGATGATTTTGCAATGGTCACCACAATTTGTGGAACCAAAAAACACAACAGGAAGGCACTTGGAAGCCTCCCCTTCTCCTCTGCTGTTTATTCCACAGATTAGCACTTGAGTCAATTGGATACTCATTACCCCAATAGAAGACAGAAAAACTGCAGGCCCACCGCACAAGCACTTGTTTATTGAAATCAGAACTCGTACAGGTACAGGGCTTCGTACAAAAATCTAAGAAAGTTTGCTAGCTTGACTTCAATAGTTGAAAATTGTGCGTCTGGTTTTAAACGTGTCATATCAGCAAAAGCTTGAAATATTCACACGAGACAGGAGGTGTTTGGCTGCCTTGCCATAAGCTTTGCGTTACCAGAAAACAGCCACAAAGACAGACTCACTTGTTAAGAGTCCAGCAAGCAATCAGTGTCAGAGATGGAACTTATCTAACTCAATATCAGGAAAGATGATAGCTACCAGACAGTGAAGAAACCCACTATCTGTGCTGAGATATAGTACTGTTGGTTAAGCATTTGTCTCCCAGAACCAAAGACTGTGAGAGTGTGTGTGTTTGTGTGTGTGTGTTTAAAAAAAATCTTGGCACTCAATTCTCAGACTTCTTTCTAAATGTTTCCTATGTTTGCTTTGCAAGCCAAAGAGGAGTAGAAAGCTTAAAACCTCATGCTATGTACACACACACATACACCCCTTGTATTAAATCAGTGTCAGTAAAATCCAGGGGGGTTCTTGGACTGCCACCACTTGACTTACAAAACCAGGGCAAAAGGGGGGGACCTCGTGGTAGGGGTACACCTTGGTATTTCGTTCTATAATGAAAACTACTTGAATTCCACCTTATCAAGAAAGAATGAAGTTTTTTTTTTTAAAAAAAAAAAAAAAAAAAAAAACAAAAAACAACAACAAGTATTTCTGGGGGAAGAATTACCAACGGATTTCAATACTGAATTCCACTCTTGCTCTCCTCCACCTACCCATTATAAAACCCAATCACTGTGCAGCCACCATCACAATGTTAAAAATGTATTCAAGGTAGTTGGCTGGTGCCTTGAAACAGTACAGAAGCACTTGTGCTATTTTCCTGCAAGCTGCAGGCTGTACTGGCAGTCTTAGTTTAGGACAGACAGAACGTGAAAGAACAAACTTTGTCCTCGTGAAACACACGCTTGGCTTCCAAGGCACAGGCTGCTGCAAATCAAGAGGATGGAGAGCTACAACGGAACACATGGGAGGCTAGAACGCTCTTTGCAAGGCGCAAACTGTGCCCTCAGAACATTAGTTCATTCTTACTAATCCTCTGGCTTCTTGCCCCTACTGCTCCAATATTTGCTGTATGCCTCTTTGAACATGTTTTTGCAAGGAATTTTGGCCTTCAGTTTGGTGCAGATAAGGAAAGAACCCCCCATCTTCCGATGAAGAGAGTAGGTCTCTTCTGGTGGAGGAACAAGCCGATGCTTCAGCATGACTGGAATTAAACCATGGATCTTTTCAGTGGTGCTCTGGTTACCAAAATCAAAAGGTTCTTCAGATGCAAAAGCCTCTCCCAGGATGAGGACAGCGTTTAAGTGGGCATCTTCCATTTCCTGCACAAAGTAAAAAGGCACAAATAGCATCACTAAATATCTTAAAGACCAGAGAGGAAAAGAAAAAATGCTAGTACTAACAACTGCAGCTTAGAGAAATACCTAGCTATACCCACAACGAAGATAACCCCTAGATGCTGACAGACCAAGCAACAGCTGTTTAATGTAGCTTCAAGCAGCTGTCTGTTCAGCCACAAGACTGCAGCAGCATCACCACCTGCAAGGTCTTGCCAGGGGATAAAGAGAGGAGGGAACTGGGGACATCATTGTGGCTCTTGCTGTCATAAGAAATGGGAGAACAAGAGCTGAAGCACTTTTTGCCTTCCTCCCTCAGCCCAGCAAGGGGGCTTTCACACCACCGTCAAGAAATTGCAGAAGACCTGCAGTCTTCAAACCTTTCGCTGCCCATCACTAAAAGCAGATGCTTCACCTCCGTACCTTGACTTCATAGCCAGTGAGGAATTTCATTTCAATGGACTTCTTCAGTACTCTCTCTCTGTCCATGTCAGCAGCTGCCTTGATTACCTGAATAGGAACATCACTTTCAGGAGATCTGGATGATACCTGACATGTTTTCAGACTACAGTCTCATTTTCTTGCCTCTATTCCCCTTTTTTGGGGGTCTGCACATTGACCAGTCTAAGAGCTATTGAAACAAAGATGCAGCTAGTGGCTCTGCAAAGCTTTCTCCTGTAACTGTATACAGGCCAGAGAACATAAAAGACATCCAAAAAAGCTGCATGACCAATCACTTCATCACTGCAAAAACACAATAGAACTAACTGTGAGAAGCTTTAGGTGAGGTCTGCTGGCCCCTGCAGCTCAATTTAGCAAATGCAGAAAAAGGGGATCAAGGAAGCTCACATGACTGCAGATATTTGCAAGTCTGCGACAGGAAAAGACAGTGAACAGAACAAGCAATTCCTAAACACCCTCATATAAAAAACAAAAAATAAAAAAAAAATCAATGAATTCCAAGTGGGTGAGTGAGAAGAGGGCATGTCCTTCCAGACACTCTGCTGCCTAACTCCCCTGGTAAGCAGCATTACAGTCCTCCGCATTTGTCATTTAGTTTAAACATCAGAATACAGGAAGCCAGAGATTTGCAGCAGACGTGTAAGGCATGGGACAAAAGTAAGGGATAAAACCGGAACAGAGATTTCATCTCCATCCCTGCTTCCCTCCACAACTGAAAGCAGATTCTAATACAAACACAAAGTGATACAGCTAAGAGAAATGAACTTTGGAAATACTCTGAAGAACCCCAGAGCAGCATTCTAAGAGACACTGCAACATTCTAAGACACACTGCAACTTCTCACCTCGATGTAAACATCGGTGAACTTCTCATCAAATCCTCGTGTTGCTCCAAAGTCCAGCAGAGCCACCTGGAAATAGACAAACTTTTTTGTATTACAGCATCAACCACTTAAGGAAAGCTTGTCATCAGAAGACACTCAACATGTTCAGGAACTCATAAAACTTTGGGAGTGGAGAACAATCAAGAACTGGTGAAAAGCAGCTCCTCTACAGGCAGAAGGGGTGCTGCCTGAACTTACCTTGTGCAGCTGCGGGTCATAGAAGAAGTTGGACCAGTTGGGGTCAGTCTGCATGTACCTGAACTCAAACAGCTCCCGCAGACACAGGACCAGAATGTTGTGACAAATCTTGAAAATCAGACAGAATAAGAAAAAGTCAGCAGGGTGGAAGGCCTATTCATACATGTAATTTACAGCACACATAATTAGCACACAGGAACACGTCTCCACACTGGCAGGAACTATCTGCTTCATGCTGCAGAACTCCTGAACTTGCTGAGAGGTTGCGTCTCAGCGGTGTCTTCACTGTGCAAGAATGGGCGCAGCGGCAGAGGTGAGGAACACCAGCAGGGTATTACAGCCTACCCTGTAATAGAAAGCCCTGCAGAGCATGGCCAAAGTGAAGCCAGCATGGCTCACAGGACTCAAGATGCCCTGTTCCACAGCATTTTGAGTTAAAGGCATGAAGGGACCTAAAAGAGGAGAACTCTTCATTTAAAGCTGCTCAACAATGTACGGAGCTAGGTCCAAACCATTAGGGGAGAAGCAGCAAGCAGACAGCTTGGGCCTGGCAGGCATAGGGAGCAGCAAGAGCAGTAGTCTCCAGAAAACCCACAACTGTATTACATACAGCAGAGCTTCTCTGTGAGGATTTTTAAGCTACAGCCTAAGAACTGCCAGCCTCATTGTGCCTGTCTTCCAGCAAAGCACCACTTTCAAAACAGACAAGAACAGTAAATGCAAACCAGGCCATTTGGGTCAGAAAGCTACACCAATAACTTCAGTTCATCACTTAAAGGAAAAAGGCTGTACCACCCCAGGTTACAGCCTGCTAAACTGTTAGAAGTAGCCCTGATGATCGAGCAGCCCATTCAAGAGGACAAGCAGCTCAGGGATCACAGGCAACCAGTTCTGGCATAACATCAAGCTCAGTATGGTGCACTTTTCCCCAGTGACCTGCTAACAGCTGGTAACTCACAAGGCAAAAAAAACCACCAAACCCATATCCAAATACCAGTATAGCTATTCCTGCTACTAGAACAGCTGCTTCTCCTACAACAGCACTCCAGTCCCTTGCTATATTCAGCACCAGTGCCTGGTCACAACCACATCCCTGCTCCTTTTTACTGCGAGGTACTCTTCCAGCAGACCTCAGGCCAGAGGTGATACCCAGGCATTTGGGTGTGGGGGGAGGTGGAGATACTTCTGCACTCTCACCCAAGAAAACAGCTGAAAAGCAAAACCCTTCCTCCCCCAGATGACAATTCCTCCCAGGCTTAGGGTCATCTGAGAGAAACAGAGCAGAAGTTACTCAGGCTACCTTTCCTTCACCTACCCTTGCCACTCACCCTCTTCAAACTGCTCCCTGTGCACAACTGCTAGTGCCTGTAAGGTCTAAACCAGCCTAGGGAAAACTCAGCACTGCTCCCAAATTCACTACATGGAAACCTTTTGAGAGACTCCAGGCAATCTCGCCCACTCCAGCCCTGCATTACACTTCTCAGAGTTTGCCCTCCCACAAACCCTCAGACTCCCACTCAGAAGGGAGGCCCCAGCCATGCTTCTCTGAGCTAGGTGAAAAAGAGACCACCCAACAGTACCTCATTTCGGATCTCCTGGCTCAGCCCTACAGCTTGATCCAAGGGGAAGCCAGACACCAGCTCTGTGGTCAGGACATGTTTGCTGCACAGCTCATCCACTACTCTTGGAACGTAAAAGAAGGGGTGGTCTTTCAGCAGCTCCCTAGGACATGGAGAAAGGAGAGGGAAAGGTTAGGAGTGCCACGAGCACACAAGTCCCTCTGCAACACCTTGCACAACACACAGCCCCTTCATGCAACCTAAGGCAGCACTGCTGCACACTCCTCACACCCTGGCTGCAGCTGCCAGGGGACGTTGTGCTCAAGAGTTACAATAAAGATCAAGTCACCAGGAGCCATGCCACCAGTTACAGCTGCTGATGACTCCTGAGGTCACATCATCTGCTGAAGCAGCAGCATTAGGACACTGAGGGCACTGGGCTCCTTTGCTCAACCTACTCCACTTCAGAGCAAGACTACATTTACAGAAGAAACTGTGAGAGAGAAAGAGAGCAAGCCATGCCACAGGAACAGTTCTGCAGGGGGCAAAGCCTGCCTGCAGCAGCACTCCCAGGTCCAGGCTTAGCATAAAAGCAGTCTGTACGCCAGCACTGTAATGAGAAAAGGGAGCAGCCACTGCTGGTGACAATAATTGCTGTGAGAGGGGTGAACTGAAAACGCTCCTAGATGAAAGAGAATCTTACCATAGCTAGAACAGCACTGCAGCCTGCCCTCAAGAGTTACTACACTACCTTCGTGCTGAAAGAGAGGACACCAGCTGCCTGCTGCATCCCCTAGCTCTGATATTCAGCAACAGTTCAGCTAAATGAAAACATACCTAGCCTAGCTGAGAAGAGGTGGTAACACAAGGGGTCACGAGCACAGACTATTCCCTTGTGTCCCGAGGGCATGCAATTCACCTCCCATCTGCCCCTGAAGTTAAGGCACCTCTCTGCATTTCACACGCACACGCAGAGAAAGGTTGAAGGCACTGATGTGAACTTACTGGAATTTCTTCGCGCAGGCAGCTTCTCTCTGGTAGTCGCACTCCAGGGCCAGCTCTCTGCTCAGGACTTCAATCAAGTGCTCAGGGAACAAACCTTAAAAGCCAAACAGCAGAAAATAAATAAAGCTTTGGGGGAAAGAAATAAAAAGAGCTCCTCAGATTAAGCTTGCCAGAGCTGCAGCTGAGGAACAGCCTGCTACCAGCCAGCTCTGGGCTGGAGAGTGGAAGAAGCCCCAGAGACCAACATGCATTTTCAAGTTGATAGAAGTTCTGCATGTAGTCCCAGGCTGTGGCAAACGGCTGATGCATAGCAGTATAAACTCACACTGTGCTTGTACAGCCAGACCCACCTCTTCCGCTCTCCCACCCCTCAACCCAAGCTGCTTGTTCCTGCTGTTGTGCTCAAGGCAGCTCTTGTGTGGTGCTGACATGGCTCCGCAGTGAGACACACCAAGGAGCAGAAGCACCCCAAAACCAGCCTTGGCAAATGCAAGAAAAACAAAACAAAAAACCCTCCAGACAGTGTCTGCCTGCAACTAGGAGCACTGCATAAAAACAGTCACATGACTACACATGAGCTGCACCAGCACATGGCCAGGGCCTGAATTGCCAAATCTGGATCTTCCCAGTCTTGGAGGTGGAAAACCCAACTGTGCCTTGGGTCAGACACAGCTTCAACTACAGCTTCTGCAGGGCCCTGCCCAGGCATCATAGAGGAACTGTCACACGCAGCCTGGCTTAAGGGCAACGTTTGTACAGTCCTGCTGAGATTTACAGCTGCTGCACATGGTGTGGGGGAAGAAAAGCAGTAAATCCTGCATTTGCTCCTGAAAAATGAGTGTACTCAAGTGCTGGGACTTCGGGATATGCCCAGTTCAGCATTTACACCTCTCCACAACTCTGGGATAAGCAGAGAATGACAGGCAGAGGGCTACAGAAAACACAGGGAAGAATGAGTTCTGCCAGCTGTGCCAGAAAATAACAGGGACAAAGTATGACTACATGTCAACACTGCCATGCTTCAAGCCTAGAAAGCCATCAAAAGTGAGTATTACCCAGACACTTGCAAAGAGTACCAATGGGTCCTTGACTATAAAGAGCACACAGACAAAAGCACTTTACTTTGCTGTGTGCATGCATGTATATGCGGCCGTGAACATGACAAAAAAACCAAACAGGTGAACTTCCCATGCCATCGAGTGATGCAGTGGCAGCTCTGCATCAGGAAAGGGAAGTGAAGTACAGCTCCCCAAGTTGGCCCTGCATCCACAGCCACTACATTCTGCTTTCTTTAAGAAATCACCTCCTAGAGAGACTAAGGAGGAGTTCTAGATTCTTTCCAGTGTTTCCTCTCTCCATTGTATGGAGAGAAGCAGGCAAGATTCAGTTTGAAAGGTGTTGGCAGATCTCAACATGTATCAAAGGAACAAAACTGTGTCTTTTTACCTTCAGGCAGAATATTGCTCATGCTCAGGACAGTCATCAGGTTATTAACATCGCTGTTAATGCTCTGGGCTACTCCAGGGTACTGCAGAACAGAATTGGAAATTACAATGTTGAGACTAGGTAAACTCAGAGAATCTAGTTTTACAAGGTAAGATAAAGAGACTCCCAGCTCAACATGAACTGAATCTCTATGTAACCATCTACAGCCTACAAATATATGAGGGCATACTCCTTTAACAGCTTGTTTAGAGCCCAGGATCTAAAATGGGCCACAGAGAGCCCAGGTGACATTTACCCCTGGCAAACAGAACAACCTCTCAGTTCCACTGACATGGAATCTTTAGCATGTGAAAGAAATCCTGAGTCATGAAACCCAGCAACACACAAATCCCTCAGACACACAAATCCCAGTGGCAGCAGTCAGCCATTTCCCTAACACAGCTGAAAGCACATGTCACTGACAGCACCAGAGTGTTTCACACATAGCAGCACAGCAAACAATGAGACCTCAGCCCATTTCTGGCAAAGGCTCCTTCTCCTGTTTTTTTTCACCTAGTCTGTAAAGATGTGTATGTTGTTGTGGAGCAGAATGCACATTGGTGCCACTTTCCATTGCTGTTGCCTTGGCGTAACTTCAGATATCACTCTGGACAGAACTAGTTTGAAAAAAAACATGTGCTTCTTCTCAAGGCCTGTGTGCATCCCAGAGACAAGGCTGACAGGTAGAACCCTTACACACAGCATTAGCAGGCATAATCAGTCCCTCAGCACCATTAGCCCCACACTGCAGAGATGTGTGAGAGGTCATCTAAGCTCAGACAGTGCCCCAAGCTAACTCTGCTGGAATTAGGGTATGACATTGCTGGATCCACGTTTCATTTGTATGAAAATGTTTATTTATTTAGCAGTAAACATACTTATGCAACTCCACTGCCTATCTGTGGAGCATAAGCAAGAGAAGAGGCTGGTCTGTAAAGCTCACCTGAATTTTCATAGCAACTTCTTTTCCGTTTTTTAAGCGTGCCAGGTGAACCTGACCAATTGAAGCAGCAGCAAAAGGGCGTTCTTCAAAGGATTCCAGTTTGTCTCTCCAGTTGGGGCCAAGGTCATTGTTCAGCGTTTTCTATAAATGAAAGGAAAGCATTAGGAGACAGAAAGCAAGGATTTAAAATTTTCTTTGTTTGAAGTCATGTTTCTCTAAAGTTACTTGCACTGAGTACCTACACTCTGCTTTCTAGATTACCTGCCCTCCCTTCCTCCCACTGAGCATGCAATTGCATGGAGCAGTCCAGCCAGCAGTGGTTCCCCTCACTAGACAGATTCTGAGCAAATCTATGTGAGGCTGTGTTACTGTGGCCGAAAGAGCAGCTATCCTGAGCACAAACACCACAGTCTTAGGAATAAAAGTGGCCTTTTTGGGGCCACTGGTTATCTTCCAGAGAATGAGGAAGGAGTTAGATTCCCTTCTCTTCCATCATGGCAAGCTGATCAGAAGCAAACCAGGCATGCAAGAGTGATTCTCTTTAAAGGCAATATTGAAAATTAAGCACCACAACTTGCATTAACAGCTTTTTTGTTACACTGCCAGACTGCCATGCTTAGGTGCTGGCTCTGCTCAGTGTCTTTCAGTAGCACTGGCAACTGCGTTTGCATTACCCTTCACATCTTAATTATCCAAGAGAGGGAGAGAGAAAGAGAACATCTATGAAAGGAAAGCAAACAGCTTGCTTCATTCAAACTCTTCTTGAAGCTGGGTTAGATACAACCAAAAAGACAAAATTGCCAAAATTTCCATTAGACTCAGACTTGCGAGTTTGTTTTTAAAACGGGATTTAGGCAATTCTAAACACTGCTTTAACACCCATGAGAAAGAAAGAGAGGCTATATTAAACAAGACCCACATGTTCATATTTGTATGTAACTTCGTGTTTCACTAGTATGGCTTCAGGAAATAACCCACATTTTTCCTTTGCCTAGAGCTGAATTTCTGTGTATGGGAGAGAAATAGCAGCACACAGTTGAGATTAGGAATCACATGTCACCAACAACTGAAAAAAAATGCAACCTGTACTGAGGGAGTACTCTTACTTATCAGCCTCCCCCACTGGGGTATGTAACAGATGACATTTATTCTGTTATTGCCCCTCCTACCCAGTAAGCAGGAAGGAACAGGAATCTTCCTCACCATCATCTGCTTTATCGGCATGAAGTCAGCACTCTGACGTACGCGCTCAAAAATTCTCTGGAGGTGCGGATTGATGAAGGCATCATCTGCCAAGGGGAAAAGCAAACAGCAGTCAGTGCGGGCACTGCATTCCTCTGTTGCTCTTCAGCACGCAAAGTAACAGATGCCTGCACTTCAAGTCAGGTTCTCCTGTCCCCAAGCACATCTCAGTGGTGGTTATGAAAGTAATTCTAGCTCAGAAATAGCATGCCCACAAGTGAACCCTTAGGCAGACCTCCTGAAGCATCACACCTCTGGAAATGAGCCAAACAGAAGTCTTGCATGCACGCAGCAAGAGAGGAAAAAAACTACTCGTTCCTCCTCACTCCCATCAAAAACAGCCTATTACCTGAAATTCTCCTAGGCTTATCTCCTGCTGCAGCTAGAGGAAGTTTCTGCACCCTCTCCCAGTCAACAATGGAAAGACAAAGTATGAATACACCAGAAAACACATTGAGAAACCTCTTATACTTTGGAATCAAACATCCGTTGTCGTGATGGTCACTGTCCAGGTTGGAAGAAGTCAAGATCCCACACATCCAGTAACAGCTCCACCAAGAGCAATGGGCAGCTCTGCACAGCACAGAGGCTTTTGCTACAATGACAGGTTGCACAACCTCAAAGAGCAAAGTGCTCTGCCCAAGCCTGTCATCTGCCAGCCATACAGCATTCAGACAGGATGCCATGTCATGGACACGGATTACAGAAGAAACCTTCTGGAGAGTCATCCCAATGACCCCAAGTTCATGGTATGGTTTAATCCAATTCATTCCAAGGGACAGCAGTTTCTCTAGAAAGCTGTGCAATATTAAAACACCACTTACGCAAGTGCTGGACTCAGAGTAACCACTGTTCAGCACCTGCTTTTGTAAACAACTCAAATGAATTGGGAATTCAGCAAACATATTTTTACCTTCGTAAGAAAGCATGGGAGAAGAGGGGTCTTGAAAGATTGGCCCTCTCCCACAAGCAAAAGGTTTCTACAACAGAGAAAGCCACTTGCTCTGGCAAACATTTGGTTCCATTAAGACTTGTAGAGGAATGAGATTTCCCTGCTGCTCTCCCAGCTCTGGAAACAAGCCCTGGCTACCAGCCTTATTTTTGAGAACCTGTACGTTTCTGATGCATGTAGTTTCTGATATTCATGTGAAAGTCCATCATTGATGTGCATTTACAAATACATGTACAGCTGTAAGCCTATCCCAGGAAACAAGACAAACAGCCACTTTAAGAGCACTGCCCACTCTCCTGGGAAGTGGAGTGGGAAGGAACTGGGGAGGAAGTAAAAACACATAATGCAGAGAGCAACATAAAAAAGCAACAACAAAACTCCCCTTGAAACTGTCAAATCTCCAATATTTCCTAAAGCACATGCACCTTAACTGAGTGGTTTTGGCATCCCTTTGCATGACCTTCAGGAACATGGGTTCCTAACAGAACTGCTCGTTTCCAGAAGCAGACACCAAGTTTTTTAAGGTAACTGCTTTGAAATTTCTGGCTGGTTTAGCCTGCAGGTGCTCAGCTGCACCTGGACAAGGCGACACTCAATTAGCACATAACTCTATTAAGACAAGAAGCCATTTCAAACTCACTAGGTCACTGAGAAGCCCAAGATGTGGCAGGAACTGTGCTAAAACAACTTGTCCAAATTGTCAGCCCAAGAACATGGGCTGCTGCAGTGTTGAAAGTACCTTTCACCACGACTGTAGCACTGCAGGATTCCAAGGTCCTGTGATCTCCCTAAGCAACGTAGCACACCACACACTTGTCAGAGGAGTCAGACAAGGGCTGCGCAGTGCCACTGCGGTTGGTAAAGTCCTGCATGTTCTTGACACCTGAGATAAGTCAGTTGGCATGTGTCCCAAACTCCTGCCAAAGCTCAACAACATTAGGAGGTAGCAGGCAAATTACAAAAATCCAGAGCATTTCTGTTCCTCGGAGATGGTCTTTCACAGCTACAACCTTTACAACCAGACTCTAGGCACATATCAGTGCAACTCATAACAGTGTCCTAAGAATTTTAAGTTAATCTCCATCTACAGTACACAAGTTAACTTCAGAGCCTATTTCCAGACATGGCTCACTTATCCCACACGTGGGGCACTGGCCACACAAAATAGAGAATAGAGAACTCCCAAATCTGCACTGTGAACTACTGGTAGCAACACCTGGCAGCTTCTGGAGGGTGAGAAAAGAGCATACTGCCTTTGACATATCTACTGCTGCCTGCCACCTACCTTGGTCAGTGCTGCCATCAGCCCAGCACACACACAGAATACGTGATGAGCAAATGAGCAATAATGCCATACCACCATTGGCTAGCCCAAGTTATATAATACCATATGAGATCCAGCCTTAGTAAACACCTACAAAAATTCAGGTAGAAGCACAAACCAATCTGAGCACTTCAAACTCCCAGACAACTGACTCTGTTTCAGCGACATCTAAAAAGCCATTTCCAGACAAGTGTAAAAGCTGTTTTTTGGTGGCTCTTTCCTTCCCCATTTTGTTGGGCAGGAAGGTGAAGCAGATAGGTTCAGATAAAGTTTGAAATCAACACAGCTGCTGTCTTCCAGGAATAATCAAACTAGTAAGTTCAGTACAAAGACACAGCTGACTCTCATACCTTCACCTGTGATCACAGACTTCAGAGCCTGATGCAGTAAGTCAGTATGAAATCTCTTCTGGAGAGAAAACTGTTTTGTGTACTTGATAAGATTATCAGCTATGCTGTTTTTTCTAGCAAAGTTTCTGAGCATGTGAATCACCAACAGGTTGCTGTAACAGGAGAGAGCTGTGGATATTATTTCAAACACTTCTGGTGAACAAAGAACAGGATCATGTTCTTGTCTTCTCCTCCTTTCTAGCAGGAGGCTTGTGAGCAGAGTGTGATAGAGCTCTGCTTCTCCACTGCTTTTTAGCACAGGCAGTAAAATTCCAGAGTCATCTAATTTTCAATTGATTTCAGTTGTGTGCCTGACTGAGCTGCAATAGGGGCACTGGGAAAGCAGCAGTATCTATACATAAGTTACTTCAGACTGGGATTAGGCTGAACTGAATCAAACATATCACCATTGCTGTCCTCACATTAGAGAGCTGCATGCCTAATGTCCGCATTCACTTTGCGCTGACACATTTCAGACAGCCTGCAACATATCACAAGAAACTGACAGGCAGCACAGCTGATGAAGATAGGACCTATGTCCCCACTTACCTTGGATGCTTAACATCTGCCCCAGCTTCAGTGCTGCCCCCCGGACCTTGCACAAGGTTCTCACAATTCTTTCTGCGTTGGCCTCCGACAGGAACGGGCTGGAATCCATCACCGCTTTCTTTCCTGAGGGCAAGGAGAGAAAGCTTATGGATGAAAATCACCCTCAACTCAGTAAGCTCACTCCTCAAGCCCACACTCAACAAGAGACTTGCTTTTCCTTGGAGAAAAAATTAGGACTACAACCCAGTCTTCACTGCAACCTAGGGGCATGAATACATTTGCATCATACTCTCTGGCTGGGGCATTGCTGGCTTGAGGGCCAGCAGCACTGAGACACAGCAGCACAGGCATCCATGGAGGCTATGAAAAGTGTCCAGGATGGTGGTGTTTGAATTGGCTGTACCAGATAGCTCAGTCTAACACACTACACAAAGGTTTCCCAAGTCTTATGGCATAGGCTGCTGTATAATCATAGCTTCAGAAGAACAGCAAGGGTGAGACACAGCAAGGGGAACTGTCAAAAACCTTGACAGCACACTGGGATTTTCTGAGAACGTGCTCACAGGGTGGGAGCAGAGCTCATACCAGCACCCAACCTCCTTTTCCATATCCAGTATTCTTGCCTGAGACACACACATGAACACACTGCTGTGCAGCTGTACTTCTAAAGCATGCACTAGCCATCAGTAGAAAGCAGACATAGTTTTCACTGAGTCCATAATTGCATTATTCATAAACTGAAATCCACTGTCTCCTAATGCACAGGTAAAACAAACTGTCCAATACCACAACCCCAGAACATCACAGTTGCATACAGCATCTTGAAAAAGCATCAGATTTTGTGATGAGGTTATAAAGCCAGCGAAATCTAAGGAGGTTGTTCTCACAGGAGAAGCCCAGTAGGAGCTCTCATCGGGGATACCACATTTTTCTTTGACAACTGTCAGAGGAAATCAGTTCCAGATATCTTTCCTTCCTACATCCTCAAATACGTGTACCATTTCTCACCACGTTCTTACAGGCAACTTGCTACTGAGAAAAATACCTAGTTTAGATAGAAGAACATCCCAGCGACGATACGGTTACTTGTTCCAGTGCAAGCAACAGCTTATGCAGAACACAGTCCAAACATATACGTTCCTGTCCCCAAAGAAGGATTGACTTAATTTTATTTCTTTTTAAAGAGGAAAGGGAAGGAGGAGAGAAAGAGAGCGACTGGATTTTTTGATCCCTTTGGGTGAAGCAACCCAGAACTCCTTCTCCAGTAGGACAGCTCCTCCAGCTCCCAGAGCAGGGACAGAAGGGGTGGGCAGGCACCCACCAACCACTTCTCTTGGAGCTGCTCAGCGCCTGCTGACAGAGAACCAAGCAGGAGGGAGGTCAGGCCTTACAGCCAGGCTGCAGAGATCGGAGCTGATATGTTGATCTTCAAGCGACTCTGTTTTCAACACTTCAGAGGAAAGGGTACAACGGATAAAACAGCTGAAGCCAACGTGTATGATAAGCAGAGCCTGAAAGGGCACAGCAGCTGCAATGGCCCTGATGATCTCAGACAGATGGAAATTACTGGTGTGCTGTACAGTGATTACAGCAACAAGAGATCCTCTCCATGTCCAGCTAGCTCTCAGGAATGTATACAGAGAGAGCTCAGATTGGCCAGGGGACAGGGAAAAAATAGTACAGGAATGCTTGAAGGCATGTACTGAGTTCTGGCTCTCAACTGCCCATGAGAAAAATTCTGGGTCCTTAGCAGTGATGAGACAAACAGTCCTTCTCACAAGCTCCAGACACATAGGAGCAAAGGAAACTACTAAGTTAAAGCCCTGCCTTCCTTCATAACGCCTGCACACACAAATACCCTATTCTGAGAGTACAGCAGGATGAAAGAGTTAGTTAATGATTAAAGTCACTTCCAGAAGCCAACGAATCCTAACAAAGAATTTTTATCAGAGAAGCAGCCCTGCAGAGGCACTCATTCTCTTTTCCTGCCAAGCACCTCATTGAAATCAAGACAAGAAGGGCACTACCTAATCAACAATCTGTCCAAAAGTAGGTGATTAGCTGTTGCTTGTTTATGTACATTGCTAAAAGTGGGCATGAACAAGCAGCTAACCTGAAAGCAAGAGTCAAAAGTAGTTTTATGTAAATTTCAGTGAAGAAACAACATAGAAAACAGGCAGTCTTCCACAAGTAGATGGAAGACAACAGGTATAAAGTGCAGCAGAGTTCATCAAAATATGTTCTGTGTAAATTTTCATTAAGCTCTTCCCAGAGATAGCAAGAAACGTTTGATACTAGAAACTATTTGCTTTTCACTTCAAGATCAGAATATTTTTTTCCACTGGCACAGGCTGCCCAGAGAAGCTCTGGATGCCCCATCTCTAGAAGTGTTCAAAGCCAGGTTGCATGGGGCCCTGAGTAGCCAACCACGACATGGGGGTTGAAACCAGATGATCTCTAAGGTTTCTTCCACCCTAAGCCAATCCATAATTCTATGACTTGGCACATATTTGTTTTTAGGACCATCTGCCATACAAACCTTGGAGCAAGGGAACAGTCCGGAACACAACCCAAGCACTTAAGACTAACAATTCAAGGAGATTGTGTTTCTTCTTTCCTTAAGGAAATACACACATGCTCAGAGCTGGGCTGATGGTCAGTCCTTCGGGGCTTTGGCAGACTCAGCATGCTGCCTATCAGGATGGCCTAGTATATAAGCCATTAATAAGTTACTAATTTGACATTGAATCCACAACGCCTTTCTGCTAGTAATGGCAATATTTTACTGGGCAGTGTTTCATTTTTATTCATGGAAATTTGTTCTGCTCTCCCCTACCCAGCCCCTCTAACACTGTGCACTTCCACACTAAATACAGCGACTGCCACTGCAGACACCAATGACTCAAGAGGGTCTTTTAAAATCAGCCTAACAAGAAAATTTTCACTGGAAATAAAGCATGGCCATTTTTTTTTAGAGTAAGATGAGAACCTAACCAGTTATCAAAGCACTTAAAGAGGGCAGTCATATGCCTACAAGCCCTTAAAAAGGCCCCTGCAATTCCACACAGAAATTGGTGGTGAAAATTATTTATGCTAGCGTTGTTACTAGAGAACGCACAGGAAAGCAGACATTTGCAGTCTCTCTGTTTGATAACAGCAGGGGCAAGACAACAGAAGTACAAACCATACTAGAAGGACCTGCTGCTCAGGAGTTTGGGGCTTGCAATTTTGTGTTTGTAGGATGCTTCTAGCCTGTTTCACAGGAGTGACATTTTCAGTTGTACTTACTGAGCAGGAGGAAAGGAAACCAAGAGAAGACTCCTTCCAGTCACTCCAGGATGCCACCACAAGTGTGAAATTCTCAGGGATGCCTTTCATCATATGTGTGTCCTGCTTGTTTGGTGTTCCAAGAAATTACTGTTAATATAGTGTAGCAGTGGCAAGAGAAATGACTTCTAATTAACTTCCAGAAAACAGGACAATATGTCATTCTCAGACAAGAGCCTTAGTAACCTTATGGTGCTGGCAGCCAGAAAAATCTTTCAACCCAGGCACAAATGCCTCAAGTTGAAGTCATCAGTGGAGTGCAGAGGTACTTTTTTGTTTGCCTGTTTACAGAAAAAAGAAATAAGAGGCAGAGGTACCTACACAAGAGTTTTCCTCCCCTGATAGCAAAGGCTGGTATTGCCAGAAAGAGCAGTAAGAAAATGGGATCTTGGACCCAAATCTACATACATGTCCTCTGCCATGCATGTCTGCAGCAGCAGAGCCCTCAGAGAGAGGTCTCATCCAGAATCATAGAATGGCTTGGGTTGGAAGGGACCTCAAAGATCATCTATTTCCAAGCCCCCAGCTGTGGGCCCCCAGCTCTGCCCCTCCACCAGCTCAGGCTGCCCAGTGCCCACCCAACCTGGCCTGGAGCACCTTCAGGGATGGGACACCACAGCTCTCTGGGCAACCTGTGCCAGTGCTTCACCACTCAGAGTGAAGAATTTCTTCCTACCCTTTCACCCAAACTTCCCCTCTTCCAGTTTAAATCCATTCCCCCTTGTCCTGTCGCTACCAACCATCGTAAGAAGCTGGTTCCCCTCCTGCTTGTAAGCTCCTTTCAAGTCTGCATTGAGGTCTCCCTGCAGAAAGTCATACCCACTGTAGAGTCCTGTGGAAAACATGGCCAAGGACGCTATAGCTAGAGGCAGTGGTTAACTGAAGAGCAGCGAGAGTGAGAGCCTAGATCACCCACAGTCCTTCTCATGTTCTTGGTTTGAGACACTCCAAGAAAGCAAGAGGGCTGAAATAGTCTTTTCCTTCTGCCTTACTTCAACACCACTCTTGTCCAGTTCTCCTCTACAAAGTATAACCAATGCTCCAAGATCTTATCTAAGCAGACAACAGCAAGAAGCAAAAATGAAAGCAAATAAGACAGCTAAAAATAAAATCCAGGTAATTTTTCCAACTGCCTTGCCCAGCAGTTAAGTCAGCAGCCTTCACTGCCATATATACTAACCAAGGTTTGTTCAAGAAAATTACTTTTTCAGAACATGACTCAGCCTGCAGAGCAGACATCTGGCCCCAGGTTACAGTTACAGAGGAAAACAATCATTTCCCTAGCAAGAGGAAAAATATCTTGAGCCACAATTTCCTTATTTCAAGAAAAAGTGTCTGTTGCCTTCTAAATAAACAAATATATATACTTATCTTTTCATGCTGTAAGGCTGAGAAACAAAGCTTATGTATTCCAGCAAATTTCATAGTTCTGCAAGCTCTTGTTTATGCTTTAGTGTGTGCCTAATTAGAAAATAATCTGACAAGCAGAGAAATACCAACAACTGTGCAATTCCTTCTCTGCTTAAAGCAAGGCAAATCATTAACTTCCAACAGGTATGAACAACCTGTCAAACATCACAAGCATAAAAAGCAAAAGATTTCAAGTGTTCTCTAGAGGATGGGTCATGTTTGCCTACATGCGTGCTCTTAAATGAAAGCAAAGGAACTCATCCAGCCTCAAAAACCTCAGGCCATGGAGAGAAAATTCTGCCAAAGATCCTCTTCCTTTGCTGGGCTGCTCTGCATTGCCTAGTTGTAAGGGAATACAAAAATGCACATCATCAGGTAGCATCCAGAGCAGTACACAACCTTTTCCTTCCCCTCCACTGCCAGGAACGTATCAGTTCTTCTGTGGGTTTGCTTTTATTTTGTTTTTGAGGTTTTGGTGGTTTAATTTGTTTCAGGGAGTGAGATACAGAACTGTAATTTGGTTGGTTGATTTTTATTTCTCCAATTCCAAGCCACTGCAGTACCTCCTGAAATTGAGGTTCTCACTTCCTCAGTCTCCATCGCTACTAAAAAAGAGTGGAGAAGACGCAAACTGGCCTGGTAGTGCAATACTAATGGCCACAGAGTAAATGAGAACTGCTGGGTACTCCTAGGTTATCACAAAGCAACGCTTCTGAACAAAAAAACATTTGACTCTTTCTTTCTTTTGAACTTCTAAGTGCAAAAGGTTATCCTTTTTGTCATTTCCTTCTTGTCACTAGAAATTATCTAAACATAAACATACAAGCCAAACCACACAGAGCAGCTGAAGACCATGCAGCCTGCAATAATTCTAACAACTTTATACTTTGCAGCGCACCACCAAAACATTTTACTGATAAGGAACAAACCTTGAACCATAAATCTAAAATAATCTTACATTTTCTAGGAAAGAACACTAAGTACTTTTATGCTGTAAGCCATTCACCCACATGGTACCATTCTATACCACTGCAGTCTACCAAAGCATAAGCCTAGAAAACAGCCACCATAAGGCAGCCAAGTATAACTCAGCAACATTTTTACCTCCAACTTCAAATAAGCTGCATGGATACAAAAACTGTTCAGAGAAAGTAAAAAAAAAAAGGTACTACAAGTAGAGAAATGCCATTTAGCAGGTACCTGAAGTGTTTTGTCTCTCTTAAGAACAGACCAGCCAGCCTCCCAATTCCCACTATGCAGAACTTCCTTAGATTTTTAAGAGCCTGCAACCAGTAACAGCATGAAGTTTTCAGACATAAGGGCTCTTTTACACTACATGGTTTCAATGAACAGTTCAAAAAACATACCAATACAATCCAAGAGAGGACATAAGTATGACATTCATACTCATGTGTGATTATGAGAAAATAAACTCTGTGAACAATGCTAGCAAAAGTATTCTCCCAAATATATCTCCATTCTTCACCTACGCACTGAGGTTGTGGCTTACTTCAATAGGAAAAGAAAAAGCATAGAAGGATTATGATAAAAACAAAAGAACTAACCAATCTCCCAACTTTCAAAAGAATGCAATCTTTCAAACAGCTATGCAAGCAGTCAGTGGCTGCAGGGAAAAAAAAAAAAAAAGAAAGAAAGAAAAGGATGAGAATGCAGAAAGAGCTTACCACTGCGTTCTTCAGGTCTAAGGCTCTTCTTCGCAACTTCTGCCAACGCCCCAATGCCAAGACCAACAGCTAATCCTTTAAAAGAAGAGGCAGGTCAGAGTGCACATACCACAACCGCTGAGCACGTATCTTTTGCACTTGAAATTCAGTCTTCTTCAATCAGATCCCACATAGAGAACAGTTACTTGGAGGAGAAAGTATCAGGAGTCAGACAACATACAGTGGAGATGGGAATCTCGTCAACAAATATTACAGACAAAAGAAATGGCAAGTCACTCACACAGTACTTTTCCTATTGCCTTTGACTCCACACTAAGCAAAGTTTTGGACAGTAACGAACTTTAAAAGAGCTACAACCACATCAGGTCCAGACCTTAGAATTTTCTTTATTGCAAAAATATTTTATTATACTACTAAAAGAACAAACCAGGAATGTGAATAAGGGAGACACAAACTGAACAGAGAAGCCAAATCATATATAAAGAGATCAAGAACGGTGTGAGGGGAACTGATGACCCACTAGGGCTACAAAACAAGTAACAAAAACTAATTTATTCCACCATTTCAAACTGCAGTAAGGAAAAATAAAATAATGATACTTAGTACTATAAATGCAGCTACCAGTAGTCACTCCAGCTGCAGCAAGCAGCATATGAAAATGCATATAAATGACAGAGTTCAGCAGTGCCTCACACTGATCACAGAGAAACATGAGCTCAGTAGGGGGAGCAAGAAAAAAAAAATCCTTAACTGTTTCAGCAACACGTTCTTTGCTCCCAGAACTCTGCTGTCCATGTAATTGTGCCTCCTGTTACTGATACGTTCATCACCCCGCAATGCCTTAATGCCACAGCATTAAGATCAACACTCCCAAGTACATCTGGGAACAATGAAAAAATACGTAAAGAATGAACAAGAAGGAGGAATAATTCAAGTGTGAGTGCCAAGAGTATGGGAGTGGAGCTTCCTGAACCCCAGGAACAGTTAAACGAAAATCACTTTTAACCTTCTCAGTATTTTTTTTTTTTTTTTTTCCCTCCAAACTTACTTGATCTTGAGCACAAAAAAACAACTCAAATCCAGTGAGGACTGCCAGAAGCAAAGGGAGGCACACAAGTACTACCTTCCACAGCAGTTAGATAAGATAAAAGAGCAACAAAGGTGGATGAAAAGTGTAACTTCTTTCTGACTAAAGGCTAAGAGCCATAATGGCAATGAAAAAGCCCAAATCAAGCTCTGGAGCAAAACCATCCATTTGTGAGAGAGACTTTCCTATCAGCAAGCTTGACACGAAAATGGAACCACCTTCTGCTTTAGCAGGAACACTGTCACAGCCAGCCATCAGTCTGTGCAATCGTAGTGACTTTGCAGATGCAGGTGTGCAAACTCACCTCCAAAGTTGGCAAGCCTCCCAATCCTTGTGACAGGAACCTTTCGCTCCCGAGCCCGTTCACTGAGCTGCCACAGAAAGACAGGGCAAGGAAAACAAACAAACAAATCAGTTACCTGCAAATACAGAGTGCAATTTCAAAAAACACCTGAACAGCGTATCTGTGCTACAAAAAGCTCTTCTTGAATGCCAAGGTAGGAGATTTTCAAATGATCACACAGCAAAAATATAGCTACCAAACTTAACAATACATTAAACCAAGAAATGGACAAGAGAGTGGGAAAGACAGAATAGCTGATAACCATATTTAAAAAGTCCATGTTCACTTTTACCTCGACAGCCCTTAAATTCTGAACTTGGAGAAGCAGTGCAATATCAACCAATGCTAAACTCTCTTTACACGTGCAGTTAAAACTCTTGGCAAGTCATCAGATCTACAGGACTGTAGATGATTTCCCCACAAAACAGCCAAAGCAGAAGCATACAGTTTCACTGAAGCAATACCCTGACTAAGTGAACCCACAGCAGCATCTGACACTGGGTTTGAAGGAGGCAGGTTAGAGCAGAAGGCAAGTATCACCACTGTGAATTCTGCTGTAGCTTTTCAGTGCTGGCTTGTACAAGGACATAAATCACAACTCTTGCTTCAGGGCTCTATACTACTCTCCAATCTACTAATGCTGAGGACAACATTCCATCCACTTCTAGGAGGACAACAAGAAATAGTGCAGGAAGCCATGGCCTTCGCTGAGTAAAGTGTAGATCCAATCCATTCTTACGGCCACAGCAAGACCATTAGCTAAAGGAGACAGACCCTTCAAGAAAACTATGATGAAATACAGGCCCTTCATTACTGTAACCTACGTCAACACTTGGAGTCCACACAGACCAGTGAATGAAAGGAAAACTCCTGTCAACACAAAGTTTAAGTCTAATCCTACAGAGGCATCTTAAACATCCTCCCACATCAGAACATTGGATATATAGGGGGTAGATGTGAAAAGAGATCCTGTCACAGAAACCTGGGTTAAAAAGCACTGACACTACTATCTTTTCCTCTCCAAAAGGCAATTTCAGAAAGAGAAAAAAATAGAAACAAGAGAAGCTGACTTATGGATAATCCAGAATAGTAACCTGTAGTTATAAACAATACATACAAACATACACATACCATCTGTTTGTAAGGTTTCTGCTCAGTTTTGGCCTGTCTGGCTTTATCGATATCTTCAGCTGTTAATCCACCAACAGAGGAGTGATCTTGGTGAAAAGCCCTATTTTGTCCAAAGACAGCAGCAAAAGGATTTCCAGGGTCCCTAAAGCCTCCAAATAACCTTGCATCCATTTTGGGAGGGAAAGGCTTCTGACCCAGGCCAGAATCTCCAGTCTCACCAACACTTTTAAGAGGTCCGTTTGTAGTGTAAGAGTAAGCAGGGCCCTCACTGCTGTGTTCATGAGGCTTGCTGGGGGCAGTAGAGAAGTCCCTCGAAGCATCCGATGGCTCCTGTGCCAAGAAGTCATAGTCTTTCCCAAAATCCTCACTGAAATCGCTTAAGTTCTCCTGTTGTTTGCCCAGTTCCTGTAAACAGTAATAGAAACACTTTAAGTAAAGAACTTAAAACCTGCTCCCTACTTATCCACGGTCCTCAGAAAAGGGCATGCGGTTTGGCCCAAAGTCAAAAAAGTAACCTGTTGAGACTTCAGCACACTCACAGCAAAATATGGGGAAAAATAAAAGGAAGGGATGCTGAGGACATCCAGAACTACTGGCAATCTTTCAGCACTGCTGGTTGGGCAAATTCATAGGTAGATTCTCAAACACCAGTACCTGGAGATACAAGTCAACAGGATTGTAACCCTGCTGCGGTCAGTTAAGCAGTCAGCGTATTTTAGACTCTTTTCTAAACACTGAACACATTTCCTCTCCTTACAAAAAAACACCACCAGAACATCTTTGTGATTATTCAGCAGGTCTCATACTATTCTGAACTTCAACTGAACAAAGGGCAGAGGAGAAATCTGTTCGCAGGGACTGTGGCCAAGCACTGAGTGGCAGTTTCAAGCTTCAGACTGCAGATTTCTTACAAGTTCTTTTGGCAGCAGCTTCTCAAGCAACTTTTACTCAGAATGCAGTCTTGTAGGTGTTTTGATGTGACCTTTCTTGTGTAGAGAAACATGCACAGAAACAGGAGAATGTTCTCTCCCTTCTTGAATGCAAAAGACAAAGGCAAAACAAAACATTGTCCCCATAAACAAATAAACTTAGGATATTTCTCAGGACAAAGCTATTGCAAGCTTAAGTAGAAATAAGGTAACAGACAAGTTCTAGAATTGAAGCTTAAGGAGGTCTCCAGGACAGCCCAAGCTTATTACATAAAATATCATTAAAACCTCACCCATTAGCTTTTGTTTTAAAATCATTATCTGAGCCACATCATTGCTCTAAAGGATGATTCTTTTGATGTACATAAGCGCCACTTTTTCAAGAGATGGCAACACAGCAAATGTGGAGTTCTTATAAATCTATCATCCTTGTGCCTGGTAAGAGAAGTTACTGCTTAAAAAAGAAGTCTGGCTTCCCTCCTGATCCTCACTTGCAAGCCTGTTCTTCTGAAAATCCTACCTCAGCTGTGAGTGAGGAACACATGAATACCTGACCAATTCTGGAACACATCACCTATACCAATTCTGTAAAGAAAGGAAGCGACAGTGCCAATAAATTCTAACAAATTCCGAGAGCTCATTCTCTTAGTCAAAGAAGAGGCAATCAATTACTGAAGTCTGAAGAAGAATTTAAATAACAAAGCTACCAGCCAATTTCACTTGATCTTTGACAAGATTAGGTAAGCAAACTACACTTCATCCTCAGCAGGCCATAAACACTGATTAATGGAAACCAGTACACTAGTAACCATCCTCTTACACTCCTGCCCAAGCACCTATGGCATACTGCTGATGTTTTGGACAACTCCTGGCATACTCCAACATCTGCAGTAGTTAATTTAGTAACTCAGAGAGCTAAGCTTATGATAGGATTTCCTCAGCTCTACACAACACAGAGAGTACCTGGAGGAAATGCCAAATATCATACTAGATTGTGCACATAAAAACTTCTCTTACCTGCATTTTTCCCCAGGCAGAACTAAACTGCTCTTCAGCAGTTGCCTGGAGACTCTTTGCAATGGTAACTGCATCGCCCCCAAGGACCACCTGCCGCAGCTGTCCTGCTTGGGTTTCCAGGACTGCTTTACTGAGCTTTGTCAAACCTCTCATGATCATGATGGCATCTGCCGCCATGATTGAACTTCTCTGCTGAAAAAAAGCACAAAAAAAACAACAGGGGAAGAGGTCAAGGAACACGTTTGCAACCTTGTTCACATCACCTAAGAGCATGTGGCATATAGCAGATAATCTTGTTTCAGTTTGACTACCAGCTACCATGAGAATTTGTTTACAGCTCAGATAACACTTCAACCAGCATGAATGACAGCTAGTTACCTTACCAGGCAAGGTGAGAGCTCTTAGGACTATCCACGAATTAGGACAGCATTCCAGGATTTCACACAAATATTTAAGTTACCAGTGACCAGAGGAAGCAAAGACAGATGCATTTCGGCCACATGGCTAAGATAGTCTTAATTCTTCTCAAACACTTAAAAAGCGTTAAAAGCATTAGTGTTTGACCTTTGATTATCAGGACATGGAACATGTTCTCAGCAACTGATAGCATGGATGAAGTGTACTGACAACTGTCACATCCCATTCCTGCCCTGGAGTCATGCCTGCTCATTTTACATAACCAAATTTCTTCACCCTCACATCAATGAGTAAGCTTTATCTGCCCTCCAAAGGTTGTCCACTCAGTCCTCAACTCACTCTACTATTTTAAGTTGGAAATTAAGCAGGCTCAGAACACTCACCTACCACAACCTAGCATTCAATTTGAAGGTATCACACTGCAACGGTCTACCTTTTTATCCATATCCCTTCCTGTTGGAGAGGCACTGACTCAGATTCCTTAATCAATTTCAGTATCTTCAGATACAAAGCAAGAACTGTAGGGTGCAGGATGGTGTATCTGTGAAGAACAAGTTACACTGACTCCTTTATGTGCATGGGAACTAAGCTCAGGCTCGAGGCACTGCCTTTCCTTCATGTCTGTGGTTCATGTAAAAGAAAATCAGGAGTGGCCAGGATATGCCTTAACCATACAGAAAGGAGACTTTCCCCTTCTTACTTCATTCACCTCTGAGCACTATAAGGCCACAGAAGTACGTTATTTTGTAGGCAGGTACCCAGACACCAGTTCATTTTCAGAAGATAACCTTCCAACATCTACACACAACAAACAAAGGTTAACACATTGAAGTGGTATGAGTGACACTAAGTCAACAGTCCACATGGTTTACATGCAACAGTTTACATGCAAACCACAAGCAGCCTTTCCAGAAAAAGCAGAGCCTGTCTCAGAAACATGTCCTATAGCCGAATTTTGTAAGAGTGTTAGGCAAATGTAGAGTAAGCTGTGGTAACTGGAGTGCTTAACCAGCAATGGTTAATCAGTGATCAAAATCAGCAACAACTGCTGTAGCCAGGAAGTACTGCACACTCCAGGCTCTAAAGTATGGTTGCTAGAGGGACACTCAAGTGTTAGCAGCATATCTAGGCTACAGTTAGCTCTAAAAATGAAGTCAACCTAGGTCATTATTCTGTGGTCAACCTTACAAAGCCTGTCCATAAGCTACAGACCTATAACAAGTGTTATTTCTCAATGCCTACAGCATTTAACCAACAGTTCAATGCTGCATAATGCACTTTCTAAACTTGAAAGCTGCCTGTCAGTTAAGGAAATGTATCCTGTGGACAGGATGGTCTATTTCTTCACATCTACAGCATTCCTTGCACACTTTGTCCTCCAGATCCTTCCCCAACAACCCAGCCCTCCTTTGGACACCCTATGTCAATTTTATGTCCTTCTTGCACTGCAGCACCCAGACTGCACCTACTGCAGGAGCTGAGGCACAGCGCAGAGGGAACAGCCCCTCCCTGCACCCCATGGCACCTCTGGGCCGGGTGCCCCCCGAGGCACACTGCTGGCTCATATTCAACCTGCCATCAAACAGAGCCCCAGGTCCCTTCACACAGGGCTGCTCTCCAGCCTCCAGTTTCCTAGACCATATGCACATAGGTCAACTCCCAAAGTAATGCCTCTGGAAACTGCAACAGATACAAAGAGCACAATGACTCTACTCGATAAAACAAATTCTCAGCTATAGAACTCTGCTTTTCAACATAATCATCACCACGAGCTCTGCATTTTCACCAGCAGTGAACAAGAGCCTGCGTGCCTCACCTATGGAAATCTGCATGGCCTCTGACATTGTGGGCCAACATAATAAAACAGGAGGCATAACTTTCAGAGGAACCTTCATACATCCAGGATTGCCCCATCCCAGTTGCAGAATCCAGCACTCTCCAAGGACATTCACTGACAGAGGCTAAAGAAGAGGAGCACATTTTCAAAAGTGAGCCCATACTCTCTTTTCTTAAACAGGTTTGCACCTCTAGGCCATCTTCTTCCAGTTCCTCATCTTTCGAGCACCAAGCACTAGCCTTTCACAAAGCAAAGCCAGAAAAAGGCAGAGGAGGAAAAAAATTATACTGCAATGATTGCTCCTTCAGCACTAGGCATCAGGAGAAGGAACATTCACCTCTCGACAAGAGCCACACAGCTAAGAAGTACAACAAAAACTGAACTGATACTGGAGGCATTTTCCACAATTGGAAGAAGTGCCAGCATATCTGGCTTTGTAAATCCCTCATTTAGCAGGGCACATTGGTTAATTATCCTTAAAATGACACAGAAAGCAGACACTAACAAAGTTACTGTAGCCAGAATGAGAAAGATGACAAAAAACACGTGTTAGATAATCAAGGGGAAAAAAAAAGACTTCACACAAAAAATAGCCAAGAATTATTAGAATTTTTTTTCTCCCATAGAAAAGTAATAAGTACAAGTAAAAACAGGAAATATCAAAACTGGAAGCATGTACTTACAAGGCAGAAGACTGATATGTAACCCCAACAGTATACACAGATTGATACCTAGTGTAGGCCGAAGGGATATTTTTTTTCCTTACACTAAGCTCTATTCATGCTACTACTAAATCAAGAAAAAATAGCATAATCAAGCTTTATCAAAGTGATTTAAAGGAGTCATTTCAAACTGAATTGGTTCCAGCACAGATAGTCTGTATTACACTTGACTTGTCTCCTGAGATTCATTATCCGGAACTGGCAGAGGAGGCACTTTCTGTATGCATGCACACAAGCCATCACACCAGCACAAGTTGTCAGAGTGCCTGCAAAGCTATATCAAAGGGAGCTGACAAATGCCAATCAAGAGCTATTCTCCCAGTATAGGCTGTGTCACAGTTCCCCAGTTTCTATGGAAAGCACTCACACCTACAAGCAGCATTGACTGAGGAGACTAGAACAAAGTCATCCGCAGACACCAGACAAGATTCACAGAGGGCCAGAGAAAGGCAGAGGGGCTGATACAGGTTGGATACCACCCTGGTAGGTAAATAGCTTCCTGACATCACATGAGACTTTGAACCCTATTGTAATGCCACACAACTAAACCATGTAATAAAGCAAATTGCCCACAATGCTTCTGTGTGCAATACCCACCCACCTAGCAAGCCACTTTCCTTCAATGAAAAGCACCATTTCTTTCCTTTATCAGCATGCCAACTACTGGACAGCAAGATTAGCAAGTATAACACAACTCTAAGTACAGTAACAAATAGCCTCACAACTGAGAGCTAACTAACAAATGCTGGCTTCAAAACATTTCTCCATCTGTCTCCCTTCTCTTCCCCATGCTAGCAAGTGCTCTACAAACATACAGGCTGGTCTGACTCCTAGACTTTCTTTTCCTCCCCCCCCTCCTCCATAATCCTAAACAGCCAAAAATCTTATTCATATCTATACATACAAACACATAAGCAAGACAAAAATTAAACCCAAGAAGGTTTCTAGCTGTACAGAAATAAACCAAAAATATTTTTTGAAAGTCTGCTTCCAAAAATACAGCTCTCTCAATGTAAGGGAAGTACTTCTCTGTCATCAACAGTATGTTATCCACACAAGAAGGAAACTCATCCACTGTCAATTCAAACAAACTCCACACACACACACACACACACACACACACTGCTATGCAGTCGTTATGCAGTAGCCCACATTTCCCTCAGGTCTCCACAAAATTTCAACCACCATTATCTCCAACTTCTCTTTTAAACTAATTACAGTAAGGCAGACAACAATTACATGCTCATGAAGAAAATGATTTAAACAGTCTCTGTGTGTTCTGCCATTTCATTATTTCCATTACTGCAATCACTGCTATCTTAGTTGTATCTACACAAGGGCTACAATCCTGGTATCAGTGATAAAACCACACCGTGAACACCAGACTGATTGTGATACCAGTATGAAACAAATAACCAAAAAACACAACTAAATTCCCACAACCACAACAACAAGGCACAGATCCCACAAAACAAGATAAAGATCACCAGCTCATCAGCGCATTTGTTACATGGCCACAGATCTACCAGTAGACTGTAACTTCAAAATAAGTGTTCATTAAGCTTTTATGCAATCTATCTTATTTTCATATTCTTCCATTTCTTTTCACGTTTTGCCATAACAGCCCTTCCATGTGATCCTTCCATTCACGGCCTTTTTCCGTTCCATCACATACCTCCCTACCAACCCCTTCATACCAGATTTCCAGGTCTCTGCTTGGGCAGATTTTCAGTAGCTAGATTCCTTGGGTCACAGCTGACCATACTGGGCACAGAGAAAACAGCATTTGAAGAGGAGGTCACCGTCATCCTCATCATCCCTTAAACTGAGCTGAAGACCTACCCTGCTTCTCTTTCATTCTTCCTGCTCTCCATATCTATATGCACTTCAGCTCCAAGATAAATTTGTTCCAAGATCCAACCTATTACAGAACCAAGGGCTCCTATATTTGACTCCTGTCACATAGCTTTGACTCAAGCCTCCTTAAGCTGAGTTCTTCCAAGTCTCTGACAGAGCTTTTAAAACTATTCTTGTACAAGAGAATTTGCCAATGCAATTCAAACACCTACAAAAAGCAGGCAGAAGTTGCTTACTCTCTAATCACTGTAACAGCGATACGTACACTGACAGAATTGGCTGCTTGGCAGACAAACGTATCTTTCCATCAAAATTCAGAAAGCTTCACAGACATTTATGGCAAAAGACAGCTACTTCAAAATCCAGCACGAACAATTTTCCCCGTAAATGGCTTGATACACAATGTAAGAGTGAAAAAAATAATAATAATAAAATACTTGAATATTTCAGAAGTAAGCACAGCCTGCCTTATTTTAGGCACAGACATCAATGCAAAGTGAATGCTCCAGACCGACTGCTCTATTTACTTCTTTCTGGACGCTGTCTGGGGTCATGCAAAGGCACAGTCGCAGCCACATGCCTGGAATGTGCAGCAGCTCTTTCTACCACGATCATGATCTAGAAATAATTCACTCACAGTTAAGATCCTAGGAAGGGAGTGCACTGCCTCATTACAGGCTGCTTTCTTCTACTTCCCTCCATACATCTTAACACACTAATACATTCTGTCCCAGGCACAGGCTCTTCCCCACTACACTGAAGCAGTTTTGTCTTTCATTTTAAGGCCACCGCTCACTTGCTTTTCCAAGACTGAGCTCTGCCACTGTTCCTAGGTGATAAGTACATGCAAGGAGGGGACAAATTAAAGCTCTTTTACTTCACTGGCCTTTGACATGGGAATTATGAGGCTGACTTTTTTCTAATCCCTGCTTCACCCAACACTGAGGGCAAAGAAGCCCTTGCAGTCCATCTTCCTCCAGGAACTGAAGTGGCACAAACAAAAGCAGCAGACCATTCACTAGCTGTTCTTAGAGGAATGGATCAAAAGCTCTGTTGTGCTACCACTTAATTTCACAAATAATTACATTCATCCTCATTGATCCTGTTGGGTACCACTGTGGCCCATCTGCCAGTTCGCAGAGTTGACAAGTTCTGAAGCATCCCTCGTATCAGTGCCACCATGAAGTATCCCTTCAAAAACAATGTTTACCCACAACACCCACAATTTGTAAGATATCTAACTTGCAGTATTTATAAAAATGTTACACTAAAGCTCTGCTGACCAAATCCAGATGTTTGCACTCTCTCAGAGCCAGACAGAAGTTATCACCAAAGCTCAGCTCCCTGCTAGATGCCAGCAGGATGCTGCACAGCCCCCTAGCATGAAGCTCTGCACAAGTAATCAACAAGGTTGTCTGCTGATTCGGGTTGTTTGGGTTCTCCCCTCTCCCTCCATTTGCTCTCATATTGTAATTGTCTTTATTTCAAATTTTAACTTTCTTAAAGCACACAGAATCCAATATGGAAACTGGAAACCAATACAAAAATTATGTTTCACAAACAAGTGAGATTCCTTTAGACTCAAATACATCATTACTTAAGATCATATTCTTGAGAAAAACAGAAGTTCTTCCTCTCTCACTGAAAGGCACATCACTCTTCACTAGTAGGTCTCAGAGAGCTACACAAAGGAGATTAATTTGAAAGTTCTCTATTTTAGCAGATAGCAGGTAATTTACCCAAAGTCACAAAGCACCTCAGTGCTGGAGCTGGGAAGAAAATCCCTGTTCTGAGCACAATTCTTACAGTATAACTCCCCAGTAATGCAGAAAACAACTCAGATTCATGACCAGTTTGCCAAGTATCTTACTGGTATATTGTTAACAGACATATTTAAAGGATTAAATGATGCACCAGCAAAGGTTTTCAGTCAAAAACTTTTTAATTATAGCTTACTGGAAAACTATATACACCCTGTAACTTTATTGTAAAAATATCTTCCTATGTGCAAGATGACCTTTTTCTAATAAGCCTTTTTGTAGAGGGAGACAGAACCGTGCATGTTATGTCTCATCACTTTAAGAAGTCAGGAATAGGGCACTCCATACATGCACCTTCAGGTGGCACAGATGCATTCTCTGCTTGCACAGTGATCAGAACCCCTCCGTTATCATTGTGAACAGCAGGTCAAACACCACAGCCTCCCACTATTGATTCTGGAGGTGTGCTTATCTATACAGATCCCGTGCCTTTCAACCTTGCCCTGGAAACTAGGGTTATGATCAAATTTAGAAACATACACGACGGGCTATTCATAGACCCCTTAGCTCACATAGTTTGGGCACTGGTAATGCTTCTCCTACTGGCTGTGTCAGAACCTCTCTGTAAGAAGAATATAGGATGCAACAAGAGGTCTGTAGGCAAAAGAGAATGCTTTAAGAAAACACAAATTTATCTCATTTTCATCAAAAAGGAGGGGCTTATTGGGAAAGTGAAGATCAAAGACAGTTATGGCTGCAGTGACAATGAAATGATGGAGTTCAAGATCGTTAGAACAGCAAGCTCACTACTCTACACTTCAGAACAGACTTCGGCCTTCTCCACAGATCTGCTTGGTAGAGTTTCATAGGATAGAGCTCTGGAAGAAAGAGGGGCCCAAGACAGCTGGTTGATATTCAAGGATCACCACTTCCCAGCTCAAAAGCAATTCATTCCAACAAAAAGGACAACAGGTAAAATTGTCAGGTGACCTGGCAACAAAAAGGAAGCCTACAGTGGGGCCATCCAGCTGGAAAGCATCTTTGCCTGGGGGTCCTAGCAGACACCAAGTTGAATATGAGTCAGCAACATGCACTTGCTGCTAAGAAGGCTGACGGTATCATTGGCTGCATTAGGCAAAGTCTTGCCAGGAGGGCAGAAGAGGCAATCCATCCCTTCTATTCAGCATTTGTGAAGCTGCACGTGGAGTGCTGGGTCCAGTTCTGGGCATTCCAGTACAAAAGAAATATGGATACATTGCACAGGAAGAGTCCAACAGAGGGCTTCTAAGATAGATCAAAGGACTGGAGCACCTCTCCTAAGAGGAGAGGGATAGGAACTGTTCATCCTAGTGGAGGCTGAACAGAGATCTTATCAGTGTGTACAAACACCTGATATATATGTGCAAAGAGGATGGAGCCAGACTCTTTTCAGCAGTGCTCAGTGCCAGGACAGGAGGCAATGGGGACAAACTGAAAAACAAAGGGTTCCATCACAAAGCACTTCAGGAGTTCACAAAAAGAAAGAATCATTTTACTTGCAGCCTATTATTCAATCTTTCCCAGTCCCAATCACTAAGCACTTGGATTGTATCAGACTGAAATGAGGATTTAATACTCCCAAATGGCATAATTCAGATAGCAGAAGAGCTGTGACATTTCAGAATACTACATTAAGCCCTTTTACAGTACATTTGCTCAACACATCAAAAAAGCATGGTATACAGCTGGTTAAAAAGGAGACCTGAATGACAACAAAGAAGCTACACGAAGATCTAATCCACACACATAGAAAGAAAAAAAAAAAAAAAAGGAGAAACTGTAGAGGCAGAAAAAACACAGTAAGAGAACTTCATAAGCAAAACATACTACCTGCACAACACAGAGCACTCCTGGGACGACATCTAGTTCTACCTCTTATGCTGAGAAGTGCACCAAACACTTCAGGTACACAAGAACTGGGGATTTTAGATCTTTGCTTTAGCTCCACACATCTCTGCTGACTGATAAAACACAAATGCCTGACAAACAAGGCATGAAAAAACAGTCCCCCACTTGCCTGTAAAAGGACTGTTGGAAGACTGGATGCCAAAACAAGTCCTTGCTGCACAGATCCAATACGAGCTATTATTAACCTGCTCTAAATATCACAAATGAAACAAGCAGAGTTGCATTACACAGCACAGAATTCTCCTTGACCGCAACAAACAAGGTGATGAGCACTCAGACAGTAAACACGTCAGGGAATTGTCCACATCTGACCTTTTCTTCTACTTATCACACCACTTTATTTTGGACAGGGAGATGCCTTCAAAGTGCAGCCGGCAGCCTATTTTTTTTTCTCCTCTCGATTAAGACTGGGCAACATGCTACTGTTTATTTTAAGCGTATCTTGCTCAAGGTTACTAAGGTCATTGCTAACAGAAGAAGCGTTTACAAAAGGAAGAAATAAGTCCTGGGGTATAAGAGTGAGCAGATCCACAAGCACATGAGCCACTGCTAAACTTTCCCTTCTATCTATGCAAAAGTGAGGGACAAAGTACTTACGACACAGAGGAAAAACGCTAGAGCCCCAATGCTCTGCTGAGGTGATGGATGTGCTTACAGCCCTCAGCTCCAAGCAATTCCCGAGCCCCTTCTGAAGCCCCTCATCGACCTGCTGCTGACTTTGACCACAATCTTCCTGCACCCGGTGCTGAGAATCATCTTCTGTACGCTGAGAGCACATAGCCCAGCTCAGCGGAGCAATCCAAAGACAAGAGATAATTCTCAGTAGTCGACAGGTTCATTCCTTACAGAAAAGAAGTTGTGTTATTAAAGGAAGAACCTTCCACACCTTTGCCTTTCGTCTATGCCGAAGCACTGGGTAAAGGCACACGCTTATTCTTACGAAGCCCTCCTGCCTCGTTTATTTTCCCTTCAAGCGCAGCGCAGAGTTCGGGCTCCGTGCCCCCGAGGCACCGCGCCGCTCCCACCTCCGTTCCCGCTGGATGCAGCAGAAACGCGGCGGCTCTCAGCAACAGCAGCCCTCCCACACGGCGGGCATTCCTGCACACGCCGGGACGGCCGGCAGGGGAGGCCGGGCGCCCCGTAAAGCGTCGAAGCGAATTCCGGCCTGGAAGGCCGCCCCGGAGGCCCGTTCCTGCAGCTCCTTCAGCACCTGCAGCCTCCCGCACCGTCCCACCGCTGGGATCGCCGGGTGCCGACTCGCCGGGCGCCGCCTGCCCGAGGCCGCCCGCTCTCCCCGCGCTCACCTGCCGCCGGCCAACACGGCCACTTCCACGCGCCCAGCGCCGCGCCGTGTGCCCCGCGCGACTGTTTACGGTCGCATCCGACCCCGGCCTCCGTCCGACATCGGGCCCCGCCCCCTCCGCGCTCTCATTGGCTCCTCCGCGCCGCTCGCCCCGCCCCCGGCGGAAAGGGCCGCGAGGAGCGTGCTGAGCCCGTGCGCGGCGCGCCCCCACCAATGGCAGGCTGGGTGGGCGGGGCGCGCGGCGGCTGCAGGGGGACGTGAGGCCCGTGAGGTCCGTGCGGCGGTGGCGGGCGCCGGGCGCGAGGCGCGTGTGGCACGGCACGGCGCGGCACGGCGGGGCGGGGCCGGGGCGCCTGGGATGGGCCTGGCTGCGGGAGTGAATGGCGGCGGGGATGACAGCAGGGATGGCGATTTCCCGTCAGAGCCGTGCCGGGAGGGCGGCATGCAGAGCCGCTCGGCGGGGCTCCGTGCTGAAGAGACGTTTGTGAGGGGGCGCGCGCTGGCTGACGGCGCTGCTCCACGCGGGCTGCTTTCCCGCGCTGTCCCGGGGCCGGCCGGAACCGCTGTGGTGGTGGTTGCGGTCAGCAGCTTTCCTGCCCGGCCCATAACCCGGCGGTGCGTGTTCTGGGGGCTGCGGTACCGCGGCGGTGTATTTGCACAAGGTATGGGGCTTAAATAGTCCTCTTCTTAAGCAGGATTCGTAGGTGTCCACCAGTAGTAGCGTAGTTTACAGGAGTGACCCACAAACAGCCCTGAGCTTTAATTTCAGCCGTGTTAATTGCTTGTTTTGGCCCAGGCTGTAAGCTAACCAGCAACCCAAAACACACACTGAAGGACATTTCATAGCCAGCTGTGTACAGGACTCAGTCCAATGGTCCGTCTGCTAGTTCCAAACCTCCCTGCATTATAAGGGGGCAGTTGAAGCCCTTACTTACAGCTGCTGATTTGGCCGGTATTCATAAACACATAAAATGTTGCTTCAACCTTACTTACACTCCTTCATGTGTTTTGATTTAGATAAAAAAAGAATAGCATCCTTCCCAAGCCCTGAGCCGTGAGAAGCTCCCTGTCCAGAACTGAACAGACAGCCACAGTACAGGTATGTTTAGTAAAACTTATCACCCAGCTGCTATCCAGATTGGAAGGTCAGTACTAGAAAGGCAAAATTTGAGCTTTAAAGGTGAAGGTGCATTATTGGCTTCACTGCAATACACCCAGGCCTTGCACAGACACAATATGTCTGAAATGCAGAGGCCAAATACAATGCTTTCAAGTCTGAGTACTGGATGGAGATGAGCCATGCTAATGATGCAAAAATGTGGCTTTAATAAGATATTAGCCTTGAGAATTTTGTCTCAAAACAAAGTCAGTGCTGACGTCTCCAGAAATACATATGAATTAACTGTTGTTATTTTTTCTCTAAAAGAAAGGTAATCTTTACCCTCATCTGGAAATAGATATATTTGAGATATCTTTCTTTAAAGTATGCTCTTTCATCTGCAGCTGTACTGAATTTGGATGCCAGCTCTAAGTTTCTGTGTAACACCACTTAATTTGCGTCAGCTCAGCATTAATTGTGAAATATACGTTACTCACTGTGCTGAGCACAGAGAATTCCATGGGTTTCTGCATGAACACGCTGTCATAGTTTGAGATGTAGGCAGAACAAGCAAAGGATCAAGCTCTCCCCATCTTTCTAAGACAGGCCTGGCTGGTTCACTTCATTCCCATGTGGTAAACCATTCTTGCAGCTGCTATTTAATTTGCATCACACCTTCTACTGCCAGGCTTTCTGCATCCTTAAAAGACCCCTTGTATTTGAATGCAAGACAGGCTTCTTCTATACTTAGACTGAAGAAGTGAGAAAGGTTTGTTCTCCATGGAAGTTGGAATGGAAGGAGTTGGGATTAAAAAACTGGATTGAAGCTAGCAGAAGTTGATACTTCATACTTTTTTGTTATTGTCACCATTTAGTTCTGCAGGGGGAATAGGAACAGGACACCCAGGATTCAAAGCCTGTAATCCAGAGGCTAACTTGTGACATTTGGTTGACTAACTGTGTTCACAATCCTAAATATAAAGGCAAATGTTGTATGTAGTGCACAGGGGGAATTGCGCCATGGCATAAGTCTTGCAAGGTCGCCATGCACTCTGAAGAGTAACGGCAAAAGATAAAATACAATATTTAGTGCTACCAATAATTAAATTTATAGTTCTGAATTCTAGAGAAAGGAGAGGCAAAGTATTTCAGAAATAAACTGAGGAGTCAAGTATCAGTGATTTATTTAATAGCCTAGTGGTTAACAACCCCCATGGGCTTTAAAAGATCCAAATTCAGCTTCCTTCTTTGCTTATGAAAACTTCAAGCATTCCACCCTCACATTAAGACTCTTGTTGTTATGCATGTTCTTGCCTTCTGCCCTCTAGCCTTACAAATATTATTATTACTATTAGTTATGCTGTACCTGATGGAAAAGCTCAGCAATGAGAATAGAGTACTCATCCACCCTTTCCAAATCCCAGACTGTCTTCCCTCGTGCAAACTGTTTTCAGAGGCAGGACATGCGAATGTGAATTCAGTAGAGGTCAGTCCGGGCCACCCCTTCTGGTTGTATGTTTCATGTTAAAAACTGTGGCATGCATTGATGCCTCCGTGCTACCAGTATGATGTGAAAAAGAATGAGGCTGTTACGTGAGTTTGTACTTCAGTGTCTAAATCCTGTGTAATTTCTGTGTAGGATTCCTGCATCCTTTTGCAGATCTGTGCAATGCAGATCTGAATTGACAGAGCAAGCCCGAGCAGTTCTGTGAAAAATCAAGTTCTGGAAGTTTTAGGAGTCTTTTATTGGACTATAAGAAGATGCAATAATAACTCAACCACAGTCTATCTGTTGTACTATGGCTTTCATTTGCTTGTCACATCTTATTCAGTATTGTTATATTCAGTCAACTTTCTATGTATTTGCTGCCTTATCCAGAAATGTGAGCACCTCTAGAGAATGCTTGATGTAGCAGCTAGAAGTTATGGATTTGTGCAGAGGCTTTCGCATGGCTATCATATCTTTACGTTGTATTGCCTGTTGACAGTTTCATAACAAAGGACTTACTTATGTAATTTCATGAGACGGATAAACAGCTCTGCTGCAGGTCCCAATAAAATCAGCAAGAGCAACATGGGGAAGAGAGAATCTAGGACTCTTTAAATGTGACTTCCAGCAAGCTCACTGTCAGGCATTGGGTGAGGTTGCTTTTCTCCTCCTGCTTGCTGTTTTCTGAGGGAAGTCTGTCTGCTCACCAGTTAGCAGCTCACTGCTTACTGAATGCCAGGGAACACCCAAAAAAAAGCTTGCCAGTTCTGATGTTGACTGCTTTGAAGAACTCAGGAAAAGCTGGCTTCTGTCAGAGCTTTGTACAAAGTGGGCCAAGTTCCCAGGCGTGTAGGAGAGGAATTGGTCAGCCTGTCTCAACTTCAGAAAAACAAAGTTAGAGAATCAGAGCCTGGAAGGATCCTTGGGCCCTGCAGTCAGAAGGGTTCCACTGCAATGGGAAATTAGTAGTCAGACAACTAACCTGCAGGAAAAAAAGTTAACGCATTTTCAATTAAGCAACTATTGGTCTTGTCATCAGGTTGATGAGCATCAGGACTATGCGGAGAACGCGCAGAAATCCTCTTACATAGACATAGGACAGGTCCAAGCTGCTTCTGTGACCACAATAAAATATGCGTCACCATCCTTCTCCCACATTCATACAGCTAACCACAAGGCAAAAACTACTTTGGAAATCTTTCTGTCAGTTTTTCCTCTCCAAGTAACCACCAAAGCTCAGATAAGCTACATCTTATCCTTCACCTTGTGTTCACTCATCTTTAGAGGGAAGTTTCTATAGGGCAGGAAGAATGTAGTATCTGCCTCCACAGATTTATGGCGTTCTATCAACATAGTGCTGCAATGATGATGAACTGGAACAGCTCAAGGAGAACTTACTGGACAGGTGGCTTGGTTTCAGTAGTTAACTTTAAGTATTTCAAAACTTTGGCAGGTTTCAGTGACGCTGTTTGTACCATATGTTATTTACACGGCTTTATGGCCAAGAATGAGAGCAACAGCCTTGTAAAGAAATGAGATCCCTCTGATTTCAGTCAGTGGCAGATGCACGTCCACTATCATCATAGGATCCAAATGATGAGCTATTTTTATAGCACTTTGGAATGTTGACTCCTGAATTGTGTATTTTCACCCCCAAACGCTCAAGCTTTCTTTGTATTTAACCTTCTTTTCTCTCTCCCCTTGCTGTAAAGGGAAGGAGAAAAGGCTCAATTTCATTTTGTTGGTAAAAACTTTATTCCAAGATGATTCAGCTCTCTTGGAAGGAGGCAGCACGTCAGTTTTCACAACAAATGTTTTCTGACCAAGATGCAGTGCAGGGAATGGGACAGGTATTTCATGAACTTTCACCCCCCTCCCCCTATTTTCAGTCCAGGGCCATCAGCAAGCAGCCTTGCTCCACATGGCTGGAAGAGGCAGGGGAGGCCAGGGGGGCTGCTGGAAGGCTGAGGCCCCTTGCTAGGAGGAGGTGGGCAGGGTCTGTGAGGTTATACACAGCGGGGCTTTTGACAGTATTTGTGGCTAAAGCTCTATAGTTCCAGGCAATTTACTACACAGTACTGACCTAATAGGAAGTGGTGGCAGGCCCACTAATGCTGGGATTATCTATAATAATCAGGGAATAAATGTCGAGTCGACTCTTCAGGCATTTTAGAGAGCATCCTCCCAGATTGCTCAGGGATGTGAGAGAGATCACAGCCCTCTTAATCTTTTACCAGGGTTTGCCCCTGCTCCCCAGCACACACACACATTCTCACTGTGTCAGATAACGCGATTTCTTCCCACTGGGAGAAGTGTTGCAAACATCTCTCAAAGTGGAAATTCACATGCAGGTATCTTCTTTTCCTTACGTTATGAAAGAACTAGAAGTAGTTGTTATTCTCTAGATGGTGTGGTAACAAGTCACAACAAGCCAAAGCTACAAACATGTTCATAACTGACAGAGGATGGCTGGAAAAAGTTGTGCAGCACACCACACCACCACAGTGCTTGGCTGTGGTTTGTGGCAGCCACTGCTGCCGCCAAACTTTGCCACGTGGCTGTAGTGGGCACTGGGTGCTTTGGAAAGTTGGAGATGAGCCTGTGGGGGTGGAGTGAACTGAGAGAAGGACAGAGACAGGTGGCAAGACTGCACAAAGAGCACTAAAAGTAAGAAAGCAGTGCTAGTCCTTGTCTTCATGTTGCTTGTGGGATAGCACATTTGGCTGCCGCCCTAGCAATTAGTCCTAGTCATAGGAGAGCCCAGGTTGGAAAGAACCTTGGAAAATCATCAAGTCCAACATTCTCCGAGAAAAGAAAGCCCAGATGAGATTATCTAGCACTCTGAGCAACTGCATCTCAAAAACCTCGTGATAGGGATTCTGCTGTATAACTGGGGTGGTCATCCAGTGATGGGAAGTTCTCAGCATAAAGAATTTCTTATTTCAAGACAGTAGTTCTTTATTTCTAAGCTAGAAAGATCCATTATTTTTGCTCACTGTAATCTGCATTTGCTTGTATAGTTTAGCATGCACTTTGCCTTTTTCTCCTGCCACCTAACTGATTTTACATGTATCACAACAGAGCCTGCAGAAGCATAGCAGAAAGACAGTTCCTTGTAACTTCCTGGCAGGATTCAATGTGCAAACAATAACTAGTGAAGCCATTCAACTCTTGGTTAAACACAGAAACTAATTTGAAACTAGGCAAACAGAAGTAAGTCCCTCACCTGCATTTGGCCACTCTGAAGACTCTTAGATGAAGGACAGGAGGGTTATCTAGAAGAGTTTCCACAGAATCAATCTAAACAGGAAGACAGGATGGAGAATACAGGAGAAATGGGTCTGTTTTAGAACATTGCACCAGGTTTTGGAGAACTTAGCCCAAACTAAGAATTAGCACTAGTCATGGCAGTTTGGTGCTTAATGGTAAAGCTTGCTGCCAAACACAGCCGCGTTGGCAAAGTATGGCTGCACATCACATGGCTGCAGCACCACATTGGCCCAGCCTGGACTCAGCCTCAAGACAGCGTGCTTGTTTTCACTGCCCCAACAGCTGCTCTGCCTTCTGGCGTCCTGGCACCTTGTCTTGCTGTTCCAGTATATAGCATGGAGCACAGGGGAGAGAGGAAAGCTTGGGGGGTTTCTGAACAGCTGTGTGGTGTGTGGCAAACAGGCAATCTCCTCGACCCTGTCCACTTGCGGGAAGGTGATTCATAGAGTCCTAACCATTTACTTTTAGTAGTCAGTCTAGGGGGCAAGCTGAATCACTGCTAACTTCGGATGCTGACTGACCCTTTTCCAGCTTTGTTATGGCTATTGATCCTATACACGAGGTCAGCTGAGAAAGGCTATGTAATCTGATCTCTAGTATCTATATTTGCGTGATCACAGCTGGAGAGGAGGGTTCACAAGTGACTGACACATCTGAGTTCAGTTGAGGGGGCACTCTTGCAGTTAACACCTCTGGAAAGAATGACACATCAAGAAATGGTCCAGACATTCAGGTTAAGCCCTTCATTTGACCCTCAGTAAATACTTCAACTCCTATCTGTAAAACAAAGCTGCAGGTAATTTTCTGCTCTGTCATGCTCCTGAAGCCTGGCTCCTAAAGAAGCGCATGGAAAGCCTCACTGGAAGCACAACAGAATAATTTCAACATGCACTGCAGCTGTGCACTGTGAAAAGAGCTTGCCTTCAGGCACAGCAGCACCAAGAACCAGCAGTACAGGTTCACTCTCCCGGAGTGAACTCTCAGATGTTACCAAAGGAATTGCTAGCCTGGAGGAGCCCAAGGTGTGGGATCAGAGGTATCCCTTTACTTCAGCAGTCCCCCTAGATACAGAATCTAATGATGAAGCGTGTGACTATTCTGTGCCATCCATTCCATGGACTTTGAGAGCTGTCATTCTAGTTTAACTGGTGACCTGCTTTCACAACACAAGGGGCAGTTCCCTTCCTGGAAGACAGATCTCTGTTCTCTGCAGCAGAACTTTATTTCATGATGGCACTGAAAAGCACAGAGACAAACTGACAACAAGTAAGGTAACTTAACCCTTTAGATAAGTGCTTTGGATGCAGCTTTATATTCCCTTCTAGCCCCGATTTTCCCACCATTTTATCTTCAAAACTATAACTGCGCTGCTGTGATAATCCTGGAGAAACCCTACCTCTCTTTTGTAAATTTAACCTATGCCTCCGGTATGTTTTCTTTCTTCTAACTTTGTATTGATCCATAGGCTAACAGTGCACAGACTGTAGCCTCTATACCAAAAGCATTTGCTGGATTTCTGTTCCCTGTTAGTTCTCCACACAATCCAGAGTCTGGATTGCCTGCATGATGAATTCTCTGAAATTAGTCAGTGTTTGCCATTTTGGTCCTTGGTTTGCTCACCCAAATCACAGAAGGCCAAAAATCACAGATTGTTTTTTTTTCCTCTATATTAAGGAAGAAAATCAAATAGTTTCCATGCCTCTTGAAACCTGATGTTACACTGCTGTAAGACTAATTATTAGCACAATATTTGGAAAACAAGAATAGCTCTGATTACCTTTCCAGTAATATAATAAAAACTGTATTTGGTGGGGGCTTAAAGAGATGGCATGTGTTTTCTGGAACAGTAAAGGGGCAAGGAGATCCTGCTGGAATAATCCTGTTTGCACTATTACCATTTTATTGTTATTAACTATTTGTTGGTACATCAAAGCTGTGGCTTTAAAAATAACTCTGACTGCCTACCTACCTGCAGCCTTAGATACCCTGCCCTGCCCTACATCAGTTCTGAGTAACGACTTGAGTTCTTCCATAAACAGATGCAGCTCTACCAAGTCAGGGAGAATTCTAACTGCTTATATTTAGCTTTGTAAAGCTTGAGGACAGGTACTGCATAAGTTAAAATGTTGGACTGTTTTTATATGTTTGCTGTTACTCTTAAATGCAAGGTAGCTGCAGAGTTGCTCAGATTTTATTCTGGGATGATATCCTTGAATTCATGCCAACCAGGGACGCTGGACAAAATAGACCTAAAGCTTTCCCTACTCTGCCTCCTTCTGATTCTTCAGGCCCTGCAAGGCAGCAGTTAAGGACCACTAGGCTTCACACCATTTATTTCTGCACTGTCCTAACCCCTGAGTTGGCCTAGAAGCTGACACATTGTTCAGGCTGCATTCGATAGGACTCAAACAGTTCTCAGTTCTGGAGAACTTCCACTCCCACTGCTTGGCCCCATACCTGGCTCAGGTTTCTATATCAAGAAGCTTAGCTAGTTCCACTTCACAGTCTGGATTTATTTATATCTTTTTAATACTGAGCAATAAATAGTACTGAACACTGACACCTCCCAGAAATGTGCTCCTGGGCACCTGTCAAATAAATGAGTTGCATGAAGGAAAAAATAAACAGTTCATATTCACTTAACTCCTTGACAGCTGACAGCATCAACTTCAAACATCTTGAATTTAGTGGGAAATGATAGAAAATCTGTAGCAATATGATGGAAATGGAAGGAAGGCAATAAATGCTGCATATCCCCCAGCATTAGGCAGGCTTACCACTGCATTTTTGTTCCTGGATATTCTTCAGTCTTACACATTCTACACGTTCTATGCCCAAGCTGTGCTTTAGTCCAGATATAATGAAACACTCATTCTAAATTGGAAAGAAGGTTTGATAGGGTAGATGTAGGAAAATACAAACACATGGCATTTCCTATAGGACTTCAAGCCGTTGAGTGACACCTACATTAAAGTAGTTGTCATCCTAACCTACCTGACAGCTGTACATTTTCATGGAGGCACCAACAGCAGTATTTAGGATTTCTCCAAGGTCAAACTGCAGTTTAGCAGAGCATGCAGCGAGGCGAAATCAGTGAGTGCACAGAAAAGACAGACAACCACTTGCTACACACACACACACACACACACACACAAGTTGCAGGATCACTGAGCCCATTCCTCACATAGCCCCTAGGCTACAGTTCATCCTTTTTGAAGGGCAAAACATAAATCCTGTGCCATCCTGTGCAACGCTAACAACATGAACAGAACTTCACTTTCATACGCAAGTGGAAATGCCCAAGGAGATGATAGATCACTCAACATCATTTTAAAACTCTTGTATGTGTATATACATACATATACACACACTCACAGTGAATATATATTAGCAAATACGTATAAACATTTACACAGTTAGAACCACTCCAGTATATGCACACACAATATACCCCTTTACTCACCAAGCAAGTACATTTAGTTGCACTGACAGAATCCATTGCTCAGTCACCTTTTAAATTATAAGTTATGCAGAATTTGCTCAGGGGCCAGTCATTGTAAGCACAAATCTACATAGAACTCAAGCTCTATTAATGATACTTCTGTAAGAAGGATCCACCCATTTTCCTTAATATATCAACTTAATTTCAGAAAAATAAATTACTTATAACAATATGCTACAGCCCTGTTAAGCCAAGCAGGATTTTTTCTTATATATAAAGTATTTCACATCATCTACACCATGCAGTATAAAATATAAAATCATGATTGCAAGTGATTGTATTTTGATTTGGCCCCATAACTGTTTTTGTTAAAAAGAAAAAGAACAACTAATTTATACAAACCTTAAAAAACAAGCAGTTTGTTTCCAAAGGAAAATAGCTATCAGTAATTATTAGTTGTCTGCAAATTGTACATTCAAACATTGCAAATTTAAGTAGTAAGAACAGCAAACTAAACCAAGAGCAAAAATTATGTACTTGTCCAAACTAAGACACACCACTCAAAACACCTTACGTGCTTTTTAAAGATTTGTTTGAAGCACCTACCTGATGTTCTTGTTAAAATATCAAAAAGTAGATTAGCTTGAAGGAGTCTACTGGAAAAAAAACATTATCTTAAAAAGGCATACTTCAAAGCCTTATCTAAAAAGGATTCTCAGACCTGAAGTTCTGTATCTCTCAGTGACAGTGCATTGTTCAAAAAGCCCTGCATTATGTTTCAGTTTTAAACGCTGATACTGATCAGCTGTCAAAGAAAACAGAGCTTGTTTGTTACACACTCGTGTAAGAAGAAAAAAGGAAGTCACAGAACTATTGCTAAAAATGACCCTCAGAGTAGAAATAAAATGTTCTTAAAATCTGGAGGAAAACAGTGATTAAGTAATAACTGGAAGGAATAACTAGTAAGGATAGAGTCAGACCTGTTTTTCTTTACTGGCAACACAGTGTGATTTTTTGTGGGTTTTTTTTTTTTTTTTTTTTTTTTTTAATGAAGTCACTTGAGGCTGTGTCAACGTTTCCAGCATTAGTGGTGCCTTACGTAACGTCACAGCAAATTGGTGTTTGCACCCCCATATTTTGATACAAATTATGACAGTATTTTCAAAAGAGTTCCTTTTACATTAAATAGCTATTTTAAAATTCGTAATAAAAGCTCTTCAAATAACAGTACCAAAAAAGGTAAACCAAGCTTCAGTCAGCATCAGAGGACCTCTTCATAGAGGGAAGGTAAGTCCTCCTGTGGAATAGTTATGACAATGTACAGAAATGAGACCAGAGGTACACAGAAGAAGTTACAGGTCAACTGATTTACTGGGAGCTGTGCAATGATTTCCACGCTGAGGATCCGATCTGCTTAACAGTCAGCCCTGCCTTCAGCTGTTGGCTGCCCAGGGGGATGCACGCAGAAACAGAAGCCTGATGTTCAGACATCCTACTGCTGACATCCCATCTAGAACCATGGCAGCCATGTCTCACTAGGCTCAGAACAAAGAGAGACAACTGGGGCAATTATGCAGTCCAGCTTATAAAGTTCAGCATCACACATCAGTTTAGTGCTCACGGCGAGGTGTGATGCTCTGTTCTCTGCATACTGCTATGCTTTTCTAATTACAAGCAAGACTGACTTTCCCTACACATGCACACAACACTTCAAAAGTCTGAAATGCTAAAAACTCCATAGCACAGCAAAACTTGACTGCAATTCCAAGGCTAGAACGCCTGAGCTTCTGGAAGCAGAGATCAGACCCTTCATCTCTCCAGTACCCCGCACTACATACAGGTTTCCTTGCTCTTTAGAACCAGTTTGCACATTAAATAACATTTAAGTAATGCTCTGACATCTGCAATGAGCTAGGCTTTCCATTGGAGTCCGAGAGTTAGGAGTCCTGTGAAAAAGTTCAGCTTAACACGTAGCTAGCTTTTTAGTACACATCATGTCACAGAGTTACTGTTTTCCTTACAAATATATGGCACTAGGTGAAAAACGTTATGACTTATTCCAAACAGTGTACCATACTTCACTGCAAAGCTTAAAAAGAATTCTTCAACTCCCACTTCTTCTAAATATACAGCTGGTGGGAGGCCAGGGTGTCCATGAACGGTCGCACAAGGTTGTCTGTTGAGAAGTAAAAGATCAAGCCGAAGGTGATGGAGATGGGAAGAGCAGGTAGTGCTTTCTTAAAAACAGCCAGTAATAAGAGAGTTAAACATAAACCCTGTCAGAGAGAGTAAAGGAAATAAAGTAAGAAGCCCAGAAACACACCTCTGGTAACAATCTAATTTATAAGGAAGCTAGACACACTGTACAAAAATTGAAGCCTGCCTGAACTACCAATTAGAGATATATTTCCACACATTTTCATCTGTCTAAACAGCTGGCCAAGTATATTCCTCAGCAATTCTAGAGCACAGCTCCAGAAATTAGTGTAAACAGCTTATGCTGACATACTGGGAGGTTAATTTATTTTCAGATTATCTTATATTTTGTTTTATTATTTCATGTTTTGTTTGTATACACCATTCTGTGTACACCAGATTACATTCTGTTCTACACCAATTACTGAACCAGCAGATAAACCATGCAGTCCTGTTGAATTGTAAGGAGTTTCACTGGGCAGCTCTAACACACAGCAGCACATACTTGTACCACCCTCACACATTTCAAGGTCTCTTAGAGGGGGGGGGGAAAAAAAAAAAAAAAAAAAAAAAAAAAACCACCAAAAAATATCCCACTGCTGTTCTTCTGATTGGATTGCTTATTATAAGAAGTGAATTCTGCTTTTATTTCGTAGCAGGCTAAAATCCGTCTCCTAGAAAACGTGTAAGCTTTTAAAGGTTTGGGATATACAGTACAGTTGGATTAAGTATATTTAGGTATGGATTACTTCTCTTATCTGAGCCCTTTTGTCTTCCTTTATGATGATGAAGCTTCAGAGATAACATTCACACTGGGCTCCACCAAACACCCGTTTGCTAGGGATCAGCTGGTGGGATTTGATTTATTTATTCTTAAATCATTGTTTCTGGGCTGCATGGCTGGCTACAATCCAACTGACTCTATGGCTCTGTTCTTCATACTCTTCGTGGACCACAACTAGCTTACACCTGCTCCACAGTGTAATTAAAAGATGTGCCCACTGCCTGGACACTGCAGGGACAGTTTTGGAAGCAGAAAGCCACACAGCACCAGAATTACGAAACTGAGAAGAAACCAGAACAAATTTAACAGCACTTTAAAAGACACGGAATGGGGTATAAGGCCTGAGAGATAGAGGAGTGCTTTCCCACAGTTAAGGGACCTCAGTCTCTAACACTGAAGCAAATATGCAAGCAGTTCAGCTGTTGCTGTTTTCCTTCGGTCTGTCTGACCAACACCATCTCCACATTTGGCTCTGCTCTGAGGAGTCCTCCCTCCCAGCCTATGTCACCCAGCTTCTCCTAGAAGGCACTTAAAGCCTGTCTTTATAGACAGAGTGCTGAGCTAGGAAATCCACGGGTGCTTTCACCTGAGCACCCAGGACATTGCCTGGAGTGATTTAGCAGTTGTTAGCTGTTTGTACTCGTCCTTAGCTGTAGGCAATATACTGCTATGCTAAATAAGACCATGGCAGTTTCAAAAATTTGCTCACTTACTATGAGAATGGCCACAAAGCAGGCCAGTGTAGTATTCCAGTCTCCACTAGGTGTGGCAGCTGCTTTCCCAACCAGCACACTGTAAAATATGAAGTCTCCAAGGCCCAGTTTCACACCTCCTACAAGAAGTGGAAGGGAAAAGAAAACAAGTCTTACTTCTCCTGTTTTGCTTCCTCCTGAACCAAGTCTTGTACCCTGGGGACCAGGCAAAGGTTGCTAGTCCTGGCTACTAACCAAGCTAAACCTTTGGCATTCTGCAGAGGTAAAAGGGATTACCTCCAGAGATTACTGAGGAAGCCAAGACTTCCAACTGTTCTTCTGCAATTATTTTTTGCATAACCTAATTCTCAGAGGTGCTTCTTTGTGCTGCCCTCCAGCTGAGGAAATGTGAAGACAGAATGGAGGGGGGTGCAAGGGGAAGAAGGAACTGCTTAAGTTGTCTGCGTAGCCAAAGGCATGTCACTGCAACCACAAACCCAGAACAGATACTGCAGCAGCAACTAATAGAGTCAGAATAGGACCTCAATTCCTCAGCAAGTCACAGCTTTTCAAGTAAACTGCAATTAGGCCCAAATGAGTTACAGTGTTAACCACCAGGAGTACAAATGCCAGGCCATGGTCCTGACTGCACTGAAAACAATGTATCAAGCTTCTCTTACGTTCCTCCTCTTCCATTTCCTCTAAAGTGATGGGATGGCTGGGAGCAGGGCTCCTTGTGTCCAAAATCTGGGAGTCTGAATGTGAAGTGCTACTGTGGTTCTCTCTCCCATCTTCTTGTTGGTTCCACAAACATAGGCCAAGAAGGAAAAAAACAAAACAAAACAGTCAATCATAGACATTCAGTGTCTTTGGTGAAAACATGCGTGTTGTTATTTGGAACAGTCCAGATGGTTGCATGCTCACAGCTCGCTTGGCTGCTATCCAGGAGTTCAGTGTCCTAAACAGGTGAGTAAACGCACAAAATTAAGCATTTATCTACCAGTCATTAAAGACGAAGGGAGATTTCACCTCAATTCTCAGTCTCTGGATCAAACTGTCAGACGTACTAGTATCTGCTGTCTGTGAAGGCTAAAGTGACAAGTGAAACTGAGTAAAGTTAACACATAGCGCCATATTGTTACTTCTTTAGGGTGGAAGTGCTCAGGTAGCACAACAAAGAAGTGGATGACTAGGAGAACAGCCATTTGTGAGAAAAGTTCTGCCCTGAATCACACTGACATTGGAGTTGGCTGATCATGCACAGGTAAGTAGACATTTCCTTCTTCACAAGTTTTTTATTGTTGTTGGTTTTGGTTTTTTTCTTTCTTATAAATCCTGTTAAACACATCTAACCAACAGCTTTCATCTTTCCCATGTGCTTTTAGAAGCATCTGATCTGTGAGACATTACTCTAGCTGACAGTTCAGATTTTTCAGAAGCACTCTACAAACTTTCCAGTTCATGTCAGCCTGACTGGATGCTGCCACTGCAGATGCAAGCAGACCATTACCTGGGACAGACAGTTTCCACTGATGCATTCAGTAAACCCAACAGTGTAGTTTGCCTCTGCTCTGTGCTAGATTTAAAAGTAGGATTGTGTCCCCGTGGTCTGTTGTATATCTGTTACTTCAGCCTGAAAATAAGCAGTATGTTCCATTGTAAAACCTCAGAACACAGTGTATTTCTTTAGCATAAAAAGCTGCTCTGAAGTGCAATAGGACCAGATAGAAAAAAAGTCAGATTTTATTCAATCACTTTCAAAACTGCAGTTTAATTTGCATTTTAAGCAGTGACACACAAATTGACACAGGACCAGCTAGAACGTAAAATTGGAACACATCAGCTACTGCTGTGTAACTGCCCAAACCTCTACCCAAGGGTAATTGTAAGAATGTCCATTTTCTTTGTCACAGTAAGCCAGATTGAACTTAGAGCTAGGTTAGAGCACATCTGTTTCATGGCAGTTATATGAACTGAAATGCACTCAGGTTCACAGTTCATTGGCATCATTGTTACAAGCCTATGTTGTAATTAACCATCACCAACTGGTAAAGCTGTTAAACAAAAAACTCAGAACCCGCTTCCACCTTTGACTTCAGTACATCTCAAGATGGGTTTTTGTTAGTGTGAGTAAAGGCAGCTTGAATACTGGAACACCCAGCATCATCTAATAATTTTCGCTGCCAGTTCAAAGAGGAGGGTTTAAGAACAGCATTAAGTTCTGCAACTAACGGAGCAATACTACAAAAAAGTGTATCCTTTGAGATTCAAGGGCTTGCATTTGCTTGCAGTTGCAAACATACGTATTATTTCCATGGGCCACTGCTCTATATAGGAGAGTGACACGCAAGCATACCTGCATCCCACATCTGTTGGCTTTGTCCTTTTGCTGCCGTGTCTGGTTTTGCCATTCCAACTGTCCATATCATGGCAGCTAGAGAGAAAGAGAAGAAAGAGAAAGTTATCAGCTGCTTAGAATACCAGTCACTGTAGCTCAGAGCAGTTAAGTATTTAGCTATCACTGAAAACATAAACACTTCCCCTTGTAAATGCTACTGGCTTTCAGTTTGTTTCCCTAGTTCCTTAGAAGGCAAGGTCAGAGCAAGTTAAGACAGTGTATCTGTTCAATTTTTAAGAGTCTCAGAGCACAAGTCAGTATTGTCTTCTCTATAGGCTGAAGAAAGCAAAAATACGAAACAAGGGTCCTCATCTCCTTTGTTTTCCTCCTGGTTTCTGTCTCATCTGTTCAAAGGGAACAGTTGCACCGGAAATGATGCTAGTACAAATGTTAAGTTGGTTCAGTTGGTTAAGTTGGATGGCATGCTCCCCCTCTTCTGCTAAAGGTAAATCACACAAGCGAAAGACACATTGGAGCTCAGTGCTGGTTTTCTTTCTGCCTTTTTCTTTGTTATTATTTTTCCTGTCAAAATATGGGCAATTTCTGTTTTGGTCCCAAGAACAACTGAAGAATGTTTGCGGGTTTATTCTTGAGATCCCTAATTTAAGAAGGGATATGAGCCATTCTGAGATCAGTGGAAGGGAACTCAAATCAGCTTTTTAAAGTGTACATCAGTCTTCCTGTTTTCACTGAAGCTTAACTAAACTAACAAAAAAGCCAAGGCAAACAGTGTCTGCTATTCCATTACAAGTTCAGCCAACGTGATGTTTTTACATCTAGAGATATCCACAGAATGTGGTCTTGCAATGGAGACACTGTCGTTCCGCACAAGAACTTGTGGTTCAGTATTTATTATTTGTTGAATTGCATTCTCCTTGAAGGAAACTCTTGCATGTTAACTAAAACATCTAGGAGGCTTCATCTAGGTCATCTCAGGCCAACGTAACAGAATCTCAAATAAAAAGGACTTATGTTTCACTTCCATTCCAAGCTGAAGTCAACTGAACCTCTACTTGGAACACAAAAGAGCATTTATATAGCACTAAATACTTGAAAAACCATAACAGCCAAGTTGTAGGCATCCTCAGCACGGCACCGAACGTTTGGAAATAGCCTTTCATCCTCAGAAAGACATAATGGAAGTCATTGAGGCCCATGAAGCACATGAGCCCAGATCCTGGGAGTCCTACGTCTCCCACCTTCTACCTAACCTAATCTTAAGCATACAAATACCTTTGTGGACAAGGGTACAGGACACAGCTAAGGGCACTGCTAAGCAGCCTACAAAAGCCAGTGAAGGGCTGACTGATTTTGTTTACAAAGCAATATTTGCATAAAGCCACTTGAAGGGAGCAGCCACACAGTGAGAAAACAAAGCAAGTACATTCTAAGCACTTCCATCTACACTGTGCACAGAAGAGAAAGCTACAGGAAAAGATGGAACCTCTTTAAACACTTAAGTATGTTTATAAAGCACATGCAGAAGGAATATGGGTACTGAGAGGGCATCATCTAACTAAATAACTTTGCAAACACTGCTGTCCACACAAAGCTTTTGTATGCAGAACAAAGAGGCACGTTCTGTAGTGTATTCATGGAAAGACAAATTGACTTTTGAATGCTTCAGCTTCACAAGGCAAACCTGCCCCTGCTGCAGCTAATTAGAGTTAGTACCATTTAAGTGATAAACAAGATCTTCCACAAACAGTGTTACAGGACATAAATGCACACCAATCTGAGGGCAAGGAAGTAACTAAAATAGTGCTTATTGATTTGAGACAGAAAATGGCTGCAATTTTAATGTGGTTAAAAACATCAATATTTTGATCTTACTCACAGGAATATATTAATGCAGGAAAAATGGGCTCATTTCTCTCCTGTGCAGTTTCTACCAGCATTCTCAGTGGCCCCTTAGGACAGAGAACAGCAATCAGATCTGCAAAGAGAAAGGGGCCAGACAATCTCATCTTAAGCTGCAACACATTTTACATTTCTAGTGCTTAAAAAACTATTTATCCCTCATACTGGCATCTATCAGTATTTACTGGATAACTTCCTGAATGGAGTTTCCTGCCACTCTGTGTAATTCCAGCTGCTAGTCTCTAAAGACATGTTTCACTTAATTACCATCCCCAAGGCTTAATATGACAATTAAGAATTTTCATTGTGTTAATACTTGAGTTGTTTTTTTGTTTGTTTGCTTTGAGAGCACATTATTTCTATGAAAGTAGATGACAGATTACACAAAATAGTTTAGAGAAGGACTGAGAGTACTTTATGTTCTACAATCTGTCACTACATACACTAAGTCTATTTTTCAGGTGAATCAAGCCCTTTGGTCCAATTCCTCTTTGCTTACTCTCTATCTCTGTCATAACTCCTCACCAATCTAAATGTTACCTTGCAGATACCTCCTGTTCTGCAGGTTCCCTTCAAACTTTTAACTCATACCAAAATCTATGATTTCTTCATAATTGCCAATTGAAACCTGCAAGACTATCAGGTTGCTACTGATAAAAATCCAACCATCCCTGCCAACAATTAGATGTGGTTCAGCACTTCCTCAAATGAGCATTCCACTCTAAGGAAGGAATGACATGGTAGAAGTACAGTAACTACATGAACAAGTGAACAAGTCAGGGAATCAACTTAACTGCCCACCTGCCTCTTTCTGAAGCTGTAAGCATGATAAAGTCATTTTCTGAATTGCACACACAGCCCTGAGATTGCCACAGAGTAACTTCTCCATGAGCCTTGAGATTCACAACCTGGACTTACCATAAATAGAGATTGCACCTAGAATCACCCATGCTGACCACTCAGGTAGATATTTAATAAAAACTAATGCCATCAGAGCACTGATCATAATGAGATATGCTTGCTGGAGCTGCAAGGGACCTTTCCAGTGGATACAAATCATTCCAACAGCTCCAAAATTCCAGATGATTAAGATAACCGTGGGGTAATCCATGGCCACATTGTATGTCTTCAACACCTCACTGGAATACAAGAGGGAAATTCAGCTGAGCCAAAAACAAACAAACAAACAAAAAAAAAAACACCTGACAAAAAGCATCTTACTAGTTGTAGTTAAACAAGCCTCCTTTGAGACCAAAAGGAAGCAGGACAGAAGCAGGCCTCATCACAAGGGAACTTGCTTTGCAGCCAGCTGGTGTTCTTAACCCTCTGTTCCCTGCACAGGAAATTAGAAACCCTATGCATGCAGTCAAGGACCATGCTGCCTTAATCCTGAGGAGATTTCAAGGATTTGAGCAGGCCAGATTTCAAGAGTAAATTTAAGATAGGCTATGTGACAGACTTTAGCTAAGAAGTCAAATACAGGTAAACCACGAGAACTATGATGTTCAATACTGAAGATGAATTAAAAATACATAAACTGAAAGTTAAAAACTTTATTCTTTCTAAACTTGGATGCAGTGAAATGAGCTTGAAGAGATACAGCCTGAGGATAAAGTGAGACAAACCAGAGAAGCAGCTTAGCACATAAAGTCCCTTCACACTTGGTTCTCAGAGGCTTCACAAACTGACAGCATGTATTGGGAACCTCTACCTAACCAAACAGTTTGTTATGACAACTCTCAAAACAACTTATAACATATCCTAGGATGCTGACAATTTATACCTATATTTCCTGAGTTGTTATCAATGCACCTCTGTACAACAAGGTTCAGTCAGTTCACGTTATGCTCACTGTATCACTTCCTAGTGAATTTTGTAGAGTATGTACTGTAAAAATCAGGCATTGTCCATTAAAGAATTAGTCTTTCATTTTTATTTTTTAAAAAAAGGTCGCTTTGGAGAAGGGGAAAGACATTCTGTTCATGAAGTTGGGCATTTTCTTCAAAGAGGTGAAAGGGTTAGTTCTGAACAGCCACGTTACCTGCAACATCTCTACTTACCCGAGATATATGTAGGTGAAGAGGAACAGCAACATAAAAGAGGACAGGATTAGCCAACCATGGATGAACTATTAAGGGTAAAAAAAAGACAGTGACTGAAGAGGCTGTTCCTCACTGCACAGTTTGCAGCACTGCATGCACTACTAACAGAACTTTGCATTGTCCAACTTTCTTTTTTCACTTCTCCAGTTTCCAAAGACCTTCCCCACAGCTAGTAAAGGAGGAGAGAGTCAGTTCCTGCTAATTCTCCCTAATTCTTTCATTCTACATTCCATCCTTCTCGTCCACTGGCACCTTCACAGGCAAGAATACTAACTCAGCTTGTCCAGAATTTTACATTGTAGCTTCTCTACAATGAGATTATTGCCATGACTAAGTTTTGCACTAGCCCGTGTGGTGCCTTAATTTCTCACTGACATGCAAGCACTTGAACATGCTTACAGAATACGTGCAGAGAAGGCTCTGTCATGAATGCTTTACCTTATAGCAGCGGTATTTATAAAGCACAACTAAGAACACAGTCATTACAACGATGACGCTGATCATTATGATAGTGTTCAACACCGAGTTCAAGAGACGCTGGCCCACAGATGGGGTATCCTCACTGAAAGGGGTGTAGATCCTGCAGTATAAAGCAAAGCCGTGTGAAGTACATATATTCTCTTCCAAATAACTGCCCTAAGATAAAAACAAATCTCTGTGTGTATGTGGGAAAGAAAGGGAAATATGACTGCCAAGGGCAGTAAACGTGAGATGTATCCTTTGAAGGGGCCAGGCTCCAGTTAATTATCAACTAAAGATTACTTGTTTTAAACAAAAGCACATTCCTACAGAATAGCTGTGGCTGGCAAAGCTCTAAAGAAAAACTCCGAGAGCATAAGTGACTAAGTCTGAGAATTTTTCTCCAGGCCACTAATTTTTACTTCATGCCTCTGGACCCTCTTCATGATAATGACAAGGATACATCCCAGGTGTTGCTCCGCAATAGGGAATCCAGTGTCATAGGCTGTTTTACTCCTTTTCATCACATTCCTTCCCCCCCATTTTTCTTTGGTTCCATTTATCTACCCACCGTGATAAGTGGGGTCAGAGCCCCAGGAACACTCTTGGACACAATCAGCAAGAGCTAGATGGAATTATGTATCCACACCATGAGTCTTTAAGAAACAAAAATGTCATCAGGAAATGAGACACTCATCCAAATGAACATGCTATTCCCTGATTGCTGCCAGCCACTGAGTGAACAGACTAGGAGTTAAGCCTGGGTCTTTTATACCGCAGTATGAAGCAACTTCATTACTATGCTACTCACAGGCTAATGCCTAATGACAGTACTAATGAATCAGTGTAACGCAGGTACAGAAAAAAAACTTACTAAAAATATGCTGCGTTCATCTTTGGCCTTGGTATGCTTACACAGCCACCTTTAGCTGTGTAAAGGCTCCCCCAGCCTGCCAAGAAAGCACTCTGTGTACACATACACGTGCGTGTGGAACATGTGTAATACTAGGGATCCCATGTACTCTGAGGCTGTTTTGAAGACCCCACTTACAGCTGCCCGTTTTTCTCCGTATAGAAGCGCACTGACTTTATGGTGGCGACGACAACAATCATACAAAGGGTGACAGGCACAAAAAGCATGATTACATGCTTTGCTCCATATTTCAGAGTCAGTTCCTCCTCTTCATTTTCCAAGGCACTCTCTCTCACTCGAACATCCGAGTCAGACGCATCCTCATCAGCAACATTGTTTGCGCTACGGCTGCTACCCGTTTGCCTCTTCTGAAAAGAAGAATTAGCAAATACGTGAGACTTTTTCCTTCGTGCTCAAAGCTTCACTCCATTATATTGGCTGAGGCTTCTGTGGGCAACCACAGCACACCAACTTGTTCCTAATAAGATGGTACCGACTGAGCAATGCAACTAGAAATTCCATTACAGACAGGCTGCAACAGAGTTTTTAATAAAGAACCATGAATATGTGAGGGCTCTTCAATGCACATACGGAGAGACAGACACATACACGGACTGACATGAAGGACAAGGTGCAGAGAACTGGGAGAGAATAAATTCTATCTAAGGTAGTATAAAAGCCTGAGCGATTCCTGCTCTCACGGCAGCACTGGGCGTGCTTTACCATGCTGCTTCACTAGTGGTAAAACTAGATTTTGTTCCAACACTTCTGGCAAAACAAAAAGGCTGGAAAGGATATCCTGCAAGAGTCATATGTACATCACATCCCGATTAAAAGCTTGCATCTTTACCAAAAGGAAGGAAGGGGGAGGAGTATGTATGAGGAGTAAAAAAGGGGAAAGTCACAGTGGAGGAAATAGGAACAGGCATTACAGCTCCTGGCCAAGGGCAGCAATAACATAGGCTATAGCCAATCTTAGAAGACAGCCTGCTGGGAGGGACTGAGGTGGGTAACAAGACAACATTTATCCTCATACCCCACTTCTTTACTCCCAAGAAGGGTGCATACATACCCTATGTGTCTGTGCTTCCCTTGTTTCTGAGGCCTGCAGACCATCCTGGTAGGAAGGTACTGGAGGGCTCTCTGCAGACATCAGAGATGTTCTCTCATTACAGGGCTCATCCTCACTGTCCGAGTTGTTCATGAACGTGATCATCGTCGTTTGCACAGGGAGCACTCAGGAGGGGCTCAGCCAAGCACTACACAAGACTTGAGAGGACAAGGGAAGCCAAAAGAAAGAGAAACAGTAAATACTGCAGAGCAAACAATTGGAAGCCTGAAAAATAGGCACAATTTCAGCAGGCAGGCTTTGCGACTCCTAGTTGCTGATTTTATCTGCTGTCACATCAGGCACAACAATCCATTCAGTTAAAATCATTTGCAGTTAGGGAGAACAGCAAACACAGCACTGACCCAAATGGACGTGGTCAACTTAACATTTTTTCTCTGCCACAGCTTTCATAGTTTCTGCCTCTACGCTTCACCTCTCCCATTAGCACCCTGATATTCACAAAGGAGATTTCCCAGTGCTTGATATTTGTTTTGTATGAGCCAAACAACATTTCACTTCAAATGCTGGCTGACTGCTAAACAAGTTAGAGAGCTCAGCTCTTGCACAACACTCCTACAAGTGTTAGCAGGTAGCAGAAGTTTCCTGGTAACCTGCAGCCTCAGCTTTACATAAGCCACTAAGCAGGAGTTACATGCTGTCTTCCATGTTTTGACTGTAGATTAACCAGATGAATTTCAGAAGCAGTTCTTTTCTTTGCCCAGAGACTGTTGAGAAAAGAAAGGGAAAGACATGATTTCTAAGTGAGCCACTTCTTTCCCATTCCCTCATATCGCCTTGTGCTTAAAAGCAAAGCCACCTGGATGGGAAACAGCTTTGGCCTCTTTCCACACTATTGCTGTGCAGAATAGCAAAGAAAGGAGCGGTACGGTGCAGAAAGCAAAGGAATGGCTGTTTTTTGTTTGCTTTGTTATTTTTTATTTTGTTTTTAAGGTATCAAAGAGAGGAGGTGTGCTCTGCCCCTGCTGAGGCTAATATAAAACAGCCTTAGAGCTACGATTTCAGGAAGCTCTAAAGATAGGTGATAGCAGAAATTCGTTTTATCACTTATTAAGTCAGCTCAGCAAAGCAGCAGCTTCAGACACCTGATTCTCAGCCACCTATCCATAAGCAAAACAAGAGCATTAATCCAGCTCAGAGAAGGAAGCTGAAGAAGCCATGTGACTTGGACACAGTCACATGGGAATCAAGCACTTGCAGGTCAACCAGTACATTTCACTGTCTACCAGCTAGCCTGAGAGGTCAGAGTAGATGCTTCAAAGCTCCGTGACAGATTCTTGCTTCTCATTAAAGAAACTATAATTCACTTCAGGGGATGGAAGGAGGGAGGAGTGTGAGATTCCGCTCTTACACAAAGCTCTGAACACATCTAGCACCTTCAAGATATTTTAGAAAGCAAACCTCATTCCGCCCAAACAAATTTTCAGACAACTGTTCCTCCCCTGCCTTCTCTTCAAGCTTTTTCCTCTCATTTTGTTCCTCTTTCAGTAATAAAAATTGTACATTTATGGGAAACAAATGCAGGGACAGCCCTGAAACCAGGCCTGTTAGCTTTACAGTGATACCATGTTCTTTCTGAGCAAGGTACCTGACACCAACATTTCTGTACTGATTTTTTTCTTACTGAGGCAGAAATCTCCACTTGCCAGGTGTTTAACATGCTATTTCCACTCAGCATGTGGGGGCTCATAGATCATAGCTGAGAGCCTAGATTCTGGTCAGATTCAGAATCAGAAGATTTAGGCCTTATTTAAAGTAACATACAGATATCATGTGCAATCATACAAACATGACATACTTCTAGACCTGCCTACGGGTTAAAATATGCATGCCATGGGATTCAAAGTGCTTAAATCTGTGAGCTGTGGAATTTAAATAATTCTTAATACTTCCTGATAGTGTCAAGAAACCAGAGAAGGAAAAAAAAAATTAGATTTTATTCTTTCATAGTTCGGGACCAATATTCAGGTTTTAACAACCCAACAAAAATATTAAAGATTTTTTCCTCCCAACATTTAAGAAACTGCAACACAATTGCGCAAAGCAATGCTGCAGATTTCAGAAGCAGAAGCCAATAAGCCTACTTGGTACATCACAGTTGTGCCACAACCACTGGAAGAGTTGAAAACAGACAGCAGAAATATTCCATTAATTCCTAATCCTCATCATTACTTGGAAAAAGTCTTGTGTTATATTACAGGCTGACATTTTTATGCCAGACAGATTCTGTTATTCACTCTCAGAAAGGGCAATGGCAGAGATGTAACAATGTTACAATGTTACATCTCAGATGTTTCATCAGCAGGCAGATTCATACCTGAACTCTGCTTTACCACCCCTTATTTACTGCACTCTGCTTTCAGCAAAAGGTGAAACCGTCTCCAAAGCATTAAGGATTTTACTGGAGCCACTGGCCCACAACAAATCCTCTCAACTAATCCTCTGAAGTTGTATTCACTGCTGCCTTAAAGTGACCTAAATCTGTGTTACTGCCAAAGGGGCTGTCCAACCATCCTCAGCTTGTAGCACAAATGTCAGGTGCTCATTAGAAACCCAGTTCTTTTGAAGAGACAATGGGCATTTGTCTTCCAGGTTTCAGCAGGACTGGCACCCACACTGGCTCCTGAGCAGCCCCACTGCCAGTACTCAGGGTAAGAAACAAGTGCTGGGCCAAGCAAGGGCTTTGAATGAATGGCTTACAGAGGAGGGGAGCCTCTGCTGCACCACTGGCCCCTTATGAGCCAATCTAATGCCACCATTCGTTCATCCAAGCTACACTACAAACTGGCACCAAGGCCATGCTGACTGCCACACAGAGCCTTGGTTTAAGCAGTCTCTCCTTTAAGGACAGAAGGGCACGCCTGGCAACTCCCACAATTGTGCCCTGAGCACAGACTGAGCAAAAAGAAAGGAGAGAAAGGAGAGGCAGAAATCATATCTGCATCTATATTCAGACAACTAATGAGTGGTGTCTACCAAAGGACAGGAACAACAAGTGCCAGTCTTCAAATTTACTCCATAAGTCACAAGTATTGGGCAAGGTTTTCCCCTTTTCCTCTGTGGATGGATACAAACTATTAGGATAGATTCAAAAAATCCTAAGATGTTTAAGAGATAAAAGACCAAACCCTCCAGAAAAGTGGCAGAGATAAAAAAGGGACAAAAAAAGTAGGTCAGGAGTTGAGTACCGCTTTGAATGGAGCAGCTGAAGTGGAACTACAGCAAGTCCTGCTTTTAGAGCAGCCCTGCAAAGCTTACAGAAAGGTCTGAGGTACTGTTTCTCTCTCTGCAGAGGTACTTTGTGAAAGGGACCGCTTTCCTCTGTTGTGATAAAACAGCTTTATGGATTTCACAGAAACTGGGCCTACTCACACAAACATCAGAATCCAGCCTTGGCTTGCCTTTTATTTTCATTCTGCTATGCTGCAACAAACCCAAATCCTTTGCTTTGTATGTCATCCATTGTAAAAAAATACCAATATAAAATACAGCACAAGAGAGCTGCTGTTGTCTGGCAAAATATTTAAACTCTCAAGGAGAGTATTAAACTCCTGCTGGTGCAGGCTGTTCTCATAGATGATAATTAGATGGAGAGAAGCATTTTCCTTTGCTACACTTAAATCAAGAGCAAACTGGACTGACACTGAGAGCCCTCCTGTTCTCCTAAGTTTCAATCACTGCTGTTGGTAAACACAAGAGGAGGAAAACGCTTTTAGAAAGCCTAAGTGACACAACTAAACTATAGGAGAAAAGACTTCCAGATTCTTGCCAAGCCGTGCCCGCCGCTGCAATCACAGCTTACTTGGAACGCACCTCCAAACACACAGGCTCTGCAATTGCCATTCACGTTTCACTTCGCCCCAGAGCGCAAAAAATAACAAAGCCGGGGGTGCTACAGCAAAGACTCGAAGCCCTCTCTCCGCTTTTTAAGGCTCACCAACGCTCTCTCTTCTTCCCAAGGGCACAGCGTGCAGCCGCGAGCCGTGCTCTGCGCGGGACTCAGCGCCCTCGTCCATCCGAGCGCACGGCCGGCCGCATCCCGGCGCGCCGTACGGAGTTGGCGGCGGGCAGCAGGAGAACGGAAGGCTTACCGAAGGAAAAGGCGAGCCGGAGCCTTACGATGCCCCGTGGCCCAACGCCACGTCCCAGCGCAGCTCCAGGCAGGCGTACCGCCCGGGAGAAAGCAGAGGTATTTGATTTTCTACTTTACACACGTATGTTAGCGTTATGCCACGCGCGCAACCACACAGTTCCCACCAGCATGAGCCAGCAAAGCTGCCGGACCTACTTGCTGCCTTGCCCTGCCTTCACGCCGGGCCCAGCGCGGAGCTGAGCGGCCGCACGCAGCGCCGCGGCAGTCCCGCGCCGGAGCCCCCCGCCCACCCCTTAAGCGAGCCGGCTCAGGCGGAGACCCCGCGGCTGGTGCCCGATCCCCCCCCCCCCCAATACCTGCGCTCGGCCCGCACCCGGCCCGGCCGGCCTCCCCCTCTCTCCTATCCCATTGGCTCTAGGGTGTTCTGGCCGCACCGCTGGCCGCGGGGACGATTGCTCTTCCGCCGTGATTCGCCTCTGTGACTGCCGCTCAGCGAGTGTCTCCACCCATCCGGCAGTCTCCTCCAATAGGAGAGAAGGGTGGGAAGAGGAGCGGCCAATAGGGAGGGAGCTCTCCCCACGCTATCCCCGGCGGTGGAGGTGCCTGTCATGGCGGGTGGTGGGGGCTGTGGAGATCGCGGGCAGCCGTGAGGAATAACGTGACATTGCAAACGGTTTAGCATTATTTGGTGCGGATGTAAGAAGTTTTTATTTTCAGAGTGTAAGTGTTTTTGTTTTATAAAGTCGAGTAACAGCGAGCAAAGTAATAGAGTGTTTCCAGTCAGCACACGAGCTGCTCCTGTCCCTCTTGTTACCTTTGCTGTGCAGAACCGTCGAATCTTAACGGTTGGAAAAAGCCGCTGTGTGATTGTGTCTAACCAGTAACAGCATGGAAGTCACATCCAGGCAGCTCTGTAGCACTTCCTCATCACTTTGTGTCTCTGCCCTCAGTGCCGGAGCCGCTTCCCTCTGCTGCTGCCGTTCTTAGGAGGAATATTAAGCACAGGCGTGCAGTATTTAAGCACGTTTACTTGGTGCCATCACTGATATTTGAGCTTCAATTGTGACAAGTCATTTCATTTTAATAGGGCCTTGTACCACCTTCACTGCCAGCCTTCTTGTCCTGTAGCTGGGATGGGGTCAGCTGGCCTCTATGGGAGGCCCTTGGAAGCTGGGCTCGCAGCTTTGTTCTCAGAATGACTTCTCTGGAGTGTGAAGACCTCAGAAAGAAGAATATTTAAAAAGATTTCTAGCTCTCTAGCCTGAAGGTTAGAGACTAAAATTTGGCTCATCTCAGCATTCCTTTTCTATACAAGTGGATAATATGATGGCAAAGGGTATTTCAGTCCATCCTTTCCTGAAAGATGTTATGATACAGCTTTCAGTTGGAATCTCCTGTAACATGTTTGGGTTTTTTTCTTGCTTTTTTTCTAACTGCATCACATGAGAAGCATCTGACCCAAGAGCATGTTAAAAGACTCTTTGAACAGCCTCCCCACACACTGTATTATATGGCCATCAAAATATTCCTGCTTTTTCTCTCTTTAAACAGATCTGTGTAATCATTTGCTTGAAGGATCTCTCACAGATAATGTGAAGTGTGCCAGTTCCTAAAATGGCAGTGTGACAAGCTGCATCACAGCTTTTTGATTTGGGGGATCGCAGTGCCTCACTAAAGTGCATAAGGACATTCCCTGGGGGTTGCTGTAATTTGATTCCTTTTTGTACCTTTCAATAGGAGATCTTATGAGTTTTTGGTCATAAACTGTTACAGTCATCCAAATGTATCAGAAGAATTGCAACCCTTAGGAGGGTATAAATAATATCTGTAAACAGAACTACTGATACAAATTCAAACACTGCAATGCTCTTGTGCCTATCCAGAAGGTCTGAGTAGGGTCAGGCCCAGCATATCTGAGGTTTTATGCTAGAATAGACAGTACTTTGAAATACATTCACAAAATATCTGAAGTCCCTCAGATCTTGTTGTTAAAAGCACATCCAAACTGTGTGGCAGTACTGACGAGCGGGCAGTTGACACTTTGCTGTGGATGTTCATGTACTACACGTCTCCTATGGTATTAAACAGATCAAAGGTCATTGTAGTCCACTGATTCCAGCATTTGTAGCATTATGGAAACTTTGTAGATGACTGCTTTCTCATGTATGTAGAAATGAGTCAAACATGAGAGCTCAATTAAACAGACAAAGCCAAGGTTAGGATAAGTAAGTCTGTCCTGTAAGGATAACAGGAATTAAAACTGCTTAGGTCTGCAGTCAGAAAGCAATTGGTGATACATCCAGATCAATGCAGTACCAGCAAAGTCTTGCTTTGCTTTGAGCCTTACAAACTTTGCAGGACCGTTAAGCACAGGTCTAGGGTGGGAGCAGGACTGCTCCAATGGGAGCAGCAGCAAAGGGAATTTCCAGCTGCCACAATGCCCTCTGGACCACTGTGCCATTTAATCTGCTTCTTCTGTCTCTTCATGTATTTGTTTTGTACAGTTTTGCTAAAATGTCAAATATCTCCTTAGGAAACAAATACATTAACTTGAAAAGAAGTATTACGGCTTTAATGGTTGGTATCTCTTTGGCCGTCTAGATCTCAGGACAAGTCCTTCACACAGTCTCAGGCCCCAAGAAGTCAGCAGACCTATTCACATGACTGGGAAAACTTCAAGTTAATGCCACTCTGCACTGCCTGAAGCCAATGGTGAACCAGTAAGGACTTCAGCTGAAATAAGGTCAGTCCAAGGAAAAAGGAAAAGACATGTCTAACAGCTTTTAAAAATGCACCTCAGACAAAAGAAGATGTTCACTGTAACAGCGCAGGGGACCCTGAACAATTTACTTGGGCTCTCTGCTTATGTAGTCACTGTGGGGAGGACATGGATGAAGCGTGTAAATTATACATTAACATTCAAAAAAATGCTTCCTCTTTCTATTTCAAGGAGGTTCACTGCCCCATATCCTACGAAAGAGAGCTTTGCTATACATACACTAGGGGGCAGAGGCTTTCTGTGCATGGACGTTGCTGTAGCTAGGTTAGTTGTTCGACATGCACACATTTCCACTCTGAACTCCATTACACTACGTGATAATCCTTGGAGATTTTATTGTCATCAGATTCTTACAAAATACATTGTGTGGTCCTATTGCCCTCTGTTGAGAATTTATCTGTGAAATATCACATGTTACAAACATCCTGACGGTAGCAAAGCAAATGTTTTGAGACCTGTTGTTTGCCAGATTACACCATGCCATGGGGCACTTGGGTTCAGCCCTGCTGGTTTCTCTTAGCGCGGTCCAGTGTTCTCAGTGCTGGAGTTGCAAATGTAGCAACAATAGCAAGAAATCTGAGTGAATGTACTGAAAAGACATTTTTAATTCCCCTGCATGGTAAGTGGAAAAAATGTCCTATTTTGAGTTTTGTTTTAAAAAACAAACAAACAACAACAACAGCAACAAACCAGCAGGACTTTATTTCCTGCGATTTCTGAAATTCGCTCCTGTCTTCTGCTGAGCAGCAGCTTTCCAAAGGATTTGTTGTCATACTTCCGTAAGTTTCTCTACGTGGAAACACTTAGCATAGTTTATCTTATTAACTTTTAAAGTAAATTAATTTAGTTTGTTTTAAAACCCTTCCCCTTCAGCAGGAGCAGCCATTCCTAAAATAGCCTTCGCTGGCATGCAGTTTATTTAACTTTGCATTAATAGCATTTAATCAAGCCTTAAATTAGGTTTTTGAACCAACTTAGATAAACTGAATCAAGCCAGTTTGATTTTTCAGTTATGCAGTAGCTGAAGAGTCATTTCATTTTGAGATAAACGAAATAAGAGATTTTACATAGGGGTTTTCTACTGATCAGACAAAGCAGTTTTAAGTTAACCCTACAGTTAAACCACTGGGGCTTTCAAAACCGTAGAGCTTTATTATTCTTCTTGCACAATGAAACTGTAAGTAAATTGAAAAAAATGCGCCGAAAGATTTTTTTATGTATCAAAGATGTTCAGGTATATGTCTCAAATTAAAAAACAGTAGTAATTGGTACCTCCTCATCCCAAAATGGGCCTGGGGGTGTGTGCTGAGCACCCCAAAACACCCCCATTGTGCAGAGTCCCCGAATGGCAAAGGAAGGGGATGCAGACCTCCTCTCAACCCATAAGCACTCCAGGTCCCTTCAAACCATCCCCAGCAAGGGCTTCCTTTTATTTCTTTGCAGCACTCCATTTTGGGGCTTTTATACACGTATAGATGGCTGTACAGTGGGTGGCATGAAAATGAGGCGTGAAAAAAAAAAGGATACCTTCCAACCCAAGCCATTCTACAGTTTGTCTCTGTAACTTCCCTCCTTTCTTCCCATGTGACAAACATAAATTGCTTCATGAAGAATTTCAGAAGGTAATCATTTTTACATGCTGCAAGGTGTTGCACTTTGCTGATGAGTCACACTTCTGTAATTTTTTGTAGGCACTGTTATGCTTGCCATTTTCCATTTCACCGCCATTTTTCAACCAAATCATCTTGGTGTTCACATCTTGCCGTGGTGATATCACTGTACATCTCACAGCTGTTTTCATATACCAGCAGCAAGTGTTTCTAGGGCAGCAAAATGTTGTAGGCACTATGGTCATAAGCAGTCTTCATGCAACAGTCATACTGCAGTTCTCATAGACAGCCCAGAGTTGACTGCAGGTGCTTAAGCACTACCAATTTGAGCCTGGCTGTGTTTGTCTCCCAAAGCCCTGTTAGAGCCTGCAGGTCATTTCAGCCAGGTCTGGGTTTAAGCACAGCTGCTATTTAACAGCATAGTGAGACACAGTAGTCAAGGAGAGAGAATAGCACATAGGTCTGACATTGTCAAGGTAAAGTTAGCCTGTCACAAAGTCATTACCCAATAGGGAAGTGCAGACAAGAGGCCAGTGCAAATAAATAAAAATCACAAACATTCAGTTGAATGCAAGCTATGAGTTTTCCTAAACGTCTCTCTTATCTGTGGAAGTGTAGTTGATTTTTCTTAAATCCATACAAGGAACTGAGTATTTGCACAGTACAAATAGCAGCAGTGTGGTTGTCATGTAAGGAGAAGGGAAAAATAGCAGGATGGAGAACACACTGTGATTGAGCCTATGTGAGCATCTGAGCTGCATCAGAATTTGGATCTGTGCTCAGTGAGGCAATTTGAATTCACTGATGGGTCCTGCAAAGCAGCCCCGTGAAAATCCAGGAGGGCAGTCTACTTCCTGGATTTCCATGCTTTCTGCGTGGTTCATTCAGGAGCTTTTCTGTGCTCAAAATCTTTGGTAAAAGAGCAGCACTGCTCTGTGGACACATTGCCTGGTAGTCACTAAGGAGTCCTAGCATCTGTGCTGTCAGAGAAGGCAGCATAAAACTCAGACAGAAGGTGGGTGCAGCACTGTCAGAAGAACTGCAGTACCCATGCCCAAAACAAAATGCAGTTCTTTATGACTTACAAGTAAGTTATATTTTTCTTGTTAAGTTAGATGCTCATACAAACATCTAGAAAAAGCAAATGCAACTCCACAGGTACCTCCATGTTATGCATGGATGACCTAGAGTTTGTATTCAAGTGTTTTTGCATTCAAAAGGTGTAATAAACAACATAAAAATCAAATACATTATTTAAGAAGAAAAAAGCAACCTTCACTGTAACTTAAAGAGACAGTAATGGCATTGACTTTCTGTATGAGCAAAAGTAGCATATACGAGACCAACTTTTCCTGTACATACTCATTTCAGATGTTGAATTTGAAGCATCTTGTGCCTCTTTTTTGTACACATTGAACAGAATATACTTCACATTTCCTGAAAAACATTGCTCATGAAAGTCGTGGCTTAGTCCATATCAGGTTCTTTTTACACATGCAGAACCAGAGATACCGAAAATCAGCGGCCAGTTTTAAGAATGTTAGTCTTTACCTCTCTCTGCCTTAGTTTTCTCATCTGCATAATGTAAAAAATGAAACTTGCCCTGGCTGACGAGTGCCTTGATATCCAGGGAGGAGGTAGCAAAGTCTCTGTGATGAAGGTAAGCAATGCCCACTACACTGCATGGAATATCAACACTTAGATCACTTCTCACCCTCTGCTGCTTTTCTCTATAAATTAGATTTCTGTCTCCCATGTCTTTCTGCAGAGCTGTTCATACTCCTGTTTATTTCAGCATTCATACAGGAGTTCCATAACTTCATCATTTCATTCTTCCACCCAGCACAAAGGTCTTGGAAGCCAGTCAGATCACTTAATCTATTAAAATAATATTCTGTCCCAGAAGGCCAGTGTGATGCTTTTCATAAGCTCAAAGCCTACCCTGCTTGTTCAGGAAAGACTCCACATGAATGCTGAAGCAAGTCTAGCCTGCAGATCCTGATACGTAGTTAAAACAGGCCATGGCACAGCAGCTGTTTTGGCAGGTGGTTGCAGATGAGAAGTTTTTGTAGACCTTGAAAAGAAGAACTTGTTCCCTCTGTAGAGGTTGTATCCAAACACAGAATGTCTGTTTGTTTCTAATCTCAGCACTGAGCTGTGTCTAGGAGTCTCTGGATAGCTGCCTTGTGCACATGAAGGGAATGAGGAAGCTAATGCTTCTGATACCAAGGAGAGCCTTTACTCACTATAGCTGGAATAGTTTTGCTGCAGAAAGGAAGTGGGAGATTTGAGCAGCAAGGAGAAAAAAACTTGTGGCTTGGTCACTCATATAGGATGCTGGCGGTCCAGGTTGGCTTCCCAGTTCCTGCTCAGTGTTCCTAAATGTCTATGCAATATGGAGATGGGAATCTTGTTGGGACCTGAGTTGTTCCTGAGAGAGTAAACTCTTGGACAGAGAGATTCCTGCTTATTATAGAGGTGCATGTCATTTATGTCAAGGAAATTCTGCCTCTAAGGTCATTGGAATATGTTTTCAGTTTTGTGGCTGAGCCAAAGAAATCAGCATAGGGCTGAAATCAGTTTGAATTGATTGTGACAGAGATGTCTTTGTGTGTGTGTTCACAAGAAAAACTCTAGAATGTTGCTCTGAGTTGTGGCACATACATTATTCAACCCCAAATGAAAGCTTTCCTTACTCAGAGTGAAAAAAAACTAGTTAGCAGGCTAACTTAAAATTGCTGATGGCAGCAGCCACGATTTGCAAAAGCAGGCACTCATCTAGGCTGTGTGATACCCAGATTTGAATACACCCTCCATCTGAGAGGATCCGATCTGCATCTCCCCTTTCTCACAGAGGTATCTTCTCAAGGCTGTTGTACGTTAGCCAGACGTAGTCAAAAGGAGGAACCTTGCCTAACACAGTGATTTGTCTTGTCTTATGATTTAATCTTTTTAAAAGGCAATACATTTCTGACATGCTGAAATAGGTGGGGTTTTTTTTTTCAGGTGTTTTGTTGTTGTTGTTGTGTTTTGTTTGGTTTGTTTTTTTTTCAGTTCAAGGCAAATTATAATTCTGAAAGAGGCCAGTTCATAGATCTATTATTTCTCTGCTTTTTGATTGTTGTTTTGGTTTGGTTTTGAACTGTCCAATGGACTCCTAAAAATAGGATATAATCTTCTACTGAAATCTGTGGGAGAGTAGAAAAAGGATACAAATGATACCAGTCTCTTGAGGACTTTTCTAGAAGGGCCTCTGTTTTATCATTAAAAAAATATGAAATATAACATGCTTTAAGTCGTGTGCCAAATAGTTTGATTTAAACTTCAGATTATGGGATTGAAAAGCTTTTTTAA